GGAATACTGTATATATCGTTCCATTTGATGTTGTGATTGGGAGGGGAGGTATATAGCTCTATGGGCTAGTTATGTTGCTTTGCTTTTTCTGTCATGATTGACTTCTCTTCTGTTCCCTATCTATTCTGTCTTTCGGATGTGGAAGTGACTTAGTATGTATGGTCTATGTACTTCGATTTAGCAGAGACTGAGATCATCATAGTATGTATGGAATTGACCATTGTTTCCGATCATCGATTCATTACGTAGCAGAAGGCTTACTTACTATCTGCAGAGAAGTAACAAGAGTTAATAACAAAAGGAGTCAGAGGGGGGGGGGGATAGAAATATGAAAAAAACATTGGTTTCACATTGTCTCATCGAAAAGTAGTTGAAGATATGTAAGAAGCAGCACAAAAGACCAATCCATCCATCCATCATCCATCCCAAGAGCAAAAGGAGGACTCGAGTAGGTTGTTTCATCGCCAGAAAATGCAATACATGTATACTTCATGATGGTGATGATGATGCAGAGGCATAGGCATCAGACGGACAAGTAAAGAATTACAGAGAAGCGAAAGAGAATCAGGTACAGACAAACAGGTTCCATCAGGTAGGGTCAGGTTAATCAATCAATCAGTCAGTCATCATTATACCAGGGCACGGGAACTGGTCATTTCGCCATAGCGTCCGCGGCCCTTGGTGGTATCGTAAGCATTCACCACTCTCATTTGGCCACCACCCTCGTCGGCTTGACTGAATGCGTAGCCGCGCTGTTTCCGCATGCGCTGGACTTGGCGGACTTTGCGGATCGCCTTTTGGAATTGTTCCATGCGCGGACGGTAGTCTTGGACGTTGTATTTCTGGATTTCTTGCACGTGGTGGTAGTGTTGGGGGTAGTACATGCGCTTGGCGTATTTCCAGGCGTAGTCGCGGAGGAGGCAGATGCAAGGGAGGATGATGGCCATCAGGTAGAAGACGGGATCTTTGAAGACACGAGGGATCGTGCCGTAGTATTCTTGGGAGAAGCCGATGGCGGGGGCGGCATAACCGTACGCCGGAAGGAAGATGAGCCATAACACCATCGATCCCGGGATGGCGATGAACGTGTACTTGGTCCAGATGTTGGTGATCAAGGCCGCTTTGCCGAGCACAGTGGCCAGAGCCGCGGTATATGTCGCCTCGGCCCAGACCCAGTGGCCGGATGTTTTGCCGTCTGACTGTGGGCCGTCCCAAAGGAAGAAGAGCTCCGAAACAACGTAGAGCAGGAGGGAGTGGTAGAATCCGTTCGCAACCCACGACCAGAAACTGTGTCGCTTGAAGAACATACCCTTCTGTCCAAGCTGGTACAACTGAGGATAACGGTCTAGCAGTCGAGCGGAAATGAACTGGTCACAGATACCCATGGCGAATGGAGGGAACACGGTGAAGAACACGTTATAGAAGGACAGAGTCCAGGATTCGTAGATGACCTCGCCAGAGAAAGCGTTTTGGAAGGAGTACTATCAGAGGTCAGTTTGCAGCGCACGCGAGGTGAGGACAGACCACTCACCCAGAATTGCGTCATGTAGAGGGCAATATTCTTGTAGAACGAGTACAAAATGACGCGACTGATCCGGTGGTAGTTCCAGGCACCATGGACAAGGAGGAGCTTGCGGAGGTAACGGAATTGCGCGATGGAAACATCCGCAGATCGAGCAGCCTGTAGACCTTCGACACCGCTGATACCGACACCAACGTGTGCGGCCTGAATCATAGACACGTCATTTGCACCATCTCCAATGGCGAGAAGGAGCGACTTGAGATGGCGCTTCACCAGCTTGACAACGAGGGCTTTTTGAAGGGGAGAAACACGGCTAAGGGTGTTAGTCCAGGCTTACAGAATGAATGAAGAGAACTTACCAGCAGACTACAGCCTTACACGTCACAGCCAAGTCCAAAAACAGCTTCTCCATGTCCTTCTCGAGGGCAAAAGTCAAAGACCGCCCGTCAATAACTAGGGCCAGCGCTTCGATTTCACCGGAAGTACCCTGGCTTTGGACAGCCTGGAGTTTCTTGGTCAAATTATCTCGGGTGGCCTGAGCACTTTCTTCATTGACAATCAACAAGGTCATGTCCTCCGAAATCAGCTTGCATGACATGCCAATGTTGATGGCAGTTTCTTGTCGGTCACCGGTCAAAACCCAGATCTTGATTCCGGCCGTCTGAAGCGTATGAATGGTGTCTGGGACACCATCCTGCAGACGATCCTCAATGGCAGTGGCTCCTAGGAGATAGAGATCCTTTTCGATCAGCTCCGACGCCTTGTCAAGCTCGTCAGCACGGTTTCCGCCAACCGTTGTTGCAGCCTTGTCGTAGATCTGGTACCACTGTTGGAATTCCTCGTCGGAAATTTCACGCATGGCCAAACACAGCGTCCGAAGACCATCCGATGCATACTCCTCCAGGTGCTGCAGAGTCGCTTCAACGGTAGGATTGTCGGGATGCAGACGTTCAAGAATCACAGTGTCCGCACCCTTGGTGTAAATGCGAATCTTTCCGTCTGGGCAGCGAAAGATGGTTGACATCCGCTTCCTCGTAGAGTTGAATTCACAGACTGCCAGAAGTTCATATTCGAAGTCTTGGTCGCCTACTGTGAAGATCACAGACCGAGGTCTCCGATTGGAGAAGCAATAGCCCAGGGTTGCAGCGCCTTCGACAAGAGCACCTTCATCCGGAGAGGCAGCTTGGTATTTGATCTTCCCAGGTTCTTTCTCAGACCTCTCCGGAATGACCGTGTGACAGGTTGCAAGCAACGTAAGGAAGTGATGAATGGCACCGCCCGTGGGGTGAGAGTGCAAATTCTCCCTCAGCTTCTTGAAAGTATGGATTCCAACTTCCACTCCGTCCTCGACGGTGGCTTGTCGGTCCTCGGGAACCTCCTCACCATACTGAATGCCGGAAATGGTACACTGCTTGAACTCCATCATGTTGCACGTTAGAGTTCCAGTCTTGTCGGAAAAGATGTACTCAATTTGCCCCAGCTCTTCAACCAACGACGACGTCCTACATGTTGCCGGGGTGTCGGTTTTATCGTAATAGATATCCAAGTCAGAGTTGATCAAGAACGCCTGCGCATATTTGACGATTTCAATCGTCACGAAAAGCGAGATCGGGACCAGATTCGAATAGAGGACCCAGTAGGTAAAGATGTCCAAGACAAACTGTTTGACCGGGTTCGTCGTGCCATAGTCTAGGTATGTGAGCTTGTTGGCCTCGGTTTGGCGGATGATCAGGTCACCAACGGAACTGACCACACTGAGTGCGATCAGAATACCAACCAGCATCAAAATCTGAACGTTCACCATGCGCTCCACTGCAGTCCGCTTGATCGGAGTGGCCGTTGCATTCCGCATCAGCTTCGACTCGTGACCGGTGAAGACGACGATGCCATGGACCCACGGTGTGTTTCGCAGAGTTGCACCTCGAAGGAGAAGCTGATCAGGCGCTAAGGGCAGTTCCTTTTCACCTCCGCCAGCGTGCATAGTCAACGTCGCTTCGTAAGTGTACAAGCTGCTGTTTGGCTGCTCGGATCGGACGCGCCCGCTCAAACGACTGAGATCCGCGGGGCTAACCAAGTGCGCAGTTTCCGGGATTGCCTGCTTGATCTTCAAGTTGGTTTCCCCGTCCAAATTAGCGGTTTCAATATAACACAGGCCCTCGGGTTCCGAAGACGCCAACAGGACCAAATCAGCGGGGAATGGTTGCTCGGACTCGACCCGGACAATATCTCCCACAGCCACGTCAATCCACTTGGTCTCGTGGAATCCAGATCCCTTCAAAACCTGCGTCTTGGAGTTGTTCAGTCCTTTATCCGACAGTCTCCGCTTGTAGTCCTCCACGAGTTCCTTAATCGCCGATACCAGTAACACGATACACAGCGGGGCAATGGTGGTATACTTGTTCGTCGGAGACACGTTCGGAATCTGCTGAAGGACGGCAGTGAAGAGGAAAAACAGGTTGGCGTATTTCGAAAATTGTTCGTAGAGGAACTTCGGAATAAAGGTGATGATGTTGTACTTCGCCGTGGAGACATGGTTGTCGACGAACTTGTGTACGGCATTGGCAGGTGGGTTGTTCAGAACGATCATGCGAGGTCCCAGAGTTGACGGGTCGGCCTTTCTGCGCCCAAATCCAAATTTGAAATCCGATTTCTTGGATGCCTTCGGGGCACCAGCGGCGGCGCTGCCTTCATCCGGGTCTGCACTGTCCACCCGTGCAGCTCGAGCGCCGGCCTCCGTCAGGGGCAGATCCATCTCCGAGTATTCAGCGCCCATGCCCAGCATGTGCTTTGCTCGGCCCATCAACCCACCTCCCAGACCCAGGATGCTGTTCCTTTCCTTTGCCTGCCGGACGCGGCTATCGGGTTGTAAATGGTTGTCATCCTGGTAATCCAAATCGTAGTATCCGTGCAATGACCGGTCATCGTCGAATTCGTCCAAGGAGTAACGGTGGTAGTTGCTTAACCCGGAGGTCTGCGAGTAGGTGCGGGACATGTCGGCCCCCGAGTAAGGATCGGTCATGTATACCCCCGGCTGGGTCGGGGGATGCGCGGGCATCGCATGAGCGCCGGATTGCGGCGGCGCCTGTCCGCCGACGAAATGGTCGTAAGAAACCGAAGGTCGCGGTTGAGGATGGTCGGAGTCGTCAATGTCGTACTGTCGCAACAAGTGCTCATCGTTGACCGGTGGGCGTTGCCCCGTGTTGTACATGGGGACCGACTCATCCAGCAGCAGTTCATCATTGTGGCCAGCGGCTGGATGAGGACCGGGAGGCCTACCGCTGGCCATGACGCTTGGGGCGGACAAACAGGTGCCCCTGGAGCATTGATTGGCCGGGACGAAACGGGAGAGAGGGGGACACAGAGGATGGTGGACTGGTAACGCGATCGGAGCACACGAGAAGTCGAGGAGATTACCGAGAGGCGAGAGTAAGCGACGAGGAGGTGGAGAGATTGAGTTGGGGGAGAAATTCTGACTGCCTGGAGGTTAAGCCAGATGCCGCGCAAAGGCGTCGAGGCTAATCAGAGTTAGCGTTGGATCACCGCCAGTGGCTGGGTCGACACGGTTCTTTGTCTTTGGTTAGTTGATTGCCCGCCAGAATGAGGAGAGCTCGCTGGCCCCGGCCCTCTGAAACCGTTTCAGATTAATATAGGGACGACCCCACGAGAGCAATCCAATCTGACTGATGAGGAGGAGGTTTGGGTGTTGGTCCTTCACTTGACGGAGGGAAGCGGCCAGCTCGGGTTAGCCGGACTGGGAATGGTGGCATGAGGTATCGTCGTATTCCCGTTACACCGTGGACACCTGAGGCAGGCCCGGAACGATCCTATCTACTACTCGGTTTCTATCTATCCACAAAACGGCATCGTGATGACTAGCTGGGATACAGAAGACTTGGCAGAGAGCCCAATTATCCTTCGTGGCTTGGCTCATCTGCAATCCAGATGGAACTTCAGTGTACCCACAACGAGACGGCAGACAGGCTGCGCCACGATACCAGTAGGCTCACTCCTATTAATAGATCCGGTCGTTCATGTCATCTACCATCATCCACTCACTGCCTTTGCTAGCATCTGGCAATCAAAGTGCAGACTACATACTCCGTAGAAGGCTGGAACCGGCATTACGGAACTAGAAGCAGCTCAACGAAAGTGTCATTAGAGGGAAAGCAAGACTAGAAAGGGTGCCATCATAGTCAACTATCACCAAAATCATAGCAAGCCAGCTCAGCGTCGTTGAAACTCAAGCTGCAAAGGAGGCAGACTCGTTGTAAATGTATCCAGCGCTCCCGTTTCAAAGGTCTCACCGGTCTCACCAGGGGCCAACGAGAAATTGTATTGCTGCGCTATAGTGGAGACGCTGATCCGGAGACTGAGCATAGCTAAACTCCTCCCAGGACAGATATAAGGGCCTAAGGTCTGTGTCAGAATAGAATTTGGCAGAAAGTCGTCGCTGTACAAAGAACATGCGTCCTACCCGACAAGAACGGTATGAAGGGAGCACCATCGGTGTCCATCTCATCTTTCTTTTCACCCCATCGCTCGGGTATGAACTTCTCGGCATCCCTGTAGTATCTTTTGTCATTCTGAACTAGCTGAAACGGTACGAAGACGTTTATATCCCCCGGGATATAAACTTCATCAACCTGTAGCCCCTCGGCTGGGGTAACACGAGAACCCCCCGTCATCAAAACAGGACGGAGTCGAAGGGTCTCATTGATTATGTCGTCAAGGAATGGGATTTCCTTGACCTTTTCGTAACTCCAGTCCTTTGCTCCACCCGGCATAGCCTCGTCCAGTTGCCGTTGAAGCTTGGTTAGCACCGATGGATGCTTAGCCAAATAGTAGAGAATGCTGGCTAACGTGGTAGCTGTGGTCTCACTGCCCGCGATGATAATAGCACGCGAGTCATCGTGGAGTGCTGCTTTGGAGGGAGGAGCCGAAATATCTTTCTCCACGTATGCTTTCAGGAGCCACGAAACAACATCTTCGGGGTATGCAGTGGCATCCCAGGTCTGCAAAGCAACCGAATTTAATACAGTGATTAGTGATTCATCAAAAAGCAACCATGCTGGCTTCGATTACCTTCTGCTTCCTTTCAATCTCATCTGAACACCACTTGAAGAAGCTCGAATAACCGGATACCGCTCCTGGGACACGGCTGAGCAGATACAGAAACCACGGGACGTGAGTCATGACACCAAGGATCTCCATATGATCATGGACACCTTTGATCGCTGGATGTTCGATCCCCGTAGTCAGGTTGTTGAACTCTTTGCCAAACCCAACATCTCCCATGATATCGAAACTCAGAAACATGGACCAAGCGGTCGCATCGATAGGCCGGCCTAGATTATTCTGAATGTGGGAAGCTAGCTGATCCGCCTTTATCTTAACGCGAGGCTCGTACATCCCGAGAGCTAGATAGTTTGCGTTAGTGACTGAACTAAAAAGCCCGGAAGATAAGAATCATCGCCCATGACAAACATTTTACATTGAAGCCCCGATCCCACGCCTTTCTCCGTCTGCGATGGTCCTCAAAGTCGCGAGTGTGGTGTATGTTACACTGCTTGGGGTTTGTGGACGCATGAGCATAGAAAGTCGACTTGCGGCATTTAGATTGCGGGCCAAAGACCAAAGGTATGGCCGACTTTCGAACGATGCACAACTCTCGTGGGCCTAAAAATCATATATCAGAATGTATTCCAGGGGATGGTCGAACGCATGTGCAGGGTTACCCGTTCGGATAAAGTCGCCGTATTCCTGGTGAAGCTTCTTGACTTCCACATGATATTGTATATGTTTGTTTGCCAAGTAGGCGCTATAGAAAGAGGTCAATTTGGACCAAATAGGACCTGGAAATCGATGTAGACGGTGGAAGAATAATCGATAGACGCTGATACTTGAAATCAGACCGACGTTGAATGCAAAGGAGATCCAGGCCACCCTAAAAAGGGTTTGGCCGACCGAGAATTGTGTCAACGATAAGTGAGCCAATGCCGTTGACACCAGAGCTGAAACATAGAGTGCAAGTAAGCCGAGGAGATAGTCTTCGACCGGGAAGCTTGAGCGGAAGATGCTCAGGTGGAAAAGAATTCCCAACCCCGCAGCAGAGGCCGCCAGGTTGCCCAGGTCTGACTCCAGGACAACTCGGAGTCCGGCTGGCGAGAGGATTGAGGATGGAAAGTCCATTGTAAGAGCTTTCCGAGCACTGCTGACACAAAAAATGGATCAGATCAAGATGAAATGTGCAGATGTGGCGGGGGTAATCCAGTAGATAACTAAAGAACATGCCGCTGATGCCGAAACTTTCTCCACCCACCTCAAGAGCTTCTTCGGCACAGCAATCCTGGCTAGCGACCAATGATCTGTCTGTATTGAGTGCTTGGGAATGGAGGGCCTTCTACTGCAAGTGTACGACGTATCATATACGTTAGTGGTCGATACAGCCTTCCGTGTGGCCTTAAGTAGCATAGCGAGGGGGGCCTAAATCTCACCACCTTATCCTGCTTTGCCATACCATGTTTCTACGTAGATCCCCGGAACGAGGGGATAATTTTATATTGGGAACTTCAGGAACGTGGGCATATGCATGATGCTGTCAAGGTCGATGTACGAGTTGCATGCAATGATTGATATCTTCATGATATTAGCAAAATACGTTTAATAGAACCTTAGAACCAGCGCGCCGCAGAATTTTGACCAAAGCCCATAAAGATGCGCAAACACCTCCGTACCACCAAGCCCAAACCCTTGGATCATTACTTGCTCAATGCATCCGATAAAATATCCGTACAGCCAGTACACCTGATACTCGCCTTGAACCCCACTCTGGTACATGATGCTGAAAAAAAGCTACGAAGAAGGTGCCACTGTGATTGATTTAGTTTCACCTTTGGCAAACCCCAGCCACCATCGGGTAAGTAGATCAATGGTTGCCATATCTTTTGCCCTCATGTCGTACAGCTTGGTTTGTCCAATAATAAGATTCTTGCCATTGAAATAGGCTTCCAGTACGCGAAGGTGCTGTGGACCCACGAGGGAATATAACATGACCTGAATATATCTTACTATTAGAAGAGGCCCAACCACAGCACGTATATTCCATCTTTTGGAAAGAAGAGAGGAGCTTACCGGGGCCACTATGTGAGGACGGAGGGACTTGGTGTTCAAGCGAGCAACCATGGTTTGTATGATGGCGACGATTTCACTTCGGAGTAGTCTATTATCTCCAGTTGCTTCGCTCTCCATGAGACATTTCACGTGAGGTAATGGCCCAGTAACTGCTGGTGCAGAGCATATCAGGGACACATGCCAGTGGTGATTGTTGACTTCCGCTAGGATCCCAAGACCGAGCTCTGCCCTCCTACAAGTCGAGTGGTTAACTAGCACACATCATTACTAGGAGGCCCGTGTAGGACAGACAAGGTATAATTACGATCTGAAGCGAATGCCCTCGGGCTTATTTTCATCCTCCGGGTACGATTGGCCACACCAGTCTTGCATGTAGTAATGGAATTGGCCCACATTCAAACGGTCTTCCACGTCGGGTTCGTAGGTTGGATATTCGTCATCATCTGAATGCACATATTCATCCTCATATGGAACGAAGAAGGAGGGATTGTCGGACTTTGATTCCAGAGACATGGAGCGTTGCTGAATTCCTGCTCTCTTAGCGTCATGCTGGTCGATATGGTCAGTCTCTAACTGGCAGATGGTCTGATTGATCGATCGGAGTATCGATCGGTAATGCGTGCGAGTTGCTAATTTTCTGTCTTCTGCTTCGGTCGACATGGTGTATGGGTGAAAGAGCTTGGTGGGAAAAGAAGAGGTGAAGAGGGATCTAGATAGTGGAGAGAGGGAGGAGAGCAGGTCCCAGTAGCGAAGCCTGCGGGTTTTGTTTCGCGCTCAGATCAGTGGGGTTGCGGCGCAACCCGCGCAACCCGGCTCCACCAATAGTGTTAACAGTTTCTCCTCGATCCCAGATGTTTACTAAATACTACTAGTTAGATAGTACTACTGACACGACGGAAGCAAGCGACCGGATAGGGATGCGGCAAGAGGGATGCGGTGGGGGAAAGGGCCGGGGACAGGGAGATGGCACCTTTGATAATTGATGTATTAGGCGAGTTAGCAGCAATATGACGATTTCCACTTCCCGATCCATTCCTATCCATACCGTCCGAGTATATCTTCTCCCTCTCAGTACGCCCTCCAACGTCTATTGCGCATAGGCAAAAATCAGATAACGCATCCTAGCTCTGCAGCTATTACGGTACAATACGCATGCCGTCTTCGCATTGACCCGAAACAGCAGCGGTGTGACCAGGACTCGGAGGCCAAAGCGTCGCGGGCGGCTATCTAAATACAATCGTTGGACATCGGGGAACAACCCCTGTCTGAATCGCTGTATACCGTGAGACGGCTTCCTTGTAACGTAGTTACCATATTGTAGGCGCACCTTCCGGGATGTCTTTGGACCTCCGAGGGCCTGGTGACTTAAATATCCACCAGCCGTATCTAAACGACGTTAAGGTCCCATCTTATCCTTTCCCCTCTTCCACACCCATCCTCACCTTACTACATCTTATCCGCGCAGTAATCTGAACCATACAGCCTGTTTTTGCACTTCGCTATGACCACTACACTCCCCAGAAGACCAAGCACATGGGCCAGAGCGGTTAGAAGAGAAAAGGCGGAGAATACGACAATTCACGATATTGACCTTAGCTCGGCTTCGACTATCCAAGAGGAGCAATACTTGATGCTTCGCGTCCTCTGGAAACCGCAAAGGCGTAACGGACTCAAGCTAGCAAAGTTTGGATTAGATGAATGGACTCAGAAGGCAGCCACCATGCTAGAATCAAGCGCCTCATGGGCTGCTTACATTGCGAGTTTCTCTGGAGATTCCAAAGAGGGGATATTTTCCTTGCCTTGGTTCTATCAAAAACAGGTCGCCCATGTCTCACCAAATCCTATATTTCGGCCAAATGTTGCTATTAGCCCGCCCCGCACTCGTGGCCAGCTGAGAAACATAGCGGCGGGTATCAAGAAACTCTCGTTCGATGTGCCCACCGAGCCACCAAGTACGCCCAAAATCGAGCCAGAGGTAGAATTTGATGATACTCCCGAGGAGCCTAGTGCAGCTCAGGACACACCTCCCGGGGAAAGGTCATATGGACCCAAGGAATTCCTCAATCTAAACTATCCAAGGACAAAGGATGAGCAGATTGTCAACACTGCCCTGGTTGACTTCCTGAATGCTTTCATCGTTCATTCTAATTTCGGCTCTTATTGGATAATTTATAAACTTAATTTTTTATAATTTTACGTTGTATCGGAAACCTTTCGTGGCCAGCTTTGGCAGTGGCTCTTTTGAAGCTCGCACTGATGGATGCCTCGAGGGTGAAGATTCAACGAATAATATGAAGACTTATGCGATTGTGGAGGTAAAGCCTATGTTAAGGATAACACATTTGTTACCCATTTCAATGCAAGAAGCGGGCGAAATGGTTGCTTGGATAAAGTCCGAGCCTGATCCTGACAGCTTCACCAGAAGCTGTGGCCGGTAAGTCCGTCTATACCATTGACTATATCTTTTGATGATTAACAAATTTAGTCGTGTTCTCATCTCCCAAGGCCGAAACGAAATATTCATTACGTTCGCCGAGTATGACAAGAATTATGTCAAATACTTAATAACACACTAGGAAAAGACGAGTCGCCTGGATTTCAGACGTTGCACGGCTTCGGGGGCTGGGATACTGAGAGAGTCGGGGACATGAAAGATATAGGCAAGATTCTGCTTGCAATTGCTTTGAGGGCCGAGATGGAGCGTGAGCAATCGGCGCCTCAGCAATAATTGAATGATTTTGCGGGTGGGCCATTCTAGAGTTTCTCCGTTCAAGTCTTGGTTCTTTACACCGTGGGTCATAGCAAATTATATCGAAGCAGAGCCGTGTGGATAGCGGTAGACTTGACGGTTTTAGCGGATATTCATATGACTATTACCATAGCCAATGCCGATGCTGGGTCAACGAGGCCAACAGATTATAGCAGCGTACCAATGACAACAAAGTCCAATTGTGAGCCTATCAAGCCGCCATTTTCTAGATCGACCCCGTTTCATCGTACTATATGTTTGGTTCCAAGTTCCTGAGCACCTAAAAATCTCGAATAGCGGGTCTTGCACCGTTTCCCCGAACTTCCTACTAGGGACGCTATTTAGCTTTAATTCTGAGAAGCGTCTTGGCATAGTGTCCGATATTAATTGTGGGTTGTTTTGGATTCCCCTTAGTGCTGCTCAGTTCCTGCACGGGCCTGCTACTTAATTTCTACATTTAGTGCTCTGTTGTACTGTCCAATTGTGCTCTCCTTAGAAAGGTCTAATGTCTGCGTGAAACTACTACTACTAAGCCAAACATTACAATAGGGACGTGCCAATGGACGGTGAAGTATAACCATGGTGGTCTGCAACCCACAACTTGAGGCTAGAACAGTGACAGTACTAGGAGTGATTTTGTGTAGAGCTCTGTCACTACACGTCTGTCCCTAACTTGCAGATATGTTGGACGAGAGAACCAGATTCCCCATTAAAGTGTCGTCAAGCATCTTAGTTTATCCAGGAACCTTATTGTTGATTTAGGAGCAGGCAGCCATGGATGATGACCTAGCACGTCGGAGCTTGGTTCAAAGTTGCGTAACGAAAGCTTTAAAGCCATACAAGGTGGGTCAAGAATCCCAGTAAAGGTGGAATGGGTTTTCAGATTAAACTTTCTTTTTGATGACCCAGCTCGTAGCTATGCCAGTTATGCTGTAGCTCTTATCATACATCAAGCTCTAATGCATTGTCTTAGCTCATTAAACAGTATTTGCTTTCAACGCAGCAGAGTTCGATTACCGATCGTTCTCCGCTCGTGACTGCTCGGCCATGCCGTTCTTCGCCCGTTTCGAAAGGTCAGCCTGTAGCGCCTTGTCAATGATCGCATTGATTTCCTTAACTTTCTCCAACGCAACCGATGTCTTGTCCACAAAGACCATCGCGTCTACCGGAGATCCGGAGAACTTGGAGACGAAGCACACGTCACCCGCATTGTTGATGCCTATCACAACATCTGCTTCGGATGCTTGCTCCTCTTTCCGCGTGGCATCGATAATCACCCGCTTTCCTTCATCAAAGGTGTGGAAAGTGACGGACAGCGGCTTGTGTGTGATGTTTAATGCGACAGGGACGCGTTCATCGAGCCCGTAGACAATCACCTGGCCGTCCTTGACCACGGCATCTTGACGGCGGAAGTGTTGCAGTCCGGCCATGATACCGATACAAGCCGCATCAATCAGGTTGCCATCGTAATCGGTAACGTGGACGTCCGCACGGATGCTCCAGCAACTGACACCCTTGAGGATACAGAGAGACTCGGTATCCAGGGCATTGGAATGGCGAACGACGCGGTCCAGGACATTGGTGACGTATGTTTCAAGGTCTCCTTGCCTATAAAGGGTATTATTAGTACGGGACATGCTGCATGACAGCGGAAATCATACCGGCCATTGTCCCAGGCGGGTGAGCCCATCGCAGTTAGCTCCATGGCGATTGTGAAAAGACCATCAAACGGACGATCATCGTGGGGTTTCGTGACTTCAGCGGAGATTCGGACAATGAGACTATAATAGGCTAATCATCAGTAGAGTTAAACGGCAAGACAGCTGTCTACCTACCTGGTCCGGCCGAGTTGCACCTTCACATGCCCATACTCCTCCCCGAACGACACCTTCAGCGGACGCAGCTGGTCGGCCTCTCGACCGTCCAGACGCACATCCTCGCGCAGCGCATTGAGGATAAAGTCGCGCTCAGTGATAGAGAGCGGTGCTTCTTTGTTCATGATTGCGGAGGCGGATTTGGCCCCGGCGGGGTCACTGCGACTTTCTTGGAAATTTCCTGCATCGCATCGTCATCGAAACAGCGGGCGAACATTGTTCCTCATGAGCCAATGGTGGATCATCAATCAAGGGCGGTGAAGTGGCTGACTCAGAATGAAGCCTGAGGCCGCATTGCCCGAGTATCAGATCCTCATCCTCGTTCGGAGCGCCAACCACCAGCAACAACGAGTTAACAGCAGCCACCATGACTACGGGTAGGAATACCTATACTTGAGACTACTGGTGAATGCGCTGACAATTTAATAGCCCACAGACCCACGTTCGATCCCGTACGTACCACCGATCACTCGTTCGACACTCAAGCTCATTGGAACAGGCACAAGGGAAGGAGGCCCTCCGCGGCCCAGCATACCACCAACGTCTTCTTCCGGCGCACATGCACCTGAAAACACGGTAAGCGGATTGCTAAATCCGGTGCGGTATCATCTAACTCGTCCAGTCAACTCGGTCAGGGAAGTGAAATTGAAAGTCAACAACGCGATCTGCGCGCCGAGCTGCTCCAGGCGGAGGCTGCCCATTTTGCGAAGAAGAACGGAGTCCCCGTGGACGAGCCTACAGTCGAAACCGCTGTACCCAAGCGTCAGCTGGAAGGTGCCTCGCCCGATGGTGCTGAGGGAACAGAGGAAGAGGATCCAGAAGCCAAGCGACGACGAATACTAGAGGAGACACGAGATATAGATGCAGATTCAGATGAGTCGGAAGAGGACAGCAGTGAGGATGAAAGGTTAGACGCTCGGGATTTTGTGCGCAATGGTGCTGATAGGTTACAGTGATGAAGAGGATGAGGCTGCCGAGTTGATGCGCGAGCTGGAGAAGATCAAGCGGGAGCGGCTCGAGCAGAAAGAGAAAGAGGTATTACAACCACTGCATGTTTTCGGATGAGTACTCATGGTTACTAGGAACGCGAACGCGCTGCGGAGGAGGAAGAGCAGCGAGAGATTGATATTGCTCGCGGCAACCCGTTGCTTAACCCCCAAGATTTCAACGTGAAGCGCAGGTGGGACGACGATGTTGTGTTCAAGAACCAGGCCCGTGGAACGGAAGACAAGAAGGGCAAGGAGTTTGTCAACGTAAGTTCCTCTATTTAATTCGACAAATAGTGCTAACCAGCATGCAGGATCTGTTGCGCTCGGACTTTCACAAAAGATTTATGGTAGGTTGGGTGATCAGGGCCGATTAATATGTACTAACTTGCCTGTAGGGGAAATATGTCCGCTAAGCTCGACGTGCAATCGCCTCAGACAACGCACACCTTCATGGCTATTACTGTGCCACCCCTTGCCAGAAATGTCAGTACATAGGCCAGACTCATCGGACTTTAGACCGGATGAACAGCATGCGCTGGTGGATTCGGTAGCTCAATCCAGCTCGATGCAAGCCGTTCCTAGTACTCGGTCAAGTCACAGCAGGGAATAAGCTGACAGACACACTTGCACTAGATTGGGTTGATTTGCAATTGGCGCTATCGGTTTAATTCTTTGTGGTATACCCGCATCACAATCAGATACAGTATAAAGCTAGCCCATACTTGTAGTCTGTACTCCGTAACACTAGTATAGTAAAAACACCAGTATCACCATACTGCCGGCAAAACCCACACCGCTCCCCTCTCCACCGCAATCACCAGCCTCTATCATCAAGATTAATCCTCCACAACCAAGATCAAGCCTAATACACATAATACCATCTTACAATCTCTCAAAATGGAATCCCAACCATCATCCAAAGCCCTCCACTGTCCGCCCCCATTCCCCCCCCCTACCCTCTCCGCCAGCTTCACACTAACCATCACCGCAGATCGCATCACCACCAACATCTCACAATTACTCCAACGCTTCGAGAACATCATGGCGACCGCAACCGTTCGTACTATACCATCCACCAAACAGACTCCAATACACTAATGTTCTCAGACCGAAAGCACCAGCCACACCTCCACCGCCGTCGAAACGTACCAATTAGACGTGGAATCTACAGCTTTGGTAATCCTCCACCAGTCTCTATACCTTGCACGCCTACACTCACTAACCATACCTAAAATAATACAGGTCCGCGCCGCAGAAGACATCCTGGCCCTAACACGCACAATGAAAGAAACCTGGCTCTTCGGGAAACTCGACACGTTAGGCGAAGACGAAGCGGACGTGAAGCGCCGAGAGGAATTGGAGATGAATGCGAGTGCGATTCAGAACGCCATTGAGGAGGGGGGGTTGTTGAAGGCTGCGAAGTAGGATTTCCTGTGTATGGTATGGCATAATTGGCATATGGGTTTGGTTGGGTTGGATTGGTTGGCGTTAGTTGGATGGCGTTAATGGTTGGGTAGGGATTGTAAAAACGGATATACTGTGTAGATTAGTTAGTGAGTTATCTGAGATATAGATACCCTGTAAATCAATTGTTCTGTGAACATAGTTGTATATGAGTGGTATATTGAGGGAGGAAAAAGCACGTGGTTCACGCGGGGAATTATTTCTATCCCGGGAGATCACTCCTCATTATCTATCGCTATCAACAAATTCTCCCCGCCTCACTCCTCTCCTCACAACCAGTTACCACATCTACCTCCACAACTACCAACCTATACGACATCACCATCACAACCCTCCACTCCACCCTACAACAACCAAAACAACACCACCACCACCATGCCCCCCCACCCCATTCCCCCCCAACCCCTCACCCTCATCGTCGCAACAACCCCCATCCCCCTCCCCAACCCCAGCAACACCCACCCCAACCTCACCCTCGGCATCGGCCACCACGGCACGCTCCCCTGGCCACGCATCAAATCCGACATGACATTTTTCGCGCGCGTGACGTCGCGCCCGCCCGTCCCCGGAACCACCAACGCGATCATCATGGGCCGAAAGACATATGATTCTGTCCCTGCGAACTTACGACCTTTGGGAAAGAGGATAAATACCGTGATTACGAGGGATGTGCATTCTATTAGGGAACGGGTGAGGAGGGAACTGGAGGGGAGGAGGGCGAAATTGACTGCCACCGCTGCTGCTGCTGCTGCTGCTGAGGGACAGCCGGAGACGGATGCGATTGTGTGTGGGGGATTGGAGGAGGCGATCCGGGAACTGGAAGGCTCGTATGCGGAGAAACTGGGCAAGGTGTTTGTGATTGGCGGGGCGGAGATTTATGGGGCTGCGTTGAAGGTGTCAGGGAAGGTGAGGATTGTGATGACGAATGTGGAGAAGTTGGGGTATCGGGAAAAGGGGGAGGTGTTTGAGTGTGATACGTTTTTTCCGGTGGATGAGGAGTTGCTCGAGGAGAAAGGATGGAGGAAGGCGAGTGCGGAGGAGGTGACGGAGTGGGTGGGTGAGACGGTGACGGGCGAGTGGAAGGAAGAGGGTGAGGTGAGGATTCAAATGGTTGGGTATGAACGTTTGGAGTGAGGAAATGAACCTGGAAAGTGCGCAGGCGTACATCTCGGGAATGGACTAGTTATGAATACAGAAAGTATATGACAGTCTATCAGTAGTCCACAGGGCATATGTACAGTCTAGATAATCAACTAGCCGCCCAGCAATGCTGTTCAATCAGTATGCTCGCTGAAATAGCATCAAAAACACAATATCAACTGCAGGCCAACTCCTTGCTAATATACAAGCACAGGGAGTCATGCACTCGCACGGATGCAGACTGCCAGAGTAGGATCAGCAGAATAACACAGCTAACAATTTCAAAACACATGCCAAAAAGTTAACGCAACAATAGCATACATCACTCATGCTCCTTCATATACTTCACAAACGCTTTCTTATGTACTAGGCCGGCATATTGGCCATCGTGCGAAACGCACAGATAGCGCAGCCCCAACTTGGCAAAACATTGATATACAAGGTTGATGGGTGAATGGATGTCGAGGGCAATTGGGGACTGAGACAGGTCAGCTTCGTATGCATAGATAAGGCGAGTCACCTACCGGATCAATGTATTGACCAAAGTCGGCGCGATTAGTCTGGTCTTCATCTTCGCTGTCAGAGACAGCCGAAGACGTGTCCAGAGACATCAGACAGAGCGTATGTTCCTCGTCCTCCAGGTTATCCAATGCGTATTCGAGCTCGGGTGCAGGGATCAGCCCACTGAGAACGCCATGACGCAGGATCGGAAGACCCCCATCAAGCTCTCCTGCCATAAGCAGATTCTGGAGCTTCGAGCGTAGCTCTCTCGCAGGCACAAAGGATGAGCCCGAGATGTCGATGATACGACTCGACCGAACCGGCCGAACCAGATCTCCTAGCTGGGCATCCGACACCGGCTGGAGCTTGCTGTCCAGGAACGGATAAGAGTTCATATCGGTCAACATATCCTACACAGATTAGCCTCCTGGCACCAAAACTTCCGGTGGTACTTACATAGATGCTGCGAGGCTCGATAGCGTCCGCAGTCCACTTGGCACACAACACCGCCACGGAGAAGGGCAGCACATGATCCAAACTGCCAGTCAGCTCAAACAGGATGACAGCCAGGGTAACAGACAAGCGCGTCACACCGCACATGGTTGCGCCCGCCGCGACCATGGCATATACTCCGGGAGTCACGCAGGATTCCATTCCAGCGGTAGCGGGACAGGATGATCCAAAGAGGAAGGAGTTGGGATATTTCAGCACCAGATACTGCGCCGTATGCCCAACAATCCGCCCCATGAGACCCCCGACCACCATGGATGGGACATACACACCGCATGGCGTTTTGATACCGAAGGTAACCACCGTGAGAAGGCTCTTGATGACAAAAGCCACCAGAAGGTAGCGGATGATCTCCCCGATACCATCTTCACCAGGACACAAACCAGTCGGCGAAGACGATTCATGGTCACAAGGACTAGCCAACTCGAACATGAGCTCGGAAACGGGTAGCTTGGTGTAACGGTTCCAAAAGCTAACCAACCCGGTCAGCAGCGCAACGAGAACGACCTCGACCATTGGCCAGCGTTTGATGATGCCAATCCGTCGGAACGACCGCGCCCACAGGTTCGAGGCTTTGATGAAAAGGGCGCCAAGCGCTCCCCCGAGCACACCTAGGAGAATGAAGAAAGCCATCTCGAACATTTCCCAATCACCCAGGTACCGGACCTGGAACAAGACAATCTTGCCTGTGCCGTAAGGGTTGAGAAACTTCAGAGACAAAGCTGCTGCGATACAGCAGAAGAACGTCCGGAACAGGGTTTTGGGTGGGAAATAGTAGCTGACTTCCTCCAGACTAAAGAGGACGCCACCGATGGGTGCGCCAAAGGCTACTGCCACGCCACCCGCAGCGCTGGCGCTCAACACTTCACGTCTCTTGCCATCGTTCAGGTTATACTTGGAGAAGATTCGACAGCAAATGTTTCCTACGCAGGTCGCAATGTGCACGTAGGGGCCTTCTTTCCCCAGACTTAGTCCCGACGAGACACTGAAAACTAGAGCCAAGGTCTTGATGACCAAAGTCTTGAAGCCCAGATACCCATGAAGAACAAAGCCACTGTTAATGACCTTGACTTCCGCCACTCCACTTCCTGCTGCAGGATAGTAAACCATGGCAGGACGCGTGGGGATCGAGGAGCCGTGCGCTTGCTGGCTGGAGGCAGATCCAGGAGAATTACTGGTCCCCGCGTTCCCTTTTGTACTCCGTGACGAAGCAGCACCAAGGTTCTCATCCAATGTGGTCAACGACACCGAGGATGGGACGACTGTTTTCGTGAGCAGGGTCAGGTAGCACGAGATGGAGGCAAGAAGTACCACCCAGAAGACAAACATGCCGTAGTTTATCCAGTGGTTGTCCGAATGGAAGATCTCCGACCACGACCACCATGCAGGGCAGTTCGAGCCCCCGGTGCAGCAGCTCTGACGGTTGTGGAACCAATGCGTAGTGCAAAAGCCTTCCTTCACGTCGTAGATGAATCCTTCGGTCACATCTACCGAATAAGCTATCGCAGCAGTAATGCAGCCAATCAACGCAACCAGGACCCAGCCCTGGGAGCCATCCAGCCATGCCAGCAAGCGACCGCGAACATCTTTCCGCTTGCGCAGTTCCCGAAGACGAGCTCCATCGGCGATGCTGTCATGGACCCAGTCAGTAGACGTGAACTGATCATACCAGCTTCGCTCATCCATAAACGAAGCGGTCATGCCATCTTTGGCAGATGCAGCGAGGCTCTCGATCTGCTCCGGGTCAATACTGCCCCGTCGACTAAAGCGTATGGCCTGAGAATTGGCACGGCTATGATGCCGGGACCGACGGATGCTCCCGGTCAATAACGTGTGTTTGAAGTTGGCATCCGACCCCGAATTGCCCGAGAGATTAGTATAAGACCGCCGTGGCACACCTCGTCGATGGTCCTGAGGCTTTGCGAGAAGGCTGGTCGTTTCGCTAGCTTCCACAACCGGTTCCGATGTCTCCTGGGCAATTTGGACTTCAGAAAGCAAGCTGTGGGTTCGTCGGACGGCGGACGGGGAGGGGGGTGCGGTTCGCGAGACAGTCCGTCGACCGTCAGGCCCGCCGACTGGAAGCTCGGCATCTGGTAGCGCGCCGTGGAGATTGGGGGGTACGGAACGAGGCATTTCGGAGACTATTGCAGCAGGAGCTGCTACGGACTTAATGTTGTTTGCCTGGATGTCAGGTCAGCCCAGGCACTGCGAGGACCCCAAACGCAGACCAGCAGAATGAGAGGGGGAGATAAGGACAACCCTCAGCAACGGACATATCCAAGGACTTTTAAGAACCAGGAATCGAACAGTGGGGGCACCGACTAGTTCGGTGGTTCTCCAACACGGCGGATGGCGGTGAGGTTGCCCGAAATGGGGATGCGGAGCCAAACAAACACGGCAGGCGCAGTTCAGGGGGCGACAAACGAGCGACTTGAGGGAATTCCCAAGGGCAGAATGAGGGAGCAGTCCTGAGTTGCGGCGAAGCAACGGGAGAGAAAACGAACCGATCGGGAAGAAAGATCAGGTGCAGATAGATAGGAGGGGGATGCAGGAGGCAGCGATGGGCACGACATCCGAGGTGGTCATGGCCACAGAGGCTAGAGAAATAACTGGGCCACTCAAACGGGGCTAAAGGCGCATCATCTGACGATCCGTCACCCACTGGGCTTGACTTCGTTGGTCACCACGCCCGTCCCCATGCCCCTCCAGTGGCTTTGATTCCATGCTTTTAACGTTTCCCTGCATCGCAATGACGAGGGGGGGGCACAGTGACCGTCAGATAAATAAAGAATGCCGGAGCACCGATCCTTGGCACGTGCCTTGTCACGATATCCGGCCGGTGTAACCTGCCATTCTCCGGCCTTCTGCCAGTCGGAGGAGACCCAATCAGCGTCCCCACTCCCTGCCTAGTCGCTGCACCCCGGATGCCCGTTCTTAACTGTTTGTCCAGTATACCCAGGGATGTGATGCATGACCCCTCCATGAGGCACCCATTCCGGGGTTGGATCGGGCCCGAGGAGCCGTCCTTGACATCAGATCGACAATGGGCAAGGCGCTGGGACGGGCGCCTGGTTACTGCAATTGGTTAGCCGACCTTCGGGTCAAGGATCATCCTGGTGGACTACCTTTTTGTGGCTACTCTTAAGTAACATTGAGGTAGGCAGTACTCCGTACTCTGTACAAGATATGCCATTGCACCAGAGTCGATCAACTGAAGATCCCTAGCATTCCAACGTATATTCCAGTGTACTCCGTACAAATCCTATAACCCCACCGATAAAATGCCAGACGTCCATCCCTAGAAGTGGAATGGTATCCACCCGCTCACCAAGGCAATGTCTTTGTTCATCCGACCGGTCAAAGACAGTCCGATCCAGAGCGACATCACATTTCCAGATCCGGAGACAGATAACATTGCCACCTCCCCGCAGGAAGTAGAGCTACCTGTGCAGTACATGCATGCTACCATGGCTCCACTCCCCTACATGCAAGCCATGTATGTTTTGCCATCGCACTGTCAAGTTCGACAAGTGGATAATTACTATGTACAGGAAAGGTACTTTGGTGGACGACGTCAGTGACTGATCCAAACGTCTGTTTTTATCAAGTACAGCACATGAATCATCAAGAGTTCACAGGGCACATTGTGAAGGGCAGTCAAACAAGAGCCTATCCTTCCTATCTGCGCGTAGAAACTAGACTGATTCCAGGAATCTCCGCTGCCCGATGACAGCGATGGTCGGCTCCAATGCGGAGATTCCTAATCCAGCCGCCAATTGAAGGCCGCGATCCAATATATAGTTCGGAGGGCAAAGCACATGACGTATCCGTTGCAGAACACCGTTTGGGATCTACACCGTCGACGTGGGATGATGTCTAAGCAGCTTACCTCCCTAAGGAGGCTTCTGACAGTAGTGCAGTAGCAGTTAGATTCTCGATCCCAAATCCCGACAGTATGTCCACCTTACTAATACCAAATCAGTAAACTCTTAGAACACTGATGGATCTACTAGAGATATACCAATAAAGGAATATACCCTTTATCACGGTCCCCATCAACCATATCCCAAAGAACCGTCCTGAAACATGCCCCATTGTGAAACCAAGGCCTTCTTTCGTCTACCCATGGAACCCTCCCCCGGGATGAAACCAAAGATTCACCACTCCCGGATTCACCCTTTCCCCCGAACGGGACCCAACCCAAAACCCGCTCGATCACTTGGCGCCGCCAACACTTCATCATTCCCGTCCACAAGCGGATTCAATGAAGCTATGCCATCACATGAACGAATACTGATGTATTTCATGCCCCAGTATCTTCCTAGACACAAAACAGATCACTATCCCAGGAAAAGTGTATATGGAAACAGGATAGTAATATTTTGCGGGGTGGTTTGAATGTTGTGAGGGAAGGTGTAGGGGAAATATAGTGTCTTGATTCTAAACAAAAATTCAGGCAATATGCTATATGCTTGGAGTATCGGAAGAAGTGGTGTAGTAATAATGCTGCTCACATTATTCGTGGGAAGTTGCCTAAGGCTCCATATACGAGGCGCCATCGAACCCGGTTCAGGCTGATACCGGATGGCTGTGTCGTCGGGCTCGATCCGGAAATAGTCCTTCAGCAAATCACTCTCCTTGAATATTTGGCAAATCCAAATTATTAAGGAAGAGCGTAAGTGGGCTCGTTGTATGTTAACGGGGATTCATGAGGTCGGTTTGAATCTCCTTGCTGGACAGGACACTGGATGAGGACATGGCGGGCTAATCATTGTCGCTAATACCTGACACAACTTCTGACACGGACTCGACACACTCTGAGAGCATAGCAGTATTAAGAATGACTTACAAGGGATGTAAAATCCTTGATTATGTATTTTCATTAAGGTTTTTGCGCTTCAGCCGAAAAGGATAAAATCAGATGGTGAGCGAGCGGCATTTTATGATGGAAGTAGTCGCATCAATACCGGTATCCAGCTTTATTGACACATTCGGGTTGGCGAGCTGGGCTGGTGAATAGAGGATAATGTTGCGAAGAGAAGGTTGGCTCTGGTACTCTTGATTGCTTCGCTGCAAACCACAAAGCCCTCCGCTTGTAGTTCAGGAAAGGTGATTGAGTTGTATCCTCTTGCCTCACGATCTCTTTACGCAATACATTCATCCTCTCAGTTTTGGCATCCGGATGTTGTTGATGGATGAGTGCAGAAGTGCAGTATAGGCTCTTTCCAGGCATCAGATGACCTGCTTTTCTGCGGCCAAGAAATCGGGCCTGGCATGGACTCGGAGGACATCCCCGCACATCCGAATTTCATCATCATCGGGCTGAAATGTATTTTGCATTGTGGACGATGGCGGGTTGATTTATCCCGCGATGAAGGAATTGATCTTCATTACGATGGGTTTCTGAAATGGCCCAGTCGAAGTTTCTGGGCAGCCTTATAATGTCGTGACAATCGCTGTAAGTCCGGAGGAACATTCGAGACGCATTGTAGGCACTGACTTGTCTAGTAGTTAGCCTTGTCCCGATGTCCTTTTCAAGCCACTCAACTTACAAATTCAGGGACGCAGGTACCTTCCTTTCTGGAAGCGGACTCGATGCGCCTTATCCTCCGCCAATACGCCTCGGCAGAGACTTCCGTGCAGAAAATGGGGTAGATCTGCAGGATAAATATGCCAAGTAACAGCGCGTTAGCCATGGGCAGGAATATCGCAACTTTATTGAATGGTGCCCCTCTGTATGAAACCAAACCGCTGCTCGTATATGCACCAGACTTGTCAATCCGTTGCCCACAGTCTGCCATCACATCCATCATGACTGAAGGTCGTATCCCGTTGTCTTGGCCTGCAACCTATGGATCTGAGGACAGATATCATTCGCTGAATATGTTTTCCAAGACTTTTGTTCCAACCGGTAGGTAGAGGAAGATGGTGGAATTCTGCTTGGATAGGTGGGTGTCATGCCTTATTCTTAGATCGATGTCGCAATCGAGAATGCTCTATCAATGGTATTAGGCAATATCGATGCCTGGTGTCGAAATAGTCTTTATTGATTCCTAGACGCAGGAGAAAGATATAAAGTCAGCCTTGAGTCTCTCGACGAACGAGGAACAATATCACAACTCAAACATCCCACGCACCGAAATTCACACTTGTCTTTTCAGATATCCATGATGAAGCAGATCAAGACCTTTGTTCATCTGACGACCCTCCTCTCAGCTGCCACCAAGGTAGTTGCTCATGGTCATGTGAGCAACATTGTCATTAATGGCGTTTCCTACCGTGGCTGGGACATCAACTCGGATCCCTATAATTCGGACCCCCCTGTGGTAGTCGCATGGCAAACACCAAACACTGCGAACGGTTTCATTACGCCCGATGCATACGACACAGACGACATAATATGCCACCTGGATGCAACTAATGCTGAAGGTCACGCAGTCGTTGCTGCGGGAGACAAGATCAGTCTTCAATGGACCACCTGGCCCGACAGCCACCACGGCCCAGTTATTAGCTATCTCGCAAACTGTGGCTCGAGTTGCGAGACTGTGGACAAGACGACGCTTGAGTTCTTCAAGATTGACGGTGTTGGCCTTGTTGATGACTCCGAAGTCCCCGGCACTTGGGGAGACGATGAGTTGATCGCAGACAACAACACCTGGCTAGTGGAGATTCCAGCCGTTGCGCCCGGCTATTATGTTCTTCGTCATGAGCTGATTGCTCTGCATGGAGCAAGCAGTGAGAATGGAGCCCAGAACTATCCCCAGTGTTTCAATCTGCAGATTACCGGGACAGGGACTGCCGAGCCTTCCGGGGTACTGGGCACGGAACTGTATACCCCCACCGATGCCGGAATTCTCGTCAATATCTATCAGTCTCTGTCCACTTACGAGGTTCCTGGCCCGACATTGATCCCCGAGGCCGTGTCTGTTGTTCAGTCGAGCTCGACGATTACTGCGTCTGGTACGCCGGTGACTGGGACCGCTACCTCAACTGCAACATAGTGCTTCGATCACTTGAGCGACCGGACTTCGATTGACATAAGCTCAAGAGAACCAATAAACGGTCTTTGATTGGACTGCCATCACCATGAGCGGGAGTGGGCGGTCGGTTCAGCTCTGTCTGCTTGCTTAGTTGGGGCGAGTTGCTGTTTAAACATTCGTTTTCTTCCGCCCTGAGGTCGGTATCCGAGGCTGCTTGTATCCGTGTCCCCTCTTTTTCGAAAGACATTTTGCACCATACTTTGGAACATTCGTTAATTAAATTATGCTTTTCGGAACAAATCCCCGTAGGAAAATTACCATGGAATGGTGAAAATGGCCCTTATCTGATGTAGTTTCACATGGCTCAAGAATGTGGCTGGAAACCCGCAGATTCTGCCCAATAAGTGACGGTCACTAAGGAAGGCCAGCTGAAAGGACGGGAAGAATTAATGGATCCCTAAGCAGCACGTAAGCGAACCTGCGGCACCGGACTCCGCAGCCCGTACTCTCATCCCCGAGGATGAGGGTCAAAAAGCGGTCTAACCGCCGCCACGGAGGCTTTGCGTCCGCCTCCCCAGTCACCTGGCTGACCGGCAGGCTCGAAGGGGCAAGGCATGGTCTTGTTGACATCCATCCACCTGACGGAGAATTTCCGCCATCTTGACTCATTCCGACAACAAGCTTTGTGGGGATCGGACATAAAACACAAGCTTGGCGGGGTGTCCAGGCCCCGAGACATCGGAGTAACATCATCTCCCAGGCTGATACGGGGTAGATACAAGGGGCTTTGTTGTGATGAGATGTGCCCCCTGTCCAACTCCATGGACTGGGGTTGACGCCATCCCCACGAATGCGGGCGACCCTGGTTTACCCCGGAGGAAAGCCCCTAAAATGCTAGTTCCGAGGCGATCGAAAAGCCGGTCCGTCCGGGGGACGCTAACCCCATCCATCCAACACTCCCCACAGCTCGTGGAACTGGCCGCGTCCGATCACATCAGCGTCGCTGTTACCCCGACTAGCAGAAAGGAGGTAAGCGAGTGCCCGTCGTCTTTACCACCCAACGGCTCTGACAGGCTAGCAATGCTATCGCTTCCTCTCAGACGTGGCGCCCCTGTTTGTGGGGACCGTGAGATCCCCACGTTCTCTCCACAGCCTCCTCTCCTTTCAATGGTCACTACCCCGGAGATGATACGTACGACTCCCCAGTCCCCATCGTGAATAAGCCTAGAACTGTCGCTGGCGCAGAGCTAGTGCTTCCTGGACTTGGCCCTAGCTCCGGATTTTGTGGAAGCGACAGAAAAGCAATTGCTGCCCCCATATATACCGTTGTGTCTCTTCTCTCTTCTGTCAGGTTTCCAGGTTGCATCTCTGCCCTCCCTCTTTTCTCCCTGAAACACCAAAGTCTTTTTCTCCCTGAAACACCAAAGTCTTTTTCTCCCTTGAGCATCTTGTCCTTCTTGTTGGAGCTTCGAACTTTTTGTTTGTTCGCAGGCATTATGCCCTCTATCGAAATGACCGAGGACGTGCGGCCAACGCCCTCCCCCAAGACACAAGATGAGACCCATATCGAGAAGAACAGCAGCGAGTATTTTGAAAAGATAGAAGAGGGCCCTTCTTCGTACGCCGAGATTGCGGCGGCCTCTCTTTCACCCTCTCATCGAGAGTATCTCCTTCAACGTCATGGAACCTTGGATCTAGATCCCATCCCAAGCCCGTCGGGTGCAGACCCGTACAACTGGCCTACTTGGAAGGTATAAAAGCACTTTTTGTATCGCTGGTCCAGTTGCTGACTGCATGGCCTCGATGATAGAAATTGGCCAACCTGATCCTCGTCGCCTTCCACGCCTGCATGGGAACATTCACAGCCTCAATCATCCCTGCCTATGAGAGCATCGCGGAGGACCTTGGGGTATCAATGCAGAGGGCAAGCTACCTGACCTCCCTTCAGATCGCTATTCTCGGAGGCGCACCTCTGTTCTGGAAGCCATTAGCCAACCGATATGGACGTCGACCCATATTCCTTCTATCAACCATCCTCAGCATGGTATGCAATGTAGGCTGTGCGAAGAGTACTACCTATGCCTCTTTGGCCGCATGTCGAGCCCTTACGGCTTTCTTCATCTCACCCGCAGCAGCCATTGGCAGTGCAGTGGTTACAGAGACCTTCTTCAAGAAGGAGAGAGGCCGCTATCTGGGTGTCTGGACATTGATGGTCACCTTGGGTGTTCCAGTTGGTTCGTTGTCCTCTGAAGTACTAAGGTCGTTCCCCACTAACCGACCCTTTCTTAGGTCCTCTGATCTACGGTTTTATCACGTATCGCGTGGGATACCATTGGATCTTCTGGGTCTTGGCTATCACCAATGGCGTCCAGTTTATCCTGTATCTGTTCCTGGGGCCTGAGACCCGCTACATCGGTGGCAGTACGGAGGGCATTTCCGATTTCAAAGTCCAGTATTTGTCACTCCGCCGTATTGATCCAACACCACTCACACTCTACGAATTTGTCCACCCTTTGACCATGGCTGTGCGCCCCAGCGTGATGATCCCCGCATGTGCTTACGCCATGGTCTTCTTATTCGGTAGCGTGATGATCACAGTGGAGGTTCCCCAGCTTTTGCAAGCGAAGTTTGGACTCAACGCCGAGCAGCTCGGTCTGCAGTTTATCGGAGTGATCATCGGTACCATTCTAGGCGAGCAGATTGGAGGATCCATGTCCGACTACTGGATGACTCGGCGTGCACGCAAAGCACAACACAAACCAGATCCCGAGTTTCGTCTTTGGCTAAGTTATCCCGGTGTGATTCTGACGATTGTTGGTGTCATTGTTTTCCTGGTCTGCACCCAACAAGCCGCTGCCGACCACTGGGTCGTGTCGCCAATTGTAGGCACGGCCATTGCTGCCTTTGGTAACCAGCTTGTGACGACTGTTTTGGTGACCTATGCGGTGGACTGTTATCCCGAGGACTCTGGCAGTGTTGGTGTTTTCATCACCTTTGTTCGTCAAATGTGGGGATTCATTGGTCCATTCTGGTATGTTACGCCCATCCTTGGTAGTCCTTGATGAAACATGCACTAACAATGACTAGGTTCCCTGACATGTTCGACAACGTTGGTGTTGCGGCTAGCTCGGGCGTGGCGAGTGCATTGATGTTTGCTGTCAGCTTCTTGCCTATCGTTGCCGTCCATATGTTTGGGCGGAAATGGCGCAACTCTTAGGATAGCGTGTATTTATGACGGATGTACCATTTACGATTTTGAGTGAAATATACCATTTTTCTGTTTCCATTCGTGCTATGTTCTCATGGACAACTTACGTTGTAGCATGTCTCGCGACCCTTGGTCCTTAGGCCAGATACTATAGCCAAAGTATAAAAATACACTTCCTGTTCTTGGACCGTCCTTGCAACAATAAAAGATGTACTACCCTCAGAAAAGGTATACAATTTCTGAAATTATCACGCATCTCCTAGCTCTACTAACTCATAGATCAATGGCTCTCAAAACGCTCTCCGCCGCATATACGTACAGTGAAGCCTTAGTCCCCTAAGCAAACCAATGTACTCCGAGGTCAAGAGTGACTAGACAGGTATACTCACATAAAGGAAATGCCTGTGATGGTCCATATAAGAGTATGATTATGCTTGGTAAACCACAAGAGTGAACCATCACCGAACCAGACCCTGCCTCGCACACTAGAAACTGACCCAATCGCCAATTGGCACTTGACCTGTCAACCACGCATGAGAAGCTGCCAGCCAACTGCACCAACCTAGTACCATCCCACACTGGCGTGGCCACGCACTCCCACTCGCTCAACAGTCCAGAGCCGTCTAGTTGGCGCCACGCTCCCACAATCCGAACTTAAATCTGTGGTACTGTGGGGAGATTCTGTGCCACTATCCCACAGTAATTGATTGATAATGCCACAGCTAGAGTGGAGGTGCTGTGGGGAGAAACTAGGGGCTTTGTTGGTGCCTCTTGAGGGGGGTATACTTGTCTGATTGTATGTATGAGTGCTGCTTGGCGTATTCTCCACACTTCGTATCATTCATTAATCTTTGTGGGTTGACAGGATGTGGATTGGATGTGGGTGCATAAGAGGGTTTTACTGGTTTCTTGTGTATAGTATACGGGTGTTTTGGCTCTTCTCTTGTCAAATGGGAGGATCTTGGCTTGTACGGTCATGGAAGGTACGAGGTGTATCATCAGGTTAATTGGGACTTGGATCACTTGTTATCGGATTGTGTATGTTAGTACCTCCCACGCGGAATGTCGTTATCTGTGACCATTTACAACCATCGCCAGTCAGGCATCTTTCCAACCATTTCCAGCGGATTCCAACCTGGTATCGGCGGATCCCTTATTCTGGCTGCATGCCTTCCTATGCAACTCACTATCCCTTACTCTGCTTGCACCATCCGAGTCCAACTCATCGCAACTGCTAAAGTACAAGGCTGAATGCTGACTGTAGAAGCTGGGTTGCGAATGCTACACGCATGTCGACCCAACAATGAACCGAGGATCATTTCCCAAACATTCCAAGGGATGATCTGCCTCGGCTCTCTCCACACCCCACGCCTCTCCACACTCGTATCAGGATTGCCAAGGCCCGTTATCCCTCCTCTCGACTCTCGAGAAGATGAAAGTTGCGGAGATCGATGAATCCCCTCGATATCCCCAGGTTTATGTCGCCCAGAAATCGCTCCCCCGCATTTTCCACCCCGTGTTAACCCAACAATTGCCGCAAGTATTGTCCGCAAGAATTACTCCTCGTCCGGGCACCGTTCAGTCTACCCACAATACTCAGGCAAGGTTAAAATGTCTCGGCATCCTTTCGTCCATCGGATGGACGTCCAGACAACAATGAGGTAACCATGCACCCTTCTGTCGAGTGGTCCGTTATCTCCGAGAGTGGAGTCGGACGAACCCGACCAGAACGGTTAAGCGCGAAAAGGGAGCAACGAGCAGCAGCAGGCAGCAGGCAGCAGGCAGCAAACACTGGGAGCTATGGCAGTAATCAGTATAGCTGCTTCTGGCAAACAGCTTAAGCTCGTAAAAAGTTATTCCGGTCTCCAGTGAGGGTTTCTCTTCGAGGAAGATGTTTCTCTTCGATCTCTTGCAGACCATCCTCATATTCAAGGCCGACTTGCTGAGCCACTTTGCGCCACCCAGTGCTCCCCCCTCTGGCGGGGCATTTGATTGCTCGGTGGACTCTATCAAGTTATTGCTTCCAGCTGGGTCCAAGGTTCTCTATGCTTCTCACTATGAGGCCGATTTCAAATTTACGCCTCCGCTCGAGCATAATACTGGGGCTTTTAGGCAATCGTCGTTTGTCCTTCCAAGGAGTGCTTGTATCTTCCAGGCCAACTTAACACTTACTGGAGACACACAGCATAGTGTGGGTGTGGTTCTGCCGGATGATTGGAATGGGAGATTCTTGTATGCAATGTCCTGCTTGCCTGGCAGTTGCGCCATCTGCTAATTTGTGTACAGGACAGCGGGAAACGGGGGTTTCTCGGGAAGCGTTAGCTGGGGTGCCATTGTATGTTCATTATCCTCGCTCACGCGTCCACACACAGCTGCTGATACAAGCTACTACGATAGATTGATGCCTCTTGGTATGGCTTCGCTGCTATCTCTACAAACACAGGTCATGAGAGCTCAGGCGCTGAGTGGGCATACCATAATCAAGATGCTCTCGCCAACTGGGGCTACCGGGCTATGCACGATGCTGTTGTCAACGGAAAGTCCGTGACGGAGAAATTTTATGGGAAGGATATCTCTTATAGCTACTACCGCGGCTGCTCCGCAGGTGGAAAGCAGGGTCTCAAGGAAGTCGAGATGTTCCCTGATGATTTCGACGGGGTGATTGTCGGAGCTCCCGCTTGGTGGACAACTCATCTGCAGCTCTGGAACATGATTGTCGGTATCTGGAACTCACCAGCCGACTCGCCGCATCATCTGTCAAATAAGCAGTTTGATATACTGGCCAACGAAGTCATTCGCCAGTGTGATCCGCAGGACGGAGTGGTAGATAACATGATCATGAACCCGGATGCATGCACCTTCCGGCCAGAGGCTCTCCTGTGTGCCGACGACGCCACGGATCTTTCGACCTGCCTGAACACAGAGCAGGTCAAGACCGTTTACAAGCTTCACAACGACTGGGTGGAAGCCAACGACACGTTTGTTTTCCCGCACCTCGCTCTAAGCAGTGAGTGGAGATGGAGCGACTTGGTGGCCTCACCCTCGAGGTTCGGTACTGAATACGTCAAATGGATGCTACAGTTGGGTAAAGACTGGACGTGGGAGGACTGGAACCCCGATCTGATCAAGTTGTCGGACGAGCTTAACCCTGGAAATGCCACAACGGACGACTATGATCTTACTCCCTTCCACAACAAGGGCGGCAAGATCATCCACTACCATGGCTGGTCGGACTGGTCTATCGCTGCAGGATCAAGCATTTACTTTTATGAACAAGTCACCAATGCTTTGGAACCGAAGGGAATAAATTTGGATAACTTCTACCGCTTCTATATGATTCCTGGAATGGGGTAAGCTTCCTCTGTCCTTTGACTCTGCAGCACCTGCTAACGAACCAGTCACTGTGGAGGCACTTCGGATCTAATGGGAGCGCCTTGGGTTATTGCTGGAGATGGACAATCCTCCAGTCTGGGAAGGGATGGAAACATCCACAGCGTGCCTGGGCATGAGGATGCGCGTCACGACGTGGTCCTTGCCATGATGAACTGGGTTGAGAATGGGACCAGCCCGACCGAGTTGATTGCGACGAAGTTTGTGAATGATAAAAACCCACACGAGGGGGTGTATCGCCAACGGCCATTGTGCATGTATCCTGCGCAGGCTCAGTACAAGGGCTCGGGGGATATTGATGCAGCAGATAGTTGGGAGTGCAGGGCGCTGTGATACAATCCCTCTGCATAGAATATTCTCATCGAAATTTAAGTTCAATGTCGGTCGCGACGAGAGTAACATATGCATAACCCGGAGGATATTCCGATCACAAGTTCAGGAACTACTTAAAACTAGGAGTCCACGCGGCAGCTCGTTGGTGGAGAAATTCGGCTGAGCCTGCCACCGCCGCCAACTGATCAACTGCGCCCCTCCGTTTATCGGGTATCGGAGCTTTATGCGAGCCCCTCCGCCCACCAGAATCTCCGCACCTGCACCTCTCTTACTTCCAACTCTTCCATAGATCCTTCACTGTCTTGGACAATTGCATCATCCGTATACATCATCATGTCCAACACCGCTCCTTCGGCCGACGATGAGGCTGTCTACAAGCCATACGACCAATTCCTGCTCTTCGGCGACTCGATCACCGAATACTCCAGTGGCCAGGACATGGGATTCGGGTTCCACCCAGCTTTGCAGAATGGTGAGCAAACAGGCATACCCTCTTAGCACCTCCACATACTGACTTGCCTAGCTTACAGTCGTCGCTTGGATGTGGTGAACCGTGGATTGGCGTACGTCCATTGACTTTAAAACGGAGCATCAATCACTGACTCTTCCACAGTGGATACAACTCACTTCACGCCATCAAGGTCTTCCCCAGAGCTTTTCCTTCTACGGAACAAGCTAATGTGCGACTCATGGTGAGCTTCTCTGACTTTAACCTGCAAAACAAGCCCCGCGACACTAATAGCAACACCAGACCATCTGGTTCGGCGCCAACGACGCCAGCCTTCCAGCCTTCGAACAGCACGTCCCTATTGAAACTTACAAGGCGAACCTGAAGCGCATCATCCAGCACCCCTTGACGGTTGCTCAGAAGCCCCGCATCATGATCATCACCCCACCCCCCATCAACGAGTACCAATTGGCTGGGTTCGATGCCATGAAGGGAAACCCGCATCCGACTCGCACTGCCGCTCACACCAAGAAGTACGTAGAGGCTGCGCGGGAAGTCGCTGCTGAATTCGGATTGCCTGTTGCAGATGTCTGGAGCGCGTTCATGTCGAGTGTGGGGTGGAAGGAGGGCCAGCCGCTTGTTGGATCGAGGGATGTGCCTTACGATGACAAGTTCGCGACCTTGTTCACGGATGGACTGCATTTGGCGTCGAATGGGTATCGCATTGTCTTTGAGGAGGTCATGAAGACGATTGGAGAGAACTGGCCTGATCAGCTGCCGGAGAATCTTCCTTATGTATTTCCGGCGTGGAGCGTGGCTCCTAAATAGCTGCAGTGGTCAGTTGTAAAGGGTGGTGGTTAACATGGACAGTCCGTGAATATATATATAGTGGGCAGGTTCACAGGATCGGTGGTGGCGCTATTAGACGCAGGCACCAGAGTGGAATACTATATGTAAACCTATAGAGTGAATAGAAGACCCATGCAGCCACGGATGGCGTTATTGGCGCCTACTATTGAACCTCCAACGTGCAGATGAATAGCAGACAGTTAATGGCTCGTGGGATGAAAGCGGTCTAGATGCGGCGCACGGAGGCCGCTGGTTGGCTGGGCGGCGGTGGTTTGGATCCCCTCACGATTTCCGGTCCGACGGCTCTTCTCGACTCTCCTCATTCCCTTCTGCCACCTCCTCGACTCCCACTATTCTTCAACGACTTTCTCCACCCCATTTTCTGACGACTCAAAAGTGCTTGCGCCTCTCTTTTAGCGACCTCCTTCTTTTCGACTCCCTCGTTCCCCCGCAAAGGCATCCTAGAGAAACTCCCGCCCATTCCTCGTCCCCCTCGACCCTTTCACGACAGCTGAACAGGGCGTACCTTATTGCATTCTCTTGAATACAGTGCTTTGCCTCGGATAATTTTCTCTACGGCATTTTCTTATCAACTCCGTGAACTCGAACAAGTGAAGTGTCATTTAGGCGTATCGAGCCTTCACTCCACCTTTGACCTGACAACTTTCCCACTGCACATACCACAACGCCTCCCGCCTCTTCCCTTCCACCGCCGTTCTCCGTAACACGATCGCTCAGCTCCTTCCTCGCAGCACCCCCGCCGATAGCCTTTTTTTTATATGTTCTTGAAGAGATTCGCGGATACTCGTTCTTAGAAAATCGGGGGGACGGCCGTTCGGCCGTCACGCAGCACGAGGGAGGAGGACTGAGGATAAGCGGGCTACGGTAGCAGCTGATCCAAGATAACATATTGTGGAGGAGAAGCGAACTGCCTGGTATCAGAGATTGGTTGTGTTTGTCTGCAGGTCTCTTTCTTGACGTTCCTGTGTTTCGCCACCATCCAGCGTCCCGTTCGTCCGTCTGGATATGGATGCCCAGTATCCTTTTGCTTCCCGCGACGAAATTTGGCGTGTTTTTGAAGAGCTGAAAGAGCTCCACGCCACGCAGTTTGAACAGGCGGAGCGGATCGCGAGATTGGAGCGTCGCAGGGACGAGGATGCAAGGTTGAGAAGTGTTTGGGGTCCTCTGTCGCCTTTTCCTAGCTCCGTTGGGGGCACAATCCCCACAGGTGTGTGATAGTTCCCTGGGTCTTAGCGAGCACTTGTTAGAGCATGGCTGATAGCTGTCTTCTGCAGAGTCGGTCTTCCATACCCCCGCGGACGCTTTCAAGGGATTCGATCAGGGACACCAGCACGGGGCGGTCACTACAATGGGTTTGGACAACGAAGATGAGCCACGACGGGGAACTTCCCGGGCGAACAGCGTTAGATTTGATGAGAGTGCCATCCATGGGTACTACGGGCAAACTAGTCGAACTAACAGTGAGTTGCCGCTGCGGACGGGGAGCGGACTCGGAAGCCACCCGTTGACGGAGCGGTCTCTGTCCCATCGGTCTGATGGAAGACAAAGCTCCTCTGGACATTCGCACCACTCGGCTCGTACCAACAGTCTGGGTTTTGAAACAACTAGCAGAATGTTGAGCTCGGCCGGGTCCCCTCTGATTCCTCCCCCTGGCCTGTTCCTCCTTGGCCCAGTACCGTGCATCATTCGCTGCTGGCTGACAACCAACTTTTCCAACGATTCTCTGCTGTACGCCGCTGTCTGCTCGGGCTCCTATACCTCGTCGCTGGGATATCCGATGATCCAGACGCTCGGTCTGGCCGATCAGGTTTTGGATGAAGGGGGTCTCCAGTACATCAAGCTCCCGATCTACCTTCCCGAAGCTAGTGTGCACCAAGCCTCTTCGCGGTCCAGTAGCCCTGAGCCTCAGGTACCTACTTTGACCATTCGATTTTTGGTTCGTGAGGTCGACCCCAGCGACAATTCGATCCAGATTATCCTGGGCAGCGACGTGCTCCGCTCCCATAATGCCGACGTGTTGTTTTCTCAGGACAAAATCATCATGGTTGACGACGAACGAAACAAGGTCTCCATTCCCTTGGTGCGCCCCGAGGATGATTCGGTCTTCAAGTCTTTGTCCACGATGACGGATGCCGCTCGCATCGGACGAAAGGCCGGCTCTGTCCAAGGGGACATCCAGGCGGATACGAACGGTCATGCGACATTTGGCGTGATTGGACGTCCTGCCAGTCTTTCTCGTCCGGCTACCTCGACATCTGCGTCTGCGAGGGGGTCTCCTGAGGGGTCCGAGGAGAGTCGAAAGACCCGCCCGGATACCCAGGAGTCGTTGACGGACACAGACACCCAGAAGGAGCCGAAATCTGGCGTGGAAACCGACGCTCAAGCTATTGGTCCGGCACGGGTGGAGGCGACTGGCGTCTGGGGCTCGTGGAAACGCGATTCCAAGTCAGATGCGAACGCTTCCGCGGCAGGCAAGGCGTCTCGTGGCCGTACTATGAAAGTTTTGCGGCCCACGAAGGCCTCTACACGCGCCACGCCGGCGACGGCCACGCCTAGCAGCTCTGGAGCCGATTACGCAGGAAATTCGGCATCGCAGCCGGCTTCGACGCGCGCATCGCCCGACGGGACCCGGACGAGCAAGCAGTGGCCTAGCAATCCGGTTGGAGGCGCGTCTGCCTTTGGATGGCTCAACACGACGCAGCCCGCCGGACGTGCCGGATGACTGACCCCCTAAATGAAACATATTAGGGCGTGCGATTTTGTAGCTGCTGCGTGTCTTTGGTCGCCAGACTAGTCCAATAATAACTGATTATCCTATACCTCAATCCACACGTAGTCTCCTCCCTCTAAAGAACCGCTCAAACCCACCCAAAACCAATAACTCAAATCTTCGCCAAACTCTCCACCGCCCCCCTCGTCTCATCCTTCATCTCCTTCACCAACCCACTCACCTCCCTAAACCCCTCATGCCTCGCATCCCCCAAAATCTCAAACAACACACTCTCACTCGTGGTCACGATCGCCCCCGCATCCCGCAACCTCGCAATCGCCACCCCCCTCTCCTCCTGATTCACACTACTCACGCCATCCACAATCACATACACCCGATGCCCTCTGGCCAATAGATCAAGCGTCGTCTGCGTCACGCAAATATGGGTTTCGATGCCCACAAGGAGGACATCGAGCGGTGTGTCCTTGGCATTTGGGAGGAGGGAATTGATTTCGGGCGTTATCATTGAAAAAAGGGTTTTGTCGACATTGGCGACGATGTTTTTTTGGATGGCGGGGGTGGAGAGCAAGGTGGTGAGTTCGGGGACGGTGGGGCCGAGTTTGCTGGTTGATTGGGTGGTTATGTAGATTGGGATGGAGAGGGGGGCGGTGGATCGGAGGAGTTTGGTGGTTGTGGTTATTCTGGTGTTTCTATGTTAGGGGGTGGGTTGCTTTGGGGGATAGTTGGGTTGCTTTGGGGGATAGTTGGGTTGCTTTTGGGGGGAGGGGAGGGGACGGACACTTTGGGGAATTCGTGGATGGCGTGCCGGAATTTTTCTTGGAGGTCGCAGATACTAGAGTTTTGGTGTTGTGTTAGTGTTGGGTTTGGAAAGGGAGTTGGGTGAGAGGGTGGACTTGGATTGATCATGGGATGGGATGGGTTGAGGGGTGCGTACAAGAGCGCTGGGTTGCCTGTGATATTGTTAGTGTGGACTTGTGGGAGGGAGGGAGGGATCACGTACGGATGCGGGTTACGCGGGAGAGGCTGGCCATTTTGGTTGATAGGGGGGTTTGAGGTGTTGGTTTGATTGATTGTTGAGGTCGGTTGACAGGAGGGATACTGCTGGTGATGGATGGGATTCGGATGGATGGAGGAGCGGGGAAGCGAGGGGGTCGAGGTCAGGTGTGCGGGGAAATCATTCCTGCCGTGTTTCTCAGGCTCACTATGGTGATTGCTTAGTGGCTTGCATAGTGAACCAATGAATTTGATACATTATTCTGGTATTCTTTGAGAGACGATGTTCTTTCTAGAATGTTTCATCCAAACTTTTATGTACAAGTCTATCGGTTATACAAGAATCTCCTGCACCTTCGCCCGTCCCTCAAACCAGCTGTGGTCGCCTTTTAAAGCCGCCTGTCGGATCGCATACACCTCGTCCAAGAACGCAGGCACAAAGCTGCCCGGTCCCCGCACATACTCCTTCGAAGCCGCATTCTCCGCAGCAATCTCGTACATCAACAGACCGGCTAAGACAGCAACGAATTTGTCTTTCGGGTGTGTAGTCAAGAAAGCCCCGGAGACAGTGCCCACGGCACAACCAGTCTATATTGTCAGTAGAAACTCTCTTCAAAGCTTTGGGAAAACCTACGCCGGTGACTTGTCCGAGGAATTCGTGGCCGTTTTCGATTGCAACTACGCGCTCTCCGTCGCTGAGGTAGTCAATGGCACCAGTAAGGAGAACAATGTTGTCTACGTGGTCAGCTAGAGTCTACCAGTTCAGAAACAATACTTACGCTCTCTCTTGGCAAGATCGCGCGCCAACCTGGCCTTTCCTTGACTGTCCAGACTGCTTGGCCCGCTGTCGACGCCGCGCTGCGTTACGCCGCTGCTGCCAAACACCTGACGAATCTCTCCTTCGTTGCCTTTGATGAGATCAAAGTAACCGCCAGCCATGAGCTGGGTGACAGCACCACGGCGGATCCCGGTAGCGGCGGCGCCAACCGGGTCGTACACCACGGGATTCCCGCGTACATTGTAGGCCTTGAGGGCTTTTAGATAGTTCGGAATGCTCTCGCTCGTGAGGGTGCCCATGTTGATGACCAGCGCACCGTCGAACTGGCAGAGATCGACAGCTTCGTCTCCGTACGGTGACATGATCGGTGATGCCCCCCTACATATCATTAGAAAAAGCGGTAGCTTGCATGGAAGAGGAGAATCACATGGAAAGAGCAACATTGGCGACAAAGTTCGCTACAACGTAGTTGATCATGTTGTGCACCAGCGGATGGCCCTTGACAACCTCTTGGACAACCTTAGGCACCTGTTCGAGCAACGCTGTGGTGTCACGGACGGCCGTCGCCTCGCTCCGCACAAAAGGTGGAGGGCTGGAGATGAGTTTCGCAAACTCGGCGGCGGCTGCCGTCGGGTCGTCTGCAGCCATGATAGCGCTGACGATCGCGACGCCATCCAGGGTTTTTTTAGGAGCCCGGGACTGGTAGAGAACCCGCTGAACATTGGATGTGTTGATTCCACCAATGGAGACGGTGCCAACCGAACGACCCGAGTCTGAGATGGCCTCGAGGATGGCTTGGGTTCCGGCAGTACCGATGATGGACTTGGTGTTGGTTTTCCTACCGTTGTCAGTGATGTACGTCCATCAACCGCTAGAGACCTACGTCGGAGTGGCAAACATGGTGCCAATCCCAAGGTAGTCGGCACCTGCAGCGACTGCCTTTTGCGCTTCCTCGATGGAAGAGGCACTGATGCCAATTATAGCGTTCTCGGGGAGAAGCTTCTTCGCCATTTCGATAGCTGCAAGCAGTCAGACTAGTCGAGTAAATAGGCAGCTCAAGCATACCCATGTCATCTTGTCCCAGATGGACTCCCTCTGCGCCAACAGCAAGAGCGACATCAACACGGTCGTTGATCAGCAGAGGTACGCCATACGCCTTGGTGATCTGGTGCAGCTTCTTGGCCGTCTCGATTTGGGCGCCTGTGTCACTTTTCTTGTCTCTGTACTGGACAATCGTCACACCTGCATTCCATCGTCAGTAGTGAAAATAGCGTGAAAAAGCGCGACTCACCTCCTTTCAGAGCTGCCTCGACGACCGTACACAGATTGCGACCCTTGAGGATGGCGGGGGTCGAGTCCGTGACCAGGTATACGGAGAGATCCAGGGTCATTTTGTGTGAACTAAGCGGGTTGAGTTAGATTGATGTGACGCACAGCACGGAATGGTCACCCACCAGGATTCGGGGTAGATACTCCTCCACGATGGCTGCGATAGTACTGAGAGAACACCCGGCTGGTGGTGTTGGGAAGAGGAGTGGGGGGACCGCCAAAGTTAGTCATTTCGACCAACGACATCATTCTCGCCATCTCCCCGTTCTTCCACCGAATCCGTGTCCTCGAGAATATTTAGGACTGCGACTGCACTTGCACAGTATGATACTACAAGATGAAGAACCAGTGAATGATTACGTCTACGAATATTTTCAGGATAGCATCTAGTACAGCACCACGAGTACGCCGTGAGCTTGCACGAATGCTTCGCCTAACGGTGGATATACTAGCGGATCGACTGAGCTATCCAGGAATGAGCTTGAGTTAGCACCTCCAAGCAACGCACATGGTACGGTAGGTAAGTGGTCAGTTCATCCGAGTTAGCATCTGGCACCATGGCTACACGGAACTTACGGAGGAGCAGAAGCAGTACTTCCAGTGACCCCGTTGGGACTCGGGACTGAATCAGTCTCCACATCGGATGGCGACACTGACAGAGCTCCGGCTGTGCACGGCGTTTGCTCGTGCTGGCTGCTGCTCATTCTGACCAATGATCTGGTCGTGCAGGCTCACACGGTCGCACGGAAGGAACCCCGATCGAGGCGCCGACTAGCCCAAAGTTACCCCCAAAGTTCCTCTATCTACGGAGTACATAGTCCAAGGCCCTAAAGAAGTCAATGCAGGGGCACATTCTTGGTTGAGACAGCAACGATAATCCAGTAGGTACCCCTGCGGGAAGCATAAGCCGTAGGCAGCCGGGCAGATATCGAGTTACTGGCGACAGACTGGCCGGCACGCTAGTCGGACCCGAAGCACTGGGCCTGAAACGGTCAATAACAATGGCTCCACTGCGCAGAAGTACAGTCTCTGTAGGACTCGGTAGGTGTCTCCAGGCAGAACAGGCAGAAGGCAGGCAGGTTACCAAAGGGCGAGGTGATGCTGGTACCACCTGGAGTCACCCAGTGAGCCACTTGTGTTATAGGTCCAGCAGAGTGACACTGAATCAGGTGGAAAGATGCCAGCGGAGAGCGCAGAGGGAAAAAGGCCGGATGGAGATGCCTCAGAACTCAGGAGCCTCGGCTGAGTCAGACGCCCAAAATTTTCTGCCTTTCCACTTTCCACTGAATCTGCCCGGCCAAAGGCTCGGCTTGGCGCAAATCGGCTCGGACTTTTTTTTGTTTGGGCTTTTTCTTCGCTCTTTCCCTCTTTCTTCTTCTCTTCTCCTCTCCTCTTTCCTCTTCCACCCACTTCCAACTCATCCACCTTTCAGACTTTTCATCGCCATTTTCATCAGCTTGATCACGCTGTTGCGTCCCCAACTCATCTTCTGCCAGGCTTTCACTTCTGCCTGCTAGTTTCCCACACGTTTTGTTCACGCTTAAGCCACTCTGGTTCGTCGCCCCGGTCTGTTGTCAGTCCGCCATCAGGATTACGAAGCTAACCGGGCTCTCACCACAGAAGAACCACCCGCTGGTTTCTCTCTCTACCTGCCAGAGAAAGCCACTGAAAACAGAGTCGGTCGAGAACTTGTCTATGTATTCGTCCTGCGTCAGAGATCTCGATCACCACCTGCCGCTCAAGCTGCAATCGTTTCGCTTCACGTCGAAACCTTGTAGTATACACTCGAAGTCCTGTGGCTGAAAGCTTCGGGCTGTCCTTTTCGCTGTGTCCATCGTTCCTCTGAAACGATCCCAACCGCCATCATTCCACCAACCTTAGGAATATCCCACGCATGTCTTGTTCTGTCAAGATATCCTTGGTCCAGAATCCCTCCCGCCTCACTCTTATATAACCATCTCGCTTAGTCTCGTGAAGAGTCGTCGCTCACCCAACCGTCATCATGGCCACTGTCAACATTCGTCGGGATGTCTCCGATCCCTTCTACCGCTACAAGATGGAGCGTCTCCAGTCCAAGATTGAAGGCAAGGGCAACGGTATCAAGACCGTCGTCGTCAACCTCAACTCGGTCGCCCAGTCTCTCAGTCGGCCTCCGGCTTACGTGATCAAGTACTTTGGCTTCGAGCTCGGTGCTCAGGCCAACGCCAAGCCCACCGATGATCGCTGGATCATCAACGGTGCTCATGATGCCCCCAAGCTTCAGGACTATCTGGACGGCTTTATCTCCAAGTTCGTGCTGTGCAAGAAGTGCAAGAATCCGGAAACGGATGTTGTGGTCAAGGATGAAAAGATTTCCTTGGACTGCAAGGCCTGTGGACAGCGCTCCGAGGTTGACTCCCGCCTGAAGCTGAGCACGTTCATCCTCCGCAACGGCACCCACACTAAGGGAGGGAAGAAGGACAAGGCGTCGAAGAAGGCCCGTCGTAACAAGGAGAAGAATGGCACTTCAAATGGCGACAAGGATGGCAGCCCTGGAGACAGCAACAACTCCGAGAATGGCGATGATGACAACGGCGATGTCGGCCTGGAAGCAGGCAGCGATGACGAACTGACTCGCCGTATCAAGGCTGATGCCAAGGGCATCGATGCCGAGGAGGACATCGATGACGATAACTGGGCTGTCGACGTGTCTGAAGAGGCTGTCAAGGCCCGTGCTAAGGAGCTCCCGGATGATCTCAAGCGCTCCTTGGTCCTCGAGGAAGGTGATGATGAGGGTGCTGATGGTCCTTCCGCCTATGACGAGCTTGGTAGCTGGATCCTCAACACTGCTACTGAGAAGGGCGGCGTCACTGCTGTCAGCGACGTGGACATCTACATGAAGGCCAAGGAGTACGGAATTGAGAACAAGCACAAGACCGTGGCTGTTCTTGCCCAGACCATCTTCGACGAGAAGATCACCAAGCAGATTCCTTCTCGTGCCGGCCTGCTTAAGAAGATGATCACCTCCGAGCGCCACGAAAAGGCCTTCCTCGGTGGAACTGAGCGCTTTGTCGGCAAGGACCGCCCCGAGTTGGTCGCTCAGGTTCCTGCTATCCTGCTCAAGTACTACGAGCACGACCTCGTGTCTGAGGACACCCTCAAGGCCTGGGGCTCGAAGGCCAGCAAGAAGTACGTCGACATCCAGACCAGCAAGAAGGTCCGCAAGGCCGCTGAGCCCTTCCTTGAGTGGCTCGAGAATGCCGAGAGTGAGGAAGAGAGTGAGGAGGATGACGAGTAGATCAGTGACCCGGCTTGCCGTGGTCTTCTGTCTGCTTGTAAGCAGACATTTCGGGTCTCTCATTAAATTGTCACGTGATTGTATTGTCTGTTCCAACTGATCTCCACTCTTTTCGGGTATGACAGTTTCGGTTGCCTGCTGTTGCGTGTTTTGGTTTTTGAAGTATAAGACTGAAAAGACTTGAAGACAAAATCACATGGGTTTTAGATAGCTGCCAATCAATCATTGCTCACTCTATCAACTTCATCTAGCGTAATGTGATGTTGCTATGTACTCCATTAAGCGTAGATCAAAACAATAACTTGGGGCTGCTTTCGGAGCTCGTGGGTCTTTCGGGGCTCTGCAAGCCGAGGAGTATGGAAACCAGCAGATAGTGATGATTATGAAAGTGTTCATTGCAAAACTCTCCACATACGGTGTGGTCTATATAGTCTACATCACCACTTCAACTCTTTACCATTCCAACTTCAACAAGTATCCATGCTCAAAACGCCAATGCTGCAAACCTCAACGATGTCCCCGGTATCGACCACGACCTTAACGGATCCTCATCCACCTCACAGATCTTAGGAGCGGGAGTCGGAATCGTCGTCCTCCTAGTCTTCGCCAACATCTTCAACAATTGACCCTTCTGCTCCTGGAAAATAAACCAGGTCAAGTCCGCATTCCACGTCTCCATGGCTTGGATCACGCTTTCGACAGATTCAATTTCCACGTTTAGGGAAGAGACACCGGTTTCCAGTGTTGGTTGGCTGGGTTTCGTCTTCCTCTGCAGGCGAGAGAAGTAATACTCTGGTCCTGCGTATCGGGATATCCAGGATGCGAGGAATTCGCAGATCCTGTCGCCGATGGATAACGGGAGACGGACGTGCGTGAGGAGGGTGATGAATAAGGGGACCATGGCGCGCCAGAGGGTGTGGTGTGGTGTGAAGGCGCGGGTGCCGTGGGATCCGGTCGTGGTGAGGGATAGTGATTGGGCGAAGGTAAGGGAGAGTGTTGTGTCGGTGGTTTGTTCAGGGATTTGTTGCTGGGCTCGGCGTTCGAGGGCCCTTTCTGCGTCTTGTCGGACTTTGTCCCATGTGCGGGTGTACAGGCGCTCCCAGCGGGGGAATTCGGTTTCGACTCGTGAGGACATGAAGTCACCGGCTGTCTTGCACATGGTTTCGATGGCTTTGCAGGCTGTGGTGGTGACGAAGATCTCTTCTTGGAAGTCAAATTCGTCGGGGCCTTGTTTCAGACGGGTGTCTGCGATTGCGGAGGTGCGGTTGGTCATGAGAGTGGTTGATGAGGAAGGCTCGTTGAATGAGGCTGGGAAGCTGATTCTTGAGGCTACTGGAGGCCATAAATCGTTGATGAGGGGGAGGAAGCTGTTCTCGTGGGCAGCAAGAGTTGGGAACACATCCACGAGGATTGAGAGTAAAGACCGGCGGAGGTATGGGGAGGGCGAGGATAGATGGGATGGGATGGATTTGATGATATGGAGGAGAATATTGTGGGATTTGCTCAGGGGCTTCTCGCTGTCTTCAGGCTCGCGCGGTGGAGGGAGCGGTTCGTCTGAGTCTTCTTCCTTGAGTAGATCAGCGAAGGAGTTGATATCTGTGTCTTGCTGTTCGGCCTTTTCGGGCTCGCTCTTCCAGGGCTTTTTCGGGTGTGGAATCATCTCATCTGCATCTCCAAGGTCTTCGGTTAATTTTACGCGTTTGGCCTTGCGATGCGCAAGATCCTGTGCCAAATTCGAGATCTGCAGTCTCTCGTACTGCTTTTTGCGGTGGTCAATGTGCCTGCTATCCTTCCCATCACCGATCGCTAGAAAGGAGGGACTTTTCGTGCCTTCTTCGACAATAGCAGCCAGCGTTCGGAACATCATTTCAACAAGTTTCGGGTAACCATGGTACATGTCTAATATACCAAATATTGAGTCCACCAGGTCATCCAGGTAAGGAATCAGCCGCACACCAGACAACTTTACCATCATCAATAGAACCTGTGGTGGATATGGCGACACATCAAAGGTGTTGAGCTTCAACGCCACTGAGTTCACAAGATAGTCGACGTTTTCAATGATCATTGTGCTAGCATCTCCATAATTGCAAGCTGCAGTGAGAATATTGAGACATGTCATGGCATGCTTCTGAAGACTCGAATTATTGGATGCGAGTAATTGGAGAACAGGGTATAGAGCGTCCATCAACTCTGGGCGAAAGGCCTCTCCGAGCTGCTGTGCCTGGAGAGCGACAGCTTCCAGAGCAAGTGCCTGAACTCGCCAGTCCCTGGACTCGTCGGCCAAAGGGTCGTTTAAGATAGGCAATGAAACGTAGTATAATTCCTCAATCATGCCAGGCTTTGACAAATGCTGACTTGAAGGTTCCAGCTCATCCGCCGAGATGAAATCATCGAATACCGATGTAAGTTGCGTGCTGCTCTTGAGAAATGTCAGTCCCAACCAAAGAGGGGCAATGAGAGCATTTCCGTGCTCCTGATGAACTCGGTTGATGATCAGACGTGTGATTTCATGGCCAGACTCAGACGCATTAAGTTTGAAAATCATGGACCGCAAATCACTTAGTGTTTGTTGCTGGCTCCTGTGCTCCAGAATGACGGAAGGGAATGAAACTGATTTGACTCCTTGATGCAGTACTTCCAGGCTCTGGCTATTTGCATCAGAACCTAGAGGCTGAAGAGCATTTGTCGTATTGTTCACAGAAGAAGCAACACTATCGCATATGCCTGACGCTAAGCTACTTGCCAGGATATCTGATCCGGATTGTACCTGTGATAACACCTGAAATGCAGTCGATATCTGCTTGACCGCCCACTGCTTCGCTGTTTCGTCGTTGCTTTGCATGGTCCTTGGAAAGGCAGTGACCCATGTATGTAGAGAGTTCTTCAAAGTGTCAACCACGAGTGGATATGTAGTTGCATGATGCTTAAGCGCAAGGAATGCTTCATTGGGTACTTGATTTTCATCCACATTGGACAGCACAACGACGGTCTCGACGATGATTGGCAGCGCCTCTTGTAGCGTGTTCTGGCAGTCTTCTACTATCATCAAGCAGAGCTCCAGGAGCGCTGTCTGGACCTCATGTCGGTCATGGCGTCTTATTTGGATGACATTCGCAAGAGCAAGTTTTATTTGCGTAGCTGTAGCCTTGAGCCAAGACCCGTCAAGCACGAGTTGATCATCTTCCTTCTGAGACGAAGCTGACTTCGCAGGGATCTCGGCCACCCGATCGTTTAGCACAGTCTTAATCAGATAGTTGAAAGTTTGTAGACAGATTGACAGAAGCTTAAAAGATCGCCGGATCTGAGTCGTCGGTTTTATGACCTTGGTCAAAGTCGAAACCGTACGCGGCATTATACTAGCCAACACGACCCGGTCTGTGGTACGCTGGAAGAGCGCTTGGAGTGCTTTGGCTGCAGATATGCAGAGTTCATCTGATCCCTCATCCACAACGCCTTCAAGCATAAGATAGACCATCTGATCCACGACAGTCGCGGTACCGACTTCATGGTAAACGGTCTGTTTGGCCAGGGGACCATCTAGGACGCTGAATATAGCTAGAAGACAGTCAAATCCCGCAATGGAGAGCTCGGATGACCGAGCCTGTGTAGTCTGCGTTCCACCTGACTTATTCGGTGTCCCGCCCACTATCAAGGTTAGCAGAATGATGAGCTGTTTGCCCATCTGAGGAGATAAGCGCCTTCGCCATCCTTTCTCGACAAGGATCCGCAAGCATTTAACGGAAAGTTCCAAAGAGTTGACAGGGGTCCGTTGGGTTTCGTTGAAGATATGACATAGCGGAAAGAATGCATATTCCGCTAACTTCTCATCCAGCGCATCTCTACGGGCTAGCTCGTCCAGCACATTGTACACTGGGCTGAGAGCTCGAAAGACATCATTTGGGGTAGCTTGACGCCCTCGGAACCGCAAGCCCACTGAGCTGAGTTCCACGCATGGCGCTTTGAGCTTCAGTTCCCATTAGCACAGATAAACCATGAGGCTGCTGAGTTCGCACCTTAGTGAAAGCTTCTTGTCGAGAGACCTCCATTGAGTTTACAGGGGGGGGTGCTATTGTGGGAAAAGAGCACTAATGTATTTTATAGCCATCGAACACACAACGTAGACATCGACACCAACGACTCCGCGGTACTGCTTAGATCCGGAGTCAAAAGATGCAAAGAGAGAGACCAGGCCATTATCGATAGTCCCTCGCCGCCTTAGCTCCCCGCTTTCTGCCGTGAATTGAAGGCGGTAACATGCAAGTGTTTGCACTGTTTGATGGGCCTTCTTCGCCCGCTCATCTTTGACTGCTGGTCTTTTCCTACAGTCAACTGAGGCTGTTTTCTTAGGAAAGGGGCTTAGGTGTATCTGTGTCACAGAGCCCTTGTCTGCCATTTTGAACTGTTTCCCCATTATTGCTTCAGGTAGCGTGGGTGATGATAGTCATATTATCACGTGACTTTAATGGATCTCGCGTCACGTCACGTCGCGTTCCCGTTCAAGCAGTCAAGGTGGAAGGCAGCAATGTCTACCTCGGGTGCCTGGTCTGTGGAACTCAAGACTCACTACATATAATCCCGCCAATCGCCATATTTAGGATGAAGGACGTTTAGTGTAACGTCTATGCCCACCGTTCACTCTTCCGCGTTTCTTACGCCTCTATTGCGCTACCCTTGCAGAAGACCTGCGCCAGCGCCAACGCAGTTTCATCCGACCTTCTACAGTGCACGCTTGACCCTGTATCGAGTAGAATCGCATTATTCGCTTTCGCAATCCAGGTTATCTGGGGTCTATCAGCAGCTGAAAAGGGTTCCTAACGGCATTTGTACGAATACAACGCGGCTAGCTCTCACAATGGCGGACTCAAAAGGCAGGAAGCAAGCTACCCTGGGGTATGTTCGAGATTCCCAGCTGACTCTTGGGTGCGTCTGAATGTGGCTGGACCTCAGATGCATCTACTATTATGTCTTTGCGAGTAAGCTAATATCTGTGTCGCAATCCATAGGAGGTTCTTCGGTTCAGATTCAAACTCGAAGGAAGCCCCCAAGAAGCAAACCACGCTATCATTTTCAAACAAGAAAGGCAAAGCCACAAAAGATGCGACTCGATCAGAAACGGTGCAAAATCCTGCCCCTGTCAACGGACATGTGGTTAACGGGAGCGCAAACGTTGACGCTGACACTGCGGACTCTGCCGCTGATTCTGAGCCGGAGGCTGTCAAGGCAGACGATCCGGGCGAGTCAAACAACTTGAAAAGAGAGAATAGCAGCGAAGAAGGGGATAGTGATGTTCAGCCTGCGAACAAGCGCCGCCGGAAGGCCTCGCAAGGGGACGAAGCACCCGCCGCTTCGAAAAGAAAAACCGCGACACCAAAGAGTCCCAGAAAGCGATCACAATCGAAAGAGCCGTCGCCACCAGCCGCCATTGTAAAGGCATCAGGAGAGATAACGCCGGAGAAGGAAGCAAGCGCCTCGGATAAGGAAGAAGCAGAAGAAGAGGCACAGTCTGCTAGCGAGGACGAAGAAGATGAGAAGCCCGAGATGAAGAAGAAGAAGATTGAGAAGGCTCAAGCTACATTGAAGGCCAACGGAACCGAACCCTACCCCGACTGGAAAGCCGGCGATCCGGTCCCATACGCCGCCCTCTGCACCACCTTCTCCCTCATCGAGATGACTACAAAGCGACTGGTGATCCTGGCCCATTGCTCGCTTTTCCTTCGCCAAGTACTGCGCTTGACTCCCCAAGATCTGCTCCCCACAGTCCAGCTTATGATCAACAAGCTGGCTGCGGACTACGCTGGAATCGAGCTTGGAATCGGCGAGTCCCTCATCATGAAGGCGATTGGCGAGAGTACTGGACGTAGTTTGGCCGTGATAAAGACGGATCAACATGAGATCGGTGACCTTGGCTTGGTGGCTGCTAAGAGTCGTGGCAACCAGCCGACTATGTTCAAGCCGAAACCCTTGACGGTTCGAGGGGTGCATGAGGGTCTCCTCGCCATTGCTAAGGTCCAGGGTCATGGTTCTCAAGACAAGAAGATCTCGGGCATCAAAAAGCTCCTTTCGGCCGCTGACGCAGCAACTGCAGGTAAAGGCAGCAAAGGCATTGATATTACCAAGGACAAGGGTGGTCCCAGCGAGGCTAAATACATTGTTCGATTCCTGGAAGGAAAGCTGAGACTTGGGCTGGCGGAAAAAACTGTGCTTGTTGCCCTTGCTCAAGCTGTAGTCGCACATGAGGCCGCTTTAGATGGTCAGAAGACTCCCGCTGCCGAGAAGCTGGCAGAAGGCGAGGCGATTCTGAAGACTGTCTACAGTGAACTACCGGCGTACGAAGTGATTATTCCTGCCATCCTCGAGCACGGCCTGTTCAACTTGCGCGACGTCTGCAAGCTGCAGCCGGGTATTCCCCTCAAGCCTATGCTTGCCAAACCGACCAAGTCCATTACCGAAGTGCTTGACCGGTTCGAAGGGAAAGAGTTCACCTGTGAGTACAAATACGATGGGGAGAGAGCGCAGATCCACTACGTCGCCCCTGACTCGATCCATCAATATCCGGGTGCGACGGCCACCTTGAAGAAGGACAGCAAAGGCCTCAGCGCCATCTTCTCTCGGAATTCCGAAGACCTATCGAAGAAATACCCCGATGTGCTTGCCAAGCTTGACGGCTGGATTAAGGACGGTGTGACAAGTTTTGTGCTAGACTGTGAGACGGTTGCTTGGGACACAGTGACCAAGAAGGTCCTGCCATTCCAGCAACTTATGACCCGCAAGAGGAAGGATGTCAAAGCGGAGGATGTCAAGGTCAAAGTCTGCGTATTCGCCTTCGACCTTCTGTTCTTGAACGGAGAGGTAAGTCTACTCCTTATATCCAGAATATCGCCTGCTGACTGGTATGGTAGCCTACCGTTAAGAAAAGCTTACGAGAACGCCGTGAACTGATGCATGAATCTTTCCAAGTCACTGAAGGCGAGTTTCAATTTGCACAATATGGCAACACGAACGTGGTGGATGAGATCCAGACCCTGCTCGACGAGAGTGTCAAGGCATCATGTGAAGGTCTGATGGTCAAGATGCTGGACACCGAGGAGAGTGGCTACGAACCGAGCAAACGGAGTCGAAATTGGTTGAAGGTGAGCGGGAAGAAGACACCTACACCGTCCAACTGCTAACTATAGGATAGGTCAAGAAAGATTATCTCAGCGGGGTCGGTGACTCTCTTGATCTTGTGGTTCTCGGCGCCTACCATGGTCGAGGCAAGCGTACTTCGGTATATGGTGCCTTCCTCTTGGCCGCGTACAATTCGAGTACCCAGACGTATGAGACGATCTGCAACATTGGCACCGGATTCTCCGAAGCAGTTCTGGAAGAGTTCTATAATGAACTCTCGCCTCTGACCATTGACCGACCCAAGCCTTTCTACTCTCATTCGACTGTTCCCAAGGACCAGCCCGATGTATGGTTTGAACCGCGACTTGTATGGGAGGTCAAGACTGCGGATCTGACCCTTAGTCCCCGATATAAGGCCGCAGCGGATGAATTCGTGGGGACGACTGGAGGAGGAAAGGGCGTTTCTCTTCGCTTCCCGCGCTTCATTAAATCTAGAGACGACAAGAAACCCGAGCAGGCAACGACCACGCGGGCCGTGGCGGAGATGTACCGCAAACAGGAGGCGGTCCAGAAGGAGAATGCTGGCAAGGGAGGAGTGGACGATGATTTTGAATACTAAGGTTCCCGAGTTCCTGCATGTCTTTGATGGCGTGGGAGGTACCTGTACATGTAATGCCGTTGGGGTTCTGGATACCCACTTTGATGTGTCTGCTTTGTTGCATTGTTAGAGTTCCAAGTTCCCTCTGTAAGGGCCCTTTCATCGAGTAGGTCAAGATCTGCCCTTTACCGACCGAGCGGGTGTTTCATGCCGTTCTCCTGTCTTGAATGCCACCTGCGATTAACAACCGTGGTATGGTACACATACCAAGCTTTCTTTAAGATGACGCCCGGTTTCAAACCGCCTCCCTTGCTTTGAATGAACATCCCTTTCTGGAGGCTTCTCTCATTTGGGGACGATTCCGACGAGCCATATTATTCTTCGACCCGCGTTGCCACGAGGCCTGTCATCGAGTGAGGTATCACGAAGGCTTCCCCGCTCTGAGGCTGCCAAGTACGGGAGGACATCATGGGGGACATGGGGGATGCCTGAATGAAGGAATGGATCGATGGAGGACAGGGAATCAACCAATGCTCTTGGCACTGCAAGCCCAGACCAGCGCTTTGGCTGTGCCGCCCTTGCTTGGGCCTTTACCAGCCAGGGGGGTTATCGATGCTGGCTGGCTGCTCTCTTGGTTGGGCCCTCGATTTGGCAGCTCGTGAAGCAGCCATGCGTCCATCCGGGAAGCTCCTCCCCTCCCTCCACCGCAAATCTCAGCGGTACCCCTCCGCCCATAAATTGGCGGTATCACCCATTTCATCCTCCCCTGGGCTCGTGGGCCAGTCATTCCTTTTCGCGTCGAACTACGTCAGGTCCTCACCATGGGAGCTCTACAGTGGCTTGCGCTCACGGTTGCTGCGGCATCCGCAGCATCGGCCTTGACCCCAGAGTCAGTCCCTATCCAAACATCCCATGGCCGCCTCTTATCGCAACCATGCGTTTCTGACAGATATATGCATATAGGCAGATGATCAGTGCTCCACGGAGAACCGAAGTCATTCCGAACCCCTCAGGTGTATGTGCGAATGCTGCTTCAAAGCTAGTATATACAATCCTCTGCTGACACCGCCAGGACACTGGACTGTTCTCAACATCACAATACTCATTTGACACTCATTCAAGCGACACATGGTGGAGCTTGATCGATCTCGACTCGGGAGATACCAAGGCCCTTACTGATGACAGCAATGTTTCCGAGATGATCTGGCTGGGCTCGGACAGCTCCACGGTCCTCTACATCAACAGCACCAATGCACAAATTCCAGGTGGCGTGGAGTTATGGATTGCAGACACTTCGGACTTTGCCAATGGGTCAGTGTGTACCTTCAATTCCAGTCTCCAGCGCCGGCGCTAATCGAGTGTTGCGCAGCTACAAAGCAGCCTCCCTCTCAGCCAATTTCCTCGGCATCAAGTCAGTCGTTACAGACTCTGGTGACGTGAAATACATCTTGCGCGGAAAATCGCTTCCAAACGGAACTGCCTATAACGACCAACTTGCGACACCTTTGCCGAGTTCAGCTCGCATCTACGACAGCATCTTCGTTCGGCACTGGGACACCTACCTTACCCCCATTTCGCACGCTATATTCTCAGGCACATTGCAAAGCTCAGCCAGTGAGGACGGCAAAGTCCAGTATAGCTCCACAGGGACCTTGGAGAACTTGGTTAACCCGGTCAAGGGTGCCGAAAGCCCTTTCCCTCCCTTTGGTGGCAACTCAGACTATGACCTCTCGCCAGACGGGAACTGGGTTGCGTTCAAGAGCAAGGCTCCAGAGCTGCCTCTTGCTAACAACACGGCTTCTTATATTTACCTCGTCCCACATGATGGTTCTGCGAAGGCATTTGCAATCAACGGACCCGACAGTCCTGCCACTCCGGAGGGGATTGAAGGTGATTCTAGCAACCCAGTGTTCTCTCCCAACAGCGACAAATTGGCATACTTCCAGATGGCAGATCGGGAATATGAGTCGGACCGCCGCATGCTGTATGTGTACACGATTGGTTCCGATCAGACCATTCCGAGCCTTGCCAAAGATTGGGACCGGTCTCCAGACACTGTTAAGTGGGTCGATCAAGACAATCTGGTAGTGACAAGTGAAGACCTAGCTCGGACTAGGCTGTTCTCTCTTCCAGTTGATGCTGGGGATGACTTCAAGCCGACAAACTTCACAGATGGCGGCTCTGTGTCAGCGTATTACGTTCTACCTGACTCCACCCTTCTTGTCACTGCCAGCGCTTTCTGGTCAAGCTGGAACGTTTACACTGCAAGTCCAGACCAGAGCGTTATCAAAACATTGGCATTAGCCAACGAGATCGATCCTGAGCTCAGCGGGCTTGGCCCAGCTGACATTGATGAGTTCTACTACGATGGCAATTGGACTACTGTAAGTTTTCTCTCTTCTCTCGCGAAGTATGCTAACAACGGAACCAGCTCCATTCGTGGATCATCTATCCCGAGGGCTTCGACAAGTCCAAGACGTACCCGCTGGTCTTCTACATCCACGGCGGACCTCAAAGTGCCACGACCGATTCCTGGAGCACACGGTGGAACCTGAAGGTCTTTGCGGACCAGGGATATGTAGTCGTCGCACCAAACCCTACAGGGAGTACTGGTTTCGGTCAGAAGCTAACCAATGCGATTCAATCCGACTGGGGTATTCCACCTGTCCCCTCTCCCCTTTACTCTAAAGAACTTTCACTAACACAATCACCAGGCGGCGCTCCCTACGACGACCTCGTCAAAGCCTGGCAATACGTTCACGACAACTTCGACTTCATCGACACCGACAACAGCGTCGCCGCAGGAGCCAGCTACGGTGCCTTCATGATCACCTGGATCCAAGGCAGCGAGTTTGGCCGGAAATTCAAAGCCCTCGTCAGCCACGACGGTCCATTCGTCGGCGACGCCATGATCGAGACAGACGAACTATGGTTCATCGAACATGATGTGCGTTTACCCCTCCCCCGATCCCCCTCCCCCCCTCTCTTCTCCACCGATAGTCCATCCTGACAACCAGATCAACCAGTTCAACGGCACCTTCTGGGAAACCCGCGACGCATACCACAACACCGACGCCTCCGGCCCCGAACGGGTCCTCCAATTCAGCACCCCCCAGCTCGTCATCCACAGCGACAACGACTACCGTATCCCCGTCTCCGCGGGCATCGGACTCTTCAATGTCCTCCAGGAGCGAGGCGTGCCTAGTCGGTTTTTGAATTTCCCTGACGAAGACCATTGGTATGTTTCTTGCCGCCTTGATTGAGTTTCTTAGTAAACTGACTGGTGGCTATTTGAATCAGGGTTACGAAGCAAGAGAATAGTCTGGTTTGGCATCAGCAGGTTTTGGGCTGGTTGAATCGGTATTCTGGAGTAGAGGAGGCGAATCCGGACGCTGTTAGTCTGGATGATACGATCAATCCGGTTGTGAATATCAATGCGTGATGTGGTGCGGTATCTGTCTATTGGGTGGTCTTAGATGTTGAATGGATGAGACGAGCACCTGTGTCAGACCTGATGTGTAATCGTAATTTATTCTGTAGCGACAAGTGGTCAACCAACCCGTTATACCATACTAAACTAACTATACCAATCTCTTGTGCTCTCTTTCTTCGCCTCGCATTTGAGTAATCAATTCATCATAGAACAGGATCTGGTATCTGAACAGAACAAGGCAGGAAGACAAGGACAATTCATACACATGCTTTTATACAATCAACCCATAATAATCAATACAGCTTCCCCTTTGGTTTCGACCGAACAAGATCGGCAGAGTATGGCGGACATACTCCAGAAGAGAGTCAGTTTACCCAAATAGTTCATTCCAACGCAACAAGTTGATCAATGAGACTTGAAGAAGGCCGTCACAGCTCGCCTCCATGCGGAACATCAGAGTTGAGATCACCTTTAGCCAAAAATCCCGCTTGGCGAGCACGAAGACCAAAGTTGACCATAACGATAACCACCAATCCAAGACCAACGACAGTCGGTCCCCACTTCTCGTAATAAACGCGCTTGACGTCGCGGCGCTTGCGAATCTTGTCCACACGCCAGACGTAAAGCATAAGACTGTATAGGAGGGCGATCGCTGCCAGTACTGTGAAGGCCCAGGAGGATGCAAAGGTGATGTAGTCGTCCCCGAAGTTGAGGAGTGTAGCTGCGATGGTACCAAGGAGAATGGAAAATTCAAGCCACGAGAGGAAGGTTCGTTCTGCGGCAAAATAGACTTTCGGCTCGACGCGGACGGGGACATGGATGCCTGTGACATGTTAGCGGATCCAACAAGGAAGATTAGGATGTGATAACTTACGCTTGCCCTTGGGAGCTTGGAATCGCTTCACCGTGCGCTTGTTGCCCATAACGGCAATTCCGTTTTGTTCAGGGGGCGGGAGACTGGTTGGTCGAGGCCGTGGGATGAGCGCCGTGAGGCCGTGGACCATGGCATTTCCGGCCTGATGGACGTAAAACTTGGCCAATTTCTTGTAGTAATATGTCCCACCAACACGGCGTGCCTCCTCCAGTTCGTCAGAATCAACGGACTCTGCATCCGAATCATACAACGGGTAATCCTCGTCTCCCGGGAGCGGTTGAGCAGCGATGCGCTCCTCAATGTCCAGGGCGTTTCCATCGGTGTCTGCAAACAGAGCTTCCTGATCGGCAGAGATGCCCTGGGCTCTGTTCGTGTCTTCAACCCACCGTGCTTCGTTCGAGTCTTCCTCATCCGATTCATCATCCTCGGGTGTCTCGGTGGTGGACAATGATGCGCTAACCGGAGGCCGCTGGATACCGAACTTGCGTGTTGCCGGCTTCCGAATGTCAACGTCCATCTGGGGCATCCAGAAAGGAAGAAGATTGATGCGGTCAGGGAAGAGGGTAGCAGTGCCATGAATGAATTTACTGTATTTCGGGACCGCTTCGACCAGGTGGCTGGCAGTCAGGTCTCTGATCCACTGGGGCGGCTCTTGGCCCGCTTGGGTTTGAAGTTTCACTTCCAGGACAGCGTAAGGGAAGCGCTCCACGTCCTCTGGGGGCAGTTGGGAGAAAGGATAATCCACGCCAATATCCATGCGTCGCCAATTGTCTCCAGTCCTCTTGCGACCGTCGAGGTTGTCTTCGCGGGTCATTGTCAATTCCGTGTCGAGCGAAATACGCACGCGAGCGTCTCCGGGAAGCTGGAAAGCAGTGCGGTGGTAGAAAGATCGAGTCACAGGTACCAGGCGTCGCGTGATGACGCGGTATTGGATCTCCCTCGCCAGTTGCTCTAAGCTGTCGATTTCCTCGGGGCTCTTCTTGCCTTCCCGGCGCATCTTTTCGAAGATGCTCTCGACCGTCATGCGACCGGATAGATAGGCATTGACATGCTTCTCCTTGAGGGAGAAACGCGCCTTGACTGACTTCTCTCCGGTCCAATCCTCCCGATGAGTCTTTCTCTCCACAAAGATCTGATCACTTTCCATGCCACCATACCAACGCAGTCGGATAGCTTCAGCTCCCTCGGTTTTCTTCAGGCGGCCTTGATACAGTTCCCAGGTATCGGTGTTGTCGTAATAGATGGAGGAAATGGCAGCGTCCTTTTCCTCGAACTCTTTTCTAGGGTTGAAAACCAGCACAGGAAGGTGCTAATCCGCTCAGTATGGGTTTGAAAGATGACTAGGGGCTTGTTGCATACCTTGAGGATGATCAGCTTCAGCTCAGTGATGTTGTCCGGGTGGACCCAGTATTTGGTCGTCTGACGGACGAAGTTCTGCTGAGTGCCTCCGGCTGCAGAATCACCCTTGACTGGATTACCCTTGGTACGAACCAGGTCATAGAGCTTCGACAGCTTGACCACGAGCGCATCATAATTGTCGTTGAAAAACGGCTTCGCATTGAGTCGCGCAGCAAAAACTGGCCTCAGGTGCCAGCCGGTTTGTTTCTAAGCCCGATTGTCAGCACCACACTTGCCCAATTTCCTAATGGAGAGAGCGCAATGTTGGATTCGGAGCATACATCGTGTTTCTTGATGATTTTTTGGAAACCAGTGTAATTAAGTTGGGTGAACTTTGCCAGGTCGTGGACGTCGGCAATGATGTCACTCAATACCTGCTCGAGCATCAAGAAGTCCTCGTCGGAAGGCGGCCTTCGGTGGGAACGCGAATTTGAGGCACTGTCTGAACGAGAGCTGGAGCTGCTGTCCAAGCGGGAAACCACATCATTGACTTCCGTCTCGCTAGCTTGAATGCGACGGGCGATCTCGGCGCTCTTAATTCTCTGGAAGTTGAACACCTTATCCAATTCGCTTTCCAGCAGGGTCACGAAGTGCTTCTCGTCATCCTCCGACCAGGGCTGGCGGTCGGGCCTCGCGTTTTCGGGCGTAGGCTCGGTGACGTATCCGGTTTTGAGGGCCTTTTTCAGGTCCTCGTAGGCAATGTAGTACCAGTAGTACTCTTTGATCATTGAAGATCGGAGATGCTCCCCGAACCTGGCAGAGATACGAACAGGTCAGCCGAATGAACCATCCCCGGCCGGGTGGGAAACGCTACGAACCTCATGGTGAATCAGTCAATCGACTTAATTCTAGTGAATAAAGGTGTAAATAAGCAGGGAGGAGTAATGGCGGCTTTGGAGAGAATGGGGGTGTTGTCAGAGGGTGGAGGAAAAGATCATGGTTGAGCCAAAGGCAGGTAGTCGTGTGAGAAAGAGGAGAAGGGAAAAGAAAGAGGGACAAGAGAGAAGGGGGCAAAAAAAATTAAAAAGAGAGCTGGGGAAGGACCTAATCTGGTCGAAATGATGCTAATTACCAGACGAACGGCGTAGGGAGCAGCAGCGGGGGGGGAAGAGGGACCGTATGTACAAGAGCCGGTGGTAGCTCATGATGCTAAGGACGGTCCCAGGACGGCGGAGACTGGGACGGTCGACGTCAACCCGTGACTCGTGCCGATAACGCTGCTATCGGGGGGCGCTGGCCCTTGCTTGTACCGGTAATACGGGGCTGCGAGTTCAGTCCCGTGCCCTTGCCATTGGTGTAAAGGCTCGGTGGATAACCAACTGGACCCCATTGCATCGCGTAAAAAAAGGATGTCAATTGACGACGGCGAGACTGTCAATGCGACGGGGGAGTCGGGGAGAATGGCCACCAGCTCCAGGCCAAGCTAAATGATAGCAGCTGTGACTAGCCCGTCTGGAGGGGCCGTTGCTTGATGCACTCTCAGCCACTCGATTAAGCAGGTGCTGCTCTACTCAACGCCGCCTTCCCGCTCTGGGACTAGCCCGTGTCTTTCGGTACGAGGCGGTTCTGGCGAGCCTGTACGGCCAAGTAATTAATAATACCCGCCATCTGCAATTTCACTCTCGACATACCGGCTGGCTCAAGTAGGCAAGTCAGTCTGTATAGTTGCAAATGTTGCATATCATCGGTACCACCCAGGCCCCAACCCTCCCCAAAACTACGAAACACCCGGTCCATTGGCCCAGTGCTGGCTAACAGGCTAACGGGATGCTAGCCATTTATCCGCCTAGCCCAAATTCGACCTCAATTTCACTCTCCAGCCCGGCTGGCTGAACCTCGGAAAAGGCTCCCTGGTTCCGATCCAGCCCAGCACAAGACAAGTCTCACGGGCTGCACCAGAAGGTCACACCCGGTCCAGCAGTCCGACGCCACCGTTAGCTAAACGTGCAGGAACATCAAGGCCTCGATTTAGTCCATGGCCAGTGAGCGCCCTTCCCAGCGCTGGGGCCTGTCTCACTGTCTCACAACCAATCGGCTTCAACGCCACGCCCAGGGAGATAAGAGGTTAATATGAAACCAATTAGTTTAGCAGCGAGGAGATCCCTCGGGCTCTTGGGATGGCACACGCTGTTACGCAGACGCACTTGCTCACCTATGAAGGAGGCTGGATGAGGGTTCGCCAAGCCGGTGTGTCATTCTTCACTGTAACACGATAGGCTCTTTGCCAGCCAGCTTTTCAAGCGATTTAAAGCTTGACTCCGGTGATATGATCATCCTGCGTGCAAGCGGAGGCCTAGAATGACAGGGGACCCCTGCCTGGCCGTGGCAAGCCCGTCCGGTCAGGCCGCGTCGTGATCACTGCGCTTTCCGACGCATATTAACCCGAAACTGTTGAGAAAATTCTCAACCCTATATCCGGCCCCATATGGTTTGATACTGTAATTGCGATGCTTGTGGTCAAGCTTCAGTCCTAGTGCCTCAGACGGGCGTTGATCGGTCCAATAATCGGCACGTCCTGAGTAAACTTGTTCTCGATTACCTTCTGTAATTCGAATGGGTATAACCCAGGAGGACTGGAGAACAACTCACGTATCAGAAAATGTATTAATGTTGGAGCAGCTCATCTTTATGCAAGCATCGTAGTGGTCAAAGTATCAACTCGTCATTATTTTCTGTCTGTTGAGACTGGGATGATAATGCTATATATATCACCAGGAACATCACCGGATATATATTTATCGAACTGCAAGAACTAGATAAGCTATCCAGTCACGGTCTGGCATCGAACCACGCCCGCCATAGCTTCTAGATGCATACGCAGGGTTTTGTGGAATCGGAGTGGCTTGCATCTAGAAAAGTATGATGGACTCAGGAACACGGTATGCCCACCCAACCGAAGAACCCTGATTGCAAATCATGGCACTTCCACCAAGGTATCACCATCATGCTAGCCGGGTCGAGTTAGTACTTGCAAAGAACATGCGGAATGCCACTACCTGTGAAAGATTACTCTCGATCTGGTGCAGCTGTAATTTTGAGACGGACCTGGTAATCCTGCTATGCTTGTGCTATGAAATGGATCCCACCGTAAAAATACTTTCAGCAATTGGAACAGGGGTTTGCCCCTAGTATGAAGTAGCCTGGCGCAGAAAGAGTTTTCAACCAGTGGCTGGACGAGCCCTACAGGACTAAGGTGAATCCTGCACGCACTACTCTCGGTGACTACGGAGGACTATCAAGCTAGCAATATTCCGCGGAACTAGCCTTCCCCGGTCAGATTGGCTTCATTTCAAAAACCCACAGGACCCATTTGATGCTCATTAAATACACTGTTCTGCTGCATACGTATCGAACCAACACCAGACACCGTCCTCCAGACATAGTAAGGGCCAAAGACAATTCGCACCCATCCGAAAATTATGTAATCCATGGCATCGTAGTCTCATCATCTATTCCCATCACCTAGCCCCCTGGAGAAGCAGGGGAATCACGGAAGCGTCCCTCCACTGCGCCGGATGCCCCGTCGTGCACCCTCTCCTAGGACATTCACGATGCCTTCGTTTTGCAGCGAGTAAACTGCCTCGCTGAACTGGTTGCCATCCAGGCTGGCGCTGCTCTGATCGTTCAGGACTCGGAAGACTTCGGCCCAGCGAGCCGTGCCACCTGAGCCGGCCAATTCATCCACCACGGAAAGCACGCCACGCTTGATCGCCTCCCGGTTGCGTCTCTCACTTGCACTGGTGCCCTCGGTGAGCAGGCCCATATCAATGAGACCAGTGCGAGAGTCCGTAGCGGCCTGCTTGATAGCCGACCGGATGAGACGCACGGCTTCTTCCACATCATCGGCGGTCACCTCTGATGACAGGCGCATGCGCGCGTGGGCTTCCGACAGCCGAATCATCGATTCCAACTGACGAGTAGTCGCAGTAATGCGGCGATCCGATGACCGAATATCGTCTCCAAGTTTACGCATGTTAACGTAGGCATCGGAGAGGGCTTTTCCGGCAGCGGGGGTAAGCACGGGGTGCACCTTGGTTTTGGCGTAGGTGATGTAGGCCGTGAGGAATTCAATAGGCTGGGTGGGGTGAAGTTAGCTGGTGTCACACAGTTGACATTCTTTCCGACTTACTAAGATTTCCTCGTTGCTCGCGTTCTCGGGTTTGTCCTCCAGATACATGTTGACAAGGTGCTTGGCCAGCCGACGGTCCTCCTGCTCATCCGTGCGGTCAAGAACCAGATAGACCAAATCGAATCGAGACAGCAGGGTGGGGGGCAGGTCGATGTTTTGCGGAACCGGAAGGTTAGGGTTGTACTTGCTACCGATGGGATTCGCTGAAGCAAGGATGCTGGTTCGAGCATTCAGGGTGGTGATAATACCTGCCTTAGCAACGGACACAGTTTGCTGCTCCATCACTTCGTGCAGAACAGACCGCGTCGATTCGTTCATCTTGTCGAACTCGTCAATACAACAAATGCCGCCATCGGAGAGAACCAGAGCACCTGACTCGAGGACCATCTGCTTGGTGTCAGGGTCGCGAGTCACATAAGCCGTAAGACCGACGGCCGATGAACCTTTGCCGCTGGTGTAGACGCCGCGCGGCGCAATCTTGTGGACGTATCGGAGAAGTTGAGACTTCGCGGTAGAGGGATCACCGCACAGAAGCACGTTAATGTCACCGCGGTAGCGCGGGTTACCTCCCTTCTGGAACGACTTGTTGGTGCCTCCAAACATTTGCAGCAGAATACCCTTCTTGACATCGTCGGCCTCATAGATGCTAGGCGCGAGGGATCGAGATAGAAGCTGGTACACATCGGGCCGGGTGGCAGTTCGCTTGATTCTCTCCTCTTCCTCGGCGGTGATCTTGCGCGTCTGCTCGGCGTCTCCAGCAGCCTGTTCCGACAGCTCCTGCTCAACGGTCGAGACATCGATACCCATTTTCTTGCGGTCGATCTTCTGCACATGCAAGACATCCACGTAGGTTTTGAAGAGCGTCTTTTGTGTGCGCTGGCGGGGGTTGACACGGACCGGATTGCACCGGAAAATACCAGTTACCTCCACGCGGTCACCAGCCTTGCACACATCAACTAATTCATCGTAGACGCAAAGAGAAACTGAGTGAGGGGTCTGGCCATCGGGAATGTTGTCGGGGGTTTCCTGTAGTTTGATAACCTGCTTGTCGGCAAAGGCACAGCGATTGTGGATGATTTGCATCGAGTTTCTGGCCTGGCAGACCTGACGAGGACAGATGGTGGGCTCCGCGATACGTCCACGGTCAATATCAACCTGAACACTGTGGTTGCAAATTTGGCAGCGGAAGAAGGCTAGGATATTATGTTAGACATGGCGCAGCGATACGGACACAATGACTCACCCTCTTTCATATCTGGTATGATAGGCGTGGCTCGAATCACCAGGCCCTTTATACTCACCAATTTGTCCATGTCTAACAAATGTTAGCACTAAATCATATTCCAAAAGGCTGAGCAACCTACCGGCAGGGTCAAGGTCTCTCATATTGACCGTCTTGTCGAGGCCAAATGGCATGACTTTGTAGGCTTTGGATTCAACCTCTTGGACAAGGTCTTGAATCTCTGCAGGAGCAGTCCGGCCGGCATCGCTCATAATTGCATCGGAACTAGGAACTGCAGGTGCTGAACTGAGATCTCTGGAGCGTGTGTGGTTTCGACGACTCTGGTTCCGTTGGCGCTCCATTTCCTTGATCGCAAGTTCAACCATGACATCTTTGACGGTTTGATCCATTAGAGGGATGATCTCCTGGGGGTATGCGTGAAGCTGATGCCATAACTTCAGAGTCGATGGGTACGCCTTCAAATTCTTTGCATCCAAGTTCAGATTGGAGACACCCAGCTGACGCATCGTGTTCAACATGTTGATATACTCTCTGTCTTCTGCTGTGGCTCCCATTAAACGGGTCTCATCTTCCGTTGCACCCTCCGCCCAAAGCCGATATTTCGTTGCGAAGTTGTAGAGGAAGTTCTTGAAGGCGGACATGGAATCTTGGATGGAGATGTTGGTACCCCAGATCACGCGGGTAGAGCTGCCACCCAAGGCCTCGGCCTCTGATGTATCCGGGTGGATGTTCGAGAAGGTGGCATCAGATCGCGGTTCCCCATCGGCAGTGGGCATGCCGTTGGCGTCCACGAAGATCCTGCGTCGACGGCTCGGGGTCGATCCAAAACCGCCCGAATGAAGGTCATTACGACGGGAGGCACCACGGTGACCATCGACGTCTGATCGGGAGGAGACGAAAAGGCCACTGCTGCTACTGGGAATGTCTGAGCGCCCTGCTTGGCGACCATGAGAACGCGTGGGACTTGAGCTGGAGACGTATCGGATCGGAGACGAGTCTGTTTATATATGAGCACATGGGAACGAGGTGAGACATGCCGAGCAGGTCATACCTCGCATAGTAGCTGCGGCGTTTCCTCGCGGGGTTGTTTCGCCATCGTCCATGGTGGATGAGGCTCTCACGGGCGAGCTCGGTTCGTCCATTCGAACATCAGGGGTCTCTGCGCTGCTACTGTTCCCTTTCATCGGGGACGATTGGAAGAACATGGGCGAGGAGGAGGGGACTGGCGCTTCTCCTCTGAGCCGCCGGGAGGCCCGAGGGGTTGTTTGCGATGGTTCATCACCTAGCGGGGTGGGACTGCTGGTCTGGCGTTGTTGTTGGGAGCGAGTTGAGCGTGCAGGGGAGGGAACAGCCGAGTCTCTGGTAGGGCGACCCCTACGACGAGTGTTTGCTGGAGAAGACATGATGAGTCGGTCCTATGAAGGGACAGTCCACGGGCGGATGGACTAGTGGAGGACCGACAGAGGAGGGGATGGGCAGGTGACGATGATGATATGGGGATGGGGATTGGGTTGGGGTCGGTGTCGTGGTTGCGATGGAGAGAGGCACATTTTGGAAGTGGGCCTGCCAGGGAAAACAAATTCTCCTCTCGTTGCCCGGACGCGCCCGGACGCGCCCACCGCGTAAAGTGCTTTCCTGTTTGGGCCGGCGTGCCGCACCAGCCACATTTTACCACCTGACCTTGTGGCTGGTGATATGGGACGTTTTTAGGGCTGGCGACACCGCCACCTCCTCCATAGTGGTATCCAATCAGGGGCGGCGTGAGGCGGTGGGTCGCCAGGGCCAGGGTCACACCTTCCTATTTTAGGCAATCATCTGCGGCAAAGCAAAGAACTTGAGCAAAAGGAATCTTCTTCGACAAAGCCCCTGATCGGGGAGTCTTGAGACTTTCATTATTACCATTGTAGGTACTCCACGATATTTACGCTGAATACCGTCGACTGTGCTCATCTCATCGGTTTCCGAACAGATTTGCCCGGCTGCCGCCGAAAAGGCACCGTAGGAACCGGGAGAACGCGCCGTTCGGTTTCAGCAGGCGCCTGATGTCATCCGGCGCTGATCTGCCAACCCCATCACTAATTGGCGCTTCTGCCCTGCTGGCTTGGCCCTGGGCGGCCCTCTGAATGGCCGATGCGCCTGCAGTGGGTGCCACTGTTGTCATGCCTTTATCTGTAACACGTTTTCCCCTTCGTCCCTTGAACTCCATTGATAATCCCCTTGGTCGTCGCCTCTTTATTTAGCCCTCTGGTCTTTGCTCCCTTAGCGCTGTTACCTCCATCCCGGCGGTTCCTCTGTTCTCCTTACATCCACTGATTGGCTCTCTCCACCTCCGCTTGCGACATGGGCCTCTAATTGCTCTGCCTGGCGTGCCGATTCTTCAATTGTATAACAGTTCGACTTCGTGATGTCCGCAGATTTCTTTCCCTCTTCTTCTGCACTTCACTTACAACTCTCTCAACATCTTCGCTATATCATTTTCGTGGTTTCGAAGGCCTACAAGCCACCTGCGCCGAGCATCTAAGTGGTGCGCACACTACTTCCACCATGACAGACCTTGGGTCGGCGCTAGAACACGCCGGCGGCAGTGGGAAGAATAAGGAGGGCATCTCGATCGGGACATTCCTTGCTTCCCTGGCCACTGCCATCATCGTCTTCGCCGTTGAATTTCTGTGCTTCTTGCTGCTCAAGGGGAAACTCACCCGCATCTAGTAAGTGCGCGCGTTACCGTGGGGAGAGTGTATCACTGATGCCTGGTCAAATCTAGCCAACCAAGGACCTATCTGGTCTCTGACAGAGAACGTACTCAGCCGTCTCCGCCTGGTCTCTTCCGATGGATTGCGCCCGTGTTTCGCACTTCCAGTACCGAGTTCATACAGAAATGTGGCCTGGATGCGTACTTTTTTCTACGATATCTGCGGATGCTTCTCAAGATCTTTGTCCCTTTGGGATGCTTATTGCTTCCAGTTCTTCTGCCCTTGAACAAAGTGGATGGCAAAGACACGAGTTACAAAAACAACACGGTAAGTGACGGTCAATGGAACGTCACTGGGCTTGATCAACTTGCCTGGGGCAATGTCAAACCCGAAAACACTTCACGATACTGGGGTCACCTAGTCATGGCGGTCATTGCAATCTTCTACGTGTGCGGCGTATTCTTTGATGAACTCAGAGGCTACATCCGTCTCCGACAGGCCTACCTAACGTCGCCACAACATCGACTACGAGCGTCGGCGACAACGGTCTTGGTGACAGCTATTCCAGAAAGCTGGCTCTCCGTGGAGGCGCTCGAAACACTCTACGATGTTTTCCCCGGAGGAATCAGAAACATCTGGATCAACCGCAATTTCGACGACCTTAATGAAAAGGTGAAACAGCGAGATGAGCTGGCCCTGAAACTGGAGGCTGCGGAGACTGAATTGATCATCAAATGCAAAAAAGCCCAGCTGAAACAAGCCAGAGCTGCAGCGAAAAAGGCCGGAAAGAATCCAAACGCAGTTGAGACTCAGGAGAAGAAGGATGCCGATCGGATGGCTTCAAAGATGGCTATGGACGGAGGGGTCAGCTCCGGAAACCCACATCAAGCCCGCACCCTGGATCAGATCTTGCATCGTACCAAATCGAAAAAGAAGCATGTAGAGCCAGGGCACCGAAAGCGTCTCAATCCATTTGACCCTGCCATGGAAGCAGCAGGTGCGGTTGGGCAGGGTGTGGGCAGGCTGGGCAAATCCATGATTGGAGGTATCAGGAAAGTCGAGCAAGGACTGGACGGAACGTTAACCCGATCAGGAGGGTATGTGCCCGAGGACGGCATGACTATCCCTGAACATCATGTTGAGCATGAAGAAGTCGACGGTCCTGATCCCGACGAGCCTCGGGTCTGGTTGGAGGATCCCCGTGAGAATACAGAACCTGTCGTGGAGGCGGGCGCATCGGAGACAAGACCGGTGTCAAGGCCAAAAAGACCCTTCTGGAAGACTCAGTTGTCCAAGGACTCCAAGACGAGCCACAATAGTGAACCCGATGAACTACCCCTCACCGCGCCAGAGTCTCCTATTGAAGCGGAGGAGGTATCCGACTCTGAAAGGAACAGCCCAGTAAAGGAAAAGAGCAAGAGCGAGAACTTCAAGGAGGGTGACCGAGTGGAGGGGGAAGAGTATCCCATTGCTTACAACGAGGGATTTGACAACGAAGACTTCGGGGAACCGCTGTGGCAGAAGTATATCAAGCCCAAGGATCGCGATACTATGCGGTTGCCCATCTTCGGTATTAGTTGGATGCCGTCGCTGTGGCTCATTGGCCAGAAGGTCGACACCATCGACTATTGTCGTAAAGAGCTGGCTCGCCTGAATCTCGAGATTGAAATCGACCAACAGCACCCGGAGAAGTTTCCCCTCATGAATTCCGCCTTCATTCAATTCAACCACCAAGTCGCTGCTCATATGGCTTGCCAGGCAGTCAGCCACCATGTTCCTAAGCAGATGGCTCCTCGCATTGTCGAAATCTCTCCGGACGATGTCATCTGGGACAATATGTCACTCAAATGGTGGGAACGCTATCTGCGCACATTCGGCATTGTCGCCGTCGTCTGTGGCATGGTGGTCGGCTGGGCCTTTCCGGTCGCGTTCACCGGCTTGCTGTCTCAGCTGTCGTACCTGGAAGCTGCCTTTACTTGGCTGTCCTGGCTCTCCAAGCTTCCCGCGTGGTTCATCTCCGCCATCCAGGGTGTGTTGCCTGCGCTCTTCCTGGCTATCCTAATGGCGCTTCTGCCTCTGATCCTTCGTTTTCTCAGCCGAACTCAGGGCCTTTCAACGGGTATGGCTGTCGAGTTGGCTGTTCAGAATTACTACTTCGCATTCCTGTTTGTTCAGCTGTTTCTGGTGGTTACCATTTCGTCCAGTTTCTCGACCATTATCAGCAACGTGACGGACGTCACAAGTTGGCCGGAACTTCTTGCGCAGAATATTCCCTCGTCGAGTAATTATTTCTTCTCGTACATGATTCTTCAGGCCATGTCGGTGAGTGCTGGAGCGTTGGTTCAGATCGTCAACCTGGTAAGCTGGTTCATTTTGGCGCCAATCCTGGACAAGACGGCGCGCAAGAAATGGGGGCGAACCACCAACCTGAATCAAATGCAATGGGGCACATTCTTTCCGGTGTATACCACTCTCGCGTCCATTGGTAAGCCAGACATCTCCTAAACACATGCTCCCACGACTAACAACCGATGGCAGGTTTGATCTACTGCGTCGTTGCACCTCTCATTCTGATCTTCAACGTGATCACATTCGGTCTATTTTGGTTTGTCTACCGGTACAACACACTTTACGTGACCAAATTTCGCTTCGATACCGGCGGGCTGCTTTTCCCTCGCGCCATCAATCAGCTGTTTACTGGCCTGTATGTCATGGAACTTAGTCTGATCGGACTGTTCTTCTTGGTTCGAGACACACAGGGTGAAGTTGCATGCGAGGGGCAAGCGATTATCATGATCATCGTCCTCGTTTTGACGGCTGGCTACCAAATCCTTTTGAACGACGCATTCGGGCCGTTGTTCCGCTACCTGCCCATCACCCTGGAGGACGACGCGGTGCGCCGGGATGAAGAGTTTGCGCGAGCTCAGAGAGCGCGACTGGGACTGCCGAGCGAGGAGGAGGAGGATCCGACGGACACAATCGAGCACCAGCTCGCGGAACGCGAGCATCGGCAGCAAGAAGCTAACCGAATGTCGCACGACATTGAGATGAAGACGCTGGAGTCTTCTTCGGAGCGAGAGTCCCACCATCACATGCACCGGCCGCACCTCGGACCGCATCGTCGGTCCTGGGCTGATCGGTCTCCGAACCGGCGGTCCCCGTACTACAAGACGCACTCTGACACGCAGGTGCCCAGCGTCCAACGGTTGCGAGACAGAATTGCACAAGACGCTGAAGCTCAAGGCCCTCCTTCTCGCAACCTAGGCCCAACGCTTTTTGCCGGCATCCATGATGAGTTGGAGGATCTGACACCGGACGAGCGCGATCAACTCACCCAACGGGCCTTCCAGCATGACGCCTTGCGTGCCAAGCGTCCAGTGATCTGGATCCCGCGAGATGACCTTGGGGTCAGTGATGACGAGGTGTACCGGACGCAACGGTTCAGCAAGCACATCTGGGTCAGCAACGAGTATCAGGCGCTGGACGGGAAATGCCACACGATCTTCAGCCGCAGTCCGCCGGACTTTTCAGAGGTGGACCTGATCCAGTTGTAGGTTTACAGTTTGTACGATTGACGACTTTCTTGATTAGCTTTTTTTGTGTTTTGCTTGTTTGCGGCATGCATTTACTGGCGTTCGGCGTAGCCACCAGGGCGGCATGTATCCGAAGCGGACGATCCAGTCTCGTGTATATAACTTATAAAGATGCAATAGACTGCAGATGAAATTCTATACCATCATCACATAAATGCAACCCCACCCATCAGTTCATAAACTTACACACGGGCAACCGATACTTCTCAATCATCCAATACGGCCTCCTCACTCCCTCCCACTCCCCCTCCAACTTGGGCACCTCAATCTCCTCCCACTCGACCTCAAACCCAGCCTCAAACAGATCAATCTCCACCACCTTCTGATACACATCATAACTAATCTGCCTATCCGCCCCCATCCCATTAAAGAACCCCCAACGCCCCCCATCCTGCTCCAAAATCCCAATCACCTGCTCACTAAAAAACTCCCGGAAATCCGCATACGACTCCGCAAACGTATCATAGTAAATCGCATCCACCTCCACCCCCTCACCCACCAACGCCGGCAACACCTCCTGCCACCGGCCCTCATGGATCCGCACCCCAGGCTTCTGATCCCACCCCTTGCGCTTCATCTCGGCGATCACGGCCGGGTGCGCTTCAATAATGTGATGTTCGCTCGGTTGATGCGATTGCAGGAACGTATCCACGATACCCATGCCATGGCCGATGTTAAGGACCCGGAGACCCGGGGTGGGGAGAAGCTTCTGCGCGGATTTCTCCATGATGGTGGATTCCCACGCCATCATGACGCCGTTTTGGTCCGCGTCGAGGAGTCGGTCGTTGGTGAAGGTTAGGGTTGAGTCGAGGTACCGGGGATTGGTTACGGAGGGGTTGGTGGCTTCTTCTGTTTCGGTCGTGGGTTCAGTGGTGGTGGTGGTGGTGGTGGTTGGTTCCTCTTGTTGTTCGGCTTCCTGTTCGGCCTCGACCTCGCCCTCGCCCTCTTCATCCTCCTCATCATCATCATCAGACAAAGCCTCATACCCATCCAACCTCCCCAACAACAACTCCGCCCTAACCCCCGCATCAACCATAATCTCATACAACTCCGCAGCCCCAATTCTCTTCGCAACACACCCGGGCGTCTCATTGTTGAGGTCTAGATCATTCCAAATCGCACCCTCCTGAAGCAGAAACTTGACTGTTTCAGCGGCGCTGCCTCCCGCGCTTTGCTCTTGCTCTTGCTCTGCTGCCTCGCCATTGCTCTCAACGCCATTAGCCTGTGGTTGTTGGGGCTCTTCAGGCTCGTAGGCTGCGATGGCGGCGTGGAGAGGTGAGAATCCGGTCTCGGGGTCTTTGACGTTGACGGGGTTGCCGGGGAGTTGGTTCTCGCGGATTAAGCGGCGGAGGGTGGGGATGGAGTGGTTGGAGGCCGCGAGGAGGAGTTCTTGGGTGTAGATGTCGACGTTGATTTCCATGTCTGGGGTGGGGGTTATTGTGGTCATGGTGGTGGTGGTTGATGTCTGGGGAGTGGTTAGGAGGGTGGTTGTGGTGTGGTGATGGTGGGGGAGATAATTTTTGGAGATGCGGTGATATGCGCGGGAGTGGGGAGGGAGAGGGATGGATTGGGATTGTGCTGGACAGGATTGGCGCGGGGGACTCACACTCCTGCAGGATAGAGTTGTTATAGACTGAGTTCCAAGTAGTAGAAAGGATCTCCAATGGGTTAATCAGGACCGTAGGTGGGAGCTGGAAATGGTTGATGATCTCCGCGCGATAGAAATTTCCGCCGCATTCGTCCCCGCTCTCCGCCGCAGAACTGAACAGCTGCAGATCTATCTACGCAATCCGGGCAGTACGTCACTTAGATACTCAACGATCTTTCGCGTAAATGTAAGAGAAGAGAAACTGTTCGCCTGTTGCTCGAGAACCTGAAAACTATTTGTACAAGTACCTGATGCCACACCTGCCGCCCTGCCGGACGACTCTTAGCGCCATGACTGCTACATCATTAAAAACCCATGCCTGCCACTGCCTGGCAGACCCCGACGTTCTGCCCGCTTATTTCGAGTCATCCGCACCGGCGTTGACGTTCAAGCCCAGACCCTGCGAGTCCAGGTACAGCTTGTTCTTGCCGCCGTTCTCCTGCAGGATCTGGGCGATCTGGCGCGCGTTCTCGATCTTACGCAGCTCGATGTAACTCTTGCTCTTCTTGATCGCGTCACCAATCAGCTCAGCCGAACGAGCCTCACCCTGGGCGCGGACAATGAAAGCCTGCTTCTCCTGACGAGCCTTGTCGACCAAGAAAGCGGCCCGCTGGGCCTCCTGCTGGGCGACCTGCTTGGCCTCGACGGCGGCCGTGAACTCGGGGGAGAAGGTCAAGTGCTGTAGCCAGAAATATTAGCGGAAGTCATATATTGCGAACAGAATGATGGCAGCATACCGTAAGCGACACATCGTCCAGGGCAATGTTGAACCGGGCAGCCCGACGAGCAAGGTTCTCCCGGACCAGTCTGGCAACGTTCTCACGCTGAGTGATCAGCTGGCTGGCGTTGAACTGCGCCACCACACTCTTCAAGACCTCGTTCACAATGGACGGAAGCACGCGCTCGTCAAAGTCCTGGCCCAGAGTACGGTATATTTGGGGAAGGGCGTCGACGCGGGGTCTGGACAGGACACGGCAGGTGATGTTCACCATCTGCAAGTCTTTGGTACCGGTGAGGGAGGCAATGTTGCGCGGCTTGGCGCGGACGTCGTAGATGATCGGGGTCTCGAGCCAGGGAATCCGAAGATGAGTTCCTAAGATGGGGATCCGTTAGGTGAGATACAGGAGCCGAGAGCAAAGGATGAGCCGGCTTACCTTCGCTGTAGATTTCCTTCTTGACACCACCAACTCTGGAGTACTTGATGGCACGGTGACCACCATCAACTGCAACCCCCAGTCAGCAAATCCTCTTCCGATATTTCGTCCAGCAGATCGGCTCACCGTTGAACATGGAGTTGGAGAGAGCCCATCCTCCCAGCAAGACGACGAGCACAGCTCCGGCTCCCACGCCGCCGCCACGAGCTCCACCCGGGAAACCGCCGCCGCGGTTGTTGAGGGCCATCTGGAGCCTTTGAAACTGATCCCTAGGATTCCCGGACATGGTGATTGTGGGGTATGAGAGTGTGATACAGACGGGGAGAGGATTGCAGGCAGGATGCAAGAGAGCGGCCGGCGGAGGCTCGTCACTTTCGAGCTGCTGCCTCTCACCGCCTTGGCAGATGCTGCCGCTTTTCCCTTCAATCATCCGGTCCCTCATTCTTCTTCCTTCTCGCCATTCAACGGCTGCGGCCTTTATACTCCCTTTTACGCAATTCATCCGGGGGCCAAGCTTCGAAGCATCCCGTCAGTTTCCAGCGCCGTGTCTCTCGATAGCCTCCGAGTCCGTCTCTTTGCCCTCGCCTATCGCCTCCGCCTCCACCTCCAGCTTCACCACCTCAACCATCAATTAGCTATCTCCATCCTCCCCGTCTCTCCTCCTCCACCATGGCTCCCGGAGCCGGAAAGAGTGTCTTCCTAGGGAACATTCCCTACAGTACGTTCCCTATATCTATGACCTCCCCCAGCATCCTCAATGGCAACCACCACTAACCCGTCACCACGCAGACCTCACGGAAGAACAGGTTAAAGACATCCTCAGCTCCGCCGGCACAGTAACCAAGTTCCGCCTGATGATGAACCCAGAAACCGGTAAACCCAAAGGTTACGGTTTCGCCGACTTCGCCGACGCCGATGCAGCCGCCTCCGCCGTCCGCAATCTGAACGACTACGAGATCATGGGGCGCAAGATCCGAGTCGACTGGCCTCACAACAACGAGAAAGACTCCATACCCCCAGACTACTCCCAATTAAACGCACCCATTAATCAAGATGGCGCCCAACAACAACAGCAACAACAATCGTCTGCGCCTCTCCCTCCTCTGCCCCCGGGTGTCGAAGTGCCCCCGCACCTGGACTGCCCCAACGCCATCTCCCAGACCCTCGCTTCTTTGCCCCCGAACCAGCTCCTCGATGTCCTTTCCCAGATGAAGTCGCTCGTCATGGCAGACCCGGCTAGAGCGACGGAGCTCCTGCGCCAAGCACCCCAGCTCGCCTATGCGATTTTCCAGGCGCTGCTGCTCATGAATCTGGTTGATTATAGCACCCTCGGCTCGGTGGTGGAACAGGCATCTCAACCTTCTGCGCCAGCACCTCCTTCTGCCGCAGCTCAGGCTTTCCAGGCCTTCTCTGCCGTGCCAGGACAGGTCTCCACGCCGCCGATGGTGAACGCTCCCTTCGGTGCCGCAGCTGCGGCACCGCAGCAACAGCCGCAAGCAATGCCCGGACAGGAGGAGCTCCTGCAGCAGGTGCTCAGCATGCCACAGTCGGCGATTGATGCGCTTCCGCCTATGGAGCGCAGCCAGATCATGCTCCTCCGGCAGCAGTTGATGCAGGGTGCGATGCGGTGATACCTTGATCATCGTCCCAATCTGTTTAATACTCTACGAGAACAAAAGAACCGGGCGCAAGGAGGTAACAGTGCGGTGCAGGTTCAGATTCAGACTCTATCTTGATGTTAGCAACGATTTCGCTTTCATTGATCAATACCGGAACCGGGGTGTGTTGGCGCAATGGGGTTGTTGGTTGGTTTCGTTGTGGGTACATCACACATTACTTCTTCCTTTCGCCTTTCTTTCTTCCTCGGAATTTCGGAATGTACAGTTAGCACGGATTGATAGCAGCTGTCGCGGATATCCCCAGCATTGATTTTTTCGGCTACCGTTGCCTTGTCTTTCTTTAGCCGTATCGTATGAAGCAGTGCGTAGCATAAAAAGTACCTCTCATCAAATCCCAAAGCCCTTCCTCAAACCCAATTCGAACAAACCAAACCAAATAAAAATATAATCATCCGCTTGCCACAACTCGTGACTGGCTAGCCAATCCCCCAGTCAATCCTTAAAACCTACCATCATCACTATCATTCTTACCTCAACCGAAATAGAATAGTTACATGCAGGACAAGTCCGTCTATAATCTAGGGCAAGCGTACCATCTCCCTACCTACCGATCTACAACAACTAAGTCATGCACATTCCACTGCAACAAACACCCTCTTTCTCAGCTAGCAATCTTGATCCAGTCCTTGTATATCATTTTATATTCGAATTGACACTCGCGCTACTGATCCCGTTTCGAGTCGGCCACATATTTCCTCGAGGTGTGTTGAGTGTCACTATTTGCGGTGGCATAGATCCAAATAATTCTCTTTGGTCCAGGGGAACTGCCTTTGGGACTTGAGGCTATATGCTTGTCGTTAGCTGGCTATCCTGTCTGCTTGGGTAGGGTAGGTGGGTAGGTAGGTAGACATGTCCCTCGATATTGCATAGGATATTGCCTAGGTTTGGATTACTGGGTTAGTTGTGCTCAGCTAGTGTGTTGTGTAGTAGTGTCATGCACTGTATGGGAGGCATGATCACAGTGCCAGAGAGCGAAGTTGGGGTTGTTACTCTAGATTTGATATACAATAGGGCAAGGCATATTATCAATTGGACATGCCATGACTGCCTTCAGGTCCAGTTCTTCCATTAAGTCAGGCATACGATCGCTCTCAGAAGTAAACGAAGCAGCTTTTCCCCCAGTGAGCCTGGTACTGAGATAGATGTACACGCCCAAACAACCATATTAACATTCACAACAGCGCAGCACACGCCATGGCAACATTCACTTCCAGCATTAGGCCCTCCACGCACGCACGCTTTTTCTTTTTTTTTTCCTTTCCCCCCTTCTTCCTCTTTCATTTCCATGTTTCTCCCACGTCTACGTTCTCCCCTTGTCCATGTCTGTTGTTCTCTTCTTCACCGTTTCATCTCTCACCACGTGACGTCTCTAGCCCCTACCACCAGCACCTGCACGTTGAGCAAAGAACATTGTGTTCGAGCTCACAGTCTCTCACTTTGGTATCCTTTCTTGAAAGACAAAGATATCTGTCATTTTCATCATGTCCTCCCAGAAGAGATCGTTGCCTTTCCGGCCCTCGAAGCGTCCATCCAAACGGACGGCGAGGAATCGTCGAAGCAATGACGATGACGCTGAGGAAGTATTCAATTCTCCGTACCAGGATCCTAATATTCCTGAGATTGTTAGGTCTCAGTTGCCGTCAGGTGGAAGGGCATCTCGTACGCAACTGGCGTGGCATCTGCCGCCGATGCATACCCTTGACGACATCTATAAGTCGATCACAGGGGTAGCGTTGAAGCTCGGATTTGATCGCGCCTTGTCTCATTTGGGAGCAAGGCCTTTGCGTGTTGTCACTGTCTGCTCGGGGACTGAGAGTCCACTTCTGGCTCTTGAGATGGTACAAAAGAGTGAGTAGTCCGGTTCCAGGTTCGGAAACATCGACTGATTGCTGGCTAGATCTTCGTGAACACTTCAATATGTCATTTGAATTTCACCACCTCTTTAGCGCCGAAATCGTTCCCTTCAAGCAGGCGTATATTGAGCGAAATTTCCATCCCCAGTTTATCTTTCGTGATGTAGAGGAGCTCAAGGACCGGGTCGCGTAAGTATCTCCACTTCCCCAGATGCTTGTGTCTTGTGCCTGACACCACTAGACAAACGGCCTATGGGTCTCTAGAGAAGATCCCTAAGAATCCCGACATCCTGATTGCCGGCTTTTCCTGTGTGGACTTCTCGACGCTGAATAACAAGCGAAAGACATTGGATCAGAAAGGCGAATCCGGAGGCACCTTCTGGGGAATTGTTCGCTATGCCGCGACCTACAGGCCTCGCTTGGTCATTCTAGAAAATGTAAGGACCGCCCCGTGGGAGAAGATCAAACAGCACTGGGACGAAATCAACTATGTCGCCACCTACGTGGATGTCGACACGAAGGCTTTTTATCTCCCCCAGACGCGTGAACGAGGGTATATGTTCTGCGTGGACAGAGAGGCCATGAGGAAGCAGAATCTGTCCGATTCCGACATGATGGGTTGGGCGCAGCTTGTTGGCGACTTCAAGCGTCCTGCAAGTTCGCCGGCGGGTATGTTCCTTGTAGGTGCCGACGATAAGAGATTGGAACAAATCGAAAAGGACATGTCGACCCGGATGAAACCCTCTCGGACCGCAGTCAATTGGGCAAAGTATCAAGTCCGTCACCAAGGCTACCGCCTGAGCAATGCCCTCGGGCATAAGCGCCCAGTGAGCAGGTCCCAGGACGACGGTACGTGCGAGATGCCAGACTTTATGTGGCAAGCGTGGGTCAAGTCCTTACCGGAGCGAATCTGGGACACCTTGGATATGAACTTCTTGCGCAAGCTCGTCGAAGGATATGATATGCACCACAAGGAGTAAGTCAAAATCACTAATACCTTTAGTACGGTGAGATCTGACAGATTCTAGACGATTTATCGAACTCTCTCAGGGTGTCGATCGCGAGGTAGAAATACGTGCGTTTGGCATCCTTGGCTGCATCACTCCCTGTGGCATCCCATTTCTCACCACAAGGGGAGGACCACTCTGTGGCCTTGAATCACTTGCACTGCAAGGCTTGCCACTCGAAAGGCTTCTCCTGACTCGAGAATCTCAGCGCGAACTGCAAGACCTTGCAGGGAATGCGATGAGCTCGACCGTCGTTGGCGCAGCAGTCCTCGCTGCATTGATTGTTGGATACAAGGTTCTGAAGAGAGGGGACCAGTCTGCAGCTCACAATGTTCGTAGCACAAAGCACAAAGGCATCACACCTCAGAGTGGACACAAGATGACACCAAAGGACATACACCTCTGCGATATTGCTCACCTTGATGTCTTGGAACTTCAAGACCAGGCCGCTAGTAGCGCAAGGTATTGTGTCTGTGAGAGACAAACCGCCATCAGAGCGAGTATCTTGAAATGTACCTTGTGTCACCACACAGCCTGCTCCGAGTGCGGCGGCAATCCGGCACATGCGTACGAGCGTTGGAGCAGTCTCAAACGAACGAAACCCTTGGATTTTGTCAGTCGGCTGAGGCGTAGTCTGCCGGCTAGACTGGTGGTGTCTGGCCTTTCTCGCGACTGTTATACCGGCTTGATCGGGGCTGTAGCTGATAATCTCCCTTCAGAGGTCGCGGACCACTTTTTGGAAGCAATTGCTTTGGCCATTGGTGACGAACTCCGGCTATTGGACATCAAACGGAGTGAAGTCTGGACCGTCCATTATGAGGGCGCACATTCCGCTCTGCACTTGGTCATTGGTGAAACTGGCATGAGTTGGCTCTTTTTTGCAAAGCCGTCCGACTCCGCTCCCACTTTGTGTATGATCCGAGAGATTCTGTCAAAGCCGATTGCTCGCATGACATCTGGATCCAGTTCTTTCTTGGATGGCAATTGGGAGGTTTGTGCGCCGCTGAGTTCCAAGCGAACGCTGTACTTCTCCGGAGTGGGACCGCAAGTCCCATCATACGAAGCGAGATGCGGTCTTCAGCTAGACAAATTCGTGGATTCCAAATCTTGGACGCACATTCAGGTCGAGGGATCGGATGAGGCAGTGGTAGGTCTGGGGGTAGATGTCCGTGGAATTTATGATTCTCTGCCAGATTGCGGAACGGCAAATGCATGCTTGCACAAGAGGTCGGCTCGCAACGATGGTCCTCCAGTGTATCTATTCCTCGATCCGACAAAGCTGGGGGCTCCGAAAAATGACTCTTTCGTTTTCGCCTGGGAGCATCGGCGTGTTCCGGGATACACCACGAGGCTCACCATTGCGGAAGTGTCCCATACATGGCGCTCTGCCAAAGCCACCGAGGACCCGAGGCCGGTGGACGTCTATTTTCGCCAATGGATGCAGGTGCCAGCCATGGCTTTGAATCCCTATGCCCCGGCCGCCCCCATCCCCTGCTATCAGCTGGATACGGAGAACAGTATTTCCATTGGCCGCTCGGGATGCCAGGATGCCAATATCACCTTGCTTCAGTTCAAGCCCCCCACGACAGCCCTTGAGACAGGGTGGAAGGACGGTTCGTGGCAAGTCATCAACCCAACCGACTCACCTTCCTCGCTGAAGGATTTCGGCTGGCTGTTGCAAAAAGCGGCCGACGTCTGGGAGTTTCAAGACTGGAATGAGGTCGCCGAGACCCAGAGCCTGACTAAAAGCGCAGAGTCGGAATGTGCCTGCGTGCCATTGAAGCCACGGATTCTGTGGGGGCGAGACCGACGGGGTTGGATCAAAGCATATGAGGATCCCCACGATGCCGCACTTTATGCTCGCCAGGTCAAGGCAAAGCCGCCCGCGTTTCTGATCTTTCGTCGAGTCGATGACCAAGGAGTTGGTGACCTGCGCGTCACCCTCAACGTGCAAACGCTGCTACACCAGGCCTACGATCGATTAGTTCGTGACAATATTGCGAAAGGAGTATCATTTCAATGGCGCCTGATCCCTAACTCATATGACACCCGGAATATCTCCTTCCCCAAATTCGAACTGGGGAGTAACCGGAACGACTCGCCATATGGTCAGCCACCGGGGTTCCGTCTAGAACTGCGGCCAGAGCAACTGCGGTCTTTGGCTTGGATGATCCAGCAAGAGGACGACAATATTCTGCCATTCATGGAAGAAGAGATCGAGGAGGCGCTTCTTCCCTCACTGATGTGGCGCGCTGAGGGACGGGTGACCGTTCCCAAAACCGTGCGGGGAGGCATTCTGGCCGACGATGTCGGGTATGGCAAGACTGCCATCACTCTGGGCCTGATCGACTCCTTGCAGGGGAGAGATCAACAATCACTTTCAGAGGTCCCCGAAGGCTTTATTCCCACGAAGGCCACCCTCATCGTTGTACCTCATGTCATGCTGCAGCAGTGGCAGGCCGAAGTCGCTAAATTTCTGGGCGGCAAACTCAAAGTCTTGGTGTTCATCTCAGCGGCGTCCTTCAAAAGGACCTCGATCAGGGACGTTCTGCAGAGCGACATTATCTTGGTTTCTTGGGCGCTCTTTAACAATCAGGGATATTACGAGAAGTTGCAAAGGTTCACGGGCACGCCTCGGGTTCCGAGAGCCGCGGGCCGGAATTTCGATGCGTGGTTCAAGGAGGCCCAGGCCGCTCTAAGGGACCAGGTCAAGATCTTGACGAGCCATGGTCCTACTGCACTGCTCGATTCAATCCGCCTCAGGCGGCAGGATGTTCAAAATGCCCAGTCCAGTTCCACGTATTTCCCGTCGATGCGTCTGAGAGGCAAGAAGTACGTCGAGAGTAACCGGGGGTGGGAGTCCGTCACCAAAGATGGCCTGCCTTACGCAGATGTATCTAGCGATGAGGCATCGGAGCCAGAAGACGAACCCGACGCTGAGACGCTGAGGGTGAAAACGGACCAGTGCCTCAAACTTCGGCCAGGAAAGCCTTCGGGAGCGATGGAGATGGTTGATTCAGACGGTGATGAAACTCAGTATGAGGATTCCTCTAGGGAAGCAGACCAAGTTCGACCTGCACCTGTCCGCAAAGTAGGTGGCCAGAAGAGGAAAACGGGCGACTCGGCAGCTGGGAAAAAAGCTGAAAAGGCGTGGGATGATCGGAAAGAGTTCAACATCGGCAAGGGCAAAGATCAAAGTTGGGAGACTGTCCGGACCCCTCTCCTACATGCATTCTCTTTCAACCGTCTTATTATCGACGAGTTCACATATGCAAATCCGGAGAGACTCAATCCCCTTCTTGCCCTCCAGGCGCGGTCCAAATGGGTTCTGTCAGGAACTCCACCGTTGAACGACTTCGCGGACGTGAATACGATAGCCCCGTTCCTCGGAGTCCATCTCGGCGTGGACGAGGACGATGTGCAGTCCCAGAATAAGCGCCTCAAAATCCTATGTAAACAGCAATCGGCTGCCGAGAAGTTCCAGTCCTTCCGAGCACCCCATAGTGAGGCGTGGCATAGCCACCGCCATGAGATCGCCCAAAGATTCTTGGACCGGTTTGCACGAAAGAACGTGGCCGAGATTGACGAAATTCCCTCTTCGGAGCACATCGTTCTGATACACGCGTCCCCTGCGGAGCGAGCAATCTACCTTGAGCTGTACAAGCAGTTGATGACATACAACCGTCAGCTCCGTCGAGGCAGACGGGGTAGATTCAGCAGTGACCAGGTCGAGCGACTGGACGAGATCATTGGTAGCAGCACGACGGCCGAAGAGGCGTTGCTCAAACGCTGCTCATCCCTTGCCCTTCAGGGTCGTTGGGATGATAATGGACGGCCTGAAAACACGACGTGCGCCTCTCTGATCGCTACCCGGGAAAAGCAGCTAGACGATCTCAGAAGCGATCTCATGATGAAATTGAGATTGGCAGCATTTGTTTACTGTGATTGCGATCTGAGACATGAAGCCTTCCATAAGTTTATCGAGAGCATTGCCAGGGACGACTTCGGTGACACGACTGTTACCCAAGAAGTTTATCTTCTTGTCAAGACAGCGCTCCTCACGTCGAGCGCCGATGATTGGAAGTTTTTCTTTGCCGCCCCTGAAGAGCAACTGTCTGATACCGAGGACACGTCTGATGAAGAAGCCCAAACTACCTCGGAAGCAGAAAGTGAGAACGAGATTGAGTCGGTAAAAGACGAAGAGCTCGCTTCTCCTGCTGCGAAAAGGACGAGAGTGGCGATCGGCCAGAATCAGGCAAGCCAAAGCCACAAATCCAGTGGAAGCAATGGTCCTGGAAAGGATGAGAGCAAGAACAGCGAGCTGCCCAAGAGGCCTAGTGACCCGGACGACTTCGAGCCAATCTTAAAAGACATCACGACAACCATCCGAGATCTCATAGTGGAATGGATTCTGCGCGGACGAGCCCTCCGATTCCTGAAAACTATCCATCTCGTACAGACCGGCACCGAGGTTGGCCAATGTGATAGCTGCTGCTGTGAACTGGAAACGGTCGAGAACATGAATGTCCTGGGCTCTTGCGGCCATGCGCTTTGCACGGAATGCAGCGCACAAACAATGCTGATGGAAGAATGCGCCGTTCAGGGATGTCGGGGCTCTGGCAAGCGATTCAATATCATCAAGGCATCCACGCTCGGACGGAATGAAGTGGACAGGGGGTCCGATTTCGGAGGAAGCAAGATGGACGGAATGATCGAGATTGTCCGCAGCATTCCCTCGAACGAACGAGCCTTACTGTTCATCCAATTTCCTGAGCTAATGGAAGTAGCATCCAAAGCTCTAGACCTGGCGGGCATCAAACACGCGGCGATTTCGGCCACGGATCGCAGGTCGGCGCAGAAAATTGAAAAGCTGCAAAGGACAAGCTTCGGAGATGACAAGGTGTTGATATTGAATCTCGGAAGCGAAATGGCAGCAGGGTTGTAAGTTTTCGACCCATTCTTATGGTAACAGATGGGCAGATGGTTAATGTTGTTTACAGGAATCTCCAACGTGCGAACCATGTTATCTTTCTGTCGCCTATGCTCACGCAGACTCAATATGATTGGGAATCTGCCATGACCCAAGCCATCGGACGGTGCCGAAGGTACGGACAAACCCGACACGTCCACATCTACCATCTATTGGTCAAAGGGACCATGGACGTCAACATCTTTCAAAGCCGCCGTGAGAAAATGCTAGTAGAAAGAGATGGCGAGGCGGTGCTAGTGGACCCGAACGAAGCTTCCAAAATCGAAGCCATCAGCTGTGAGGGGCCATCGTTGGTAGTAGACAATGCGTTTTGAGTATGTGTGAAGGTTTGGAGATATGAAGTTGTTTAATACATTTCTTGTCACGATGTACGAGTACCTAGTCAATAGTCAGATTTTCATTTGAATATTTTGATTTGGGAGAGCAGATCGTCGCCATGCACTATGGTTACTGACCTGTATGTACTTGACAGTTCCTCGGGGTCGCACTACAGCTGCACATAGTGCGACCCCGGGGCACTTGCAGAAGGTTGATTGGGAAGGAAAAGAGACGTCAGAGTTCTGGCAGGAACCTGCCGCTCTTATAAGTCTGTGAGCCACGTGAGATTGTGTGTACGCGTCTGTCTCTCGCATTCACGGATAACACAAAGGAAGGCGCGCTAAGCACAGGGGATCCATGGCCTGGCAGGTGCACGTGCATGACGACAGGAGCCAGAGTGAAGAGCAGGAAACCCTCATGGAACATTGAAAAACTGCATTGGTTACTGCTAACGAGACCCTCTATGGGTGCTTAAATCGATCCCACCATCTTCTGACTTTCCCCTACGCAAAAAGAGGAATATCAGAAACAACGTACTGTACATAAGCGTTACCTGGTGGCCCGTCCAGTTCACCAACCAGGGCAGAAAAGGAAAAAAAGGGAACATGACAATTGCAACCATCCAGCGCACGGTATCGAAACTATATTCTCTGCTTGAATTATAGGTTTATCTTCATTTATTGTGCTTGAGCGTCCAAAGCACCGTCCTTTCTCATCATCGTGGCGGGGTCCCACACGGGCTCGACCAGGTTGGTCAATCCCGCGCTGTTCTCGCAAGTATCTCTTCCACTCAGGGGACCCGGAGCGGGCACCTTGACGGTCTGGCCCGCCTCGGTGGCAGTCGCGGAGTCCTTGAGTGCGGTGAGGAGGGTCTTGATCGATTCGGGGGTGAGATCCTCGTAGTAGTCGTCGTTGATCTGGACCATGGGAGCATTGACACAAGCACCCAAGCATTCGACTTCGATGAAAGTGAAAAGACCGTCCTTGGTAGTGTGTCCGGGGGTGATACCCAGGTGTTCCGTGATCGCCTGGACGATCTTGTCGCTACCGCAACCACCGAGCTGGCAGGGTGTCTGATAGCTGTCAGCGACGGCACCAAGTGGTGATACGCCACGCAAAATAAGGACCAATTCATACCGTTGTGCAAAGCTGGACAAAGTACTTGCCGACAGGCTCACGGTTGTACATGGTATAGAAGGTTGCGACTTCATAGACACGCATGGGGGGCATCTCGAGGAGACGGGCGACCTCGTTCATGACACTGATGCTGGTGTAGCCGTGCTGGCGCTGGCCCACATCCAGCACCGGCATGACGGCGGCCTTCTTGTACTGGGGGGGATAACGCTTGAGGATTTCATCGATGAGTTTGAGGCTCTGTTCGGAGAACTTGAACGGGACGGACGGGTTGTTGTCGCCTTTGTTGCGGTGCTGGAGAAGTCAACTGGTCAGCCCTGTTTCTGCACGAAAAACCTCTTTGCTCCACTCAATTGCAAAGCGGAGCACTATCCGGGCCTGCCGCGAAAACCGGATGGTGATCATGGAGTCTCTGAACGTACCACGGCCAGGGAGTCGCTGTAGCGTTGCGGACCAGCCGAGAAAGGTCTGAATTGGGTCTTGGGGATCTGCTGGAAGAGCTGGCGGCCAGTCCGCGGGACGGCGGGGAAGAATTTGGAGGCCATTGCTGGCAGAGGGAGGGGAGTGAGGGTATGGGGAGGAGGGCTGGGGGTCGATCTGATGGATTGAAGGTGAACGACCGACTTGGAGTCGAAGAGGCGTTTTGCGGGAGCTGCGGCTGACCAATCAGCGCCGACAGATTACTCCCGCCTTGTGCCAATGAACGATTCTCGCAACCTCATATCAACATACCATGCACCTGATTCATGGGAAATCATTTGAATGGATTGATTTTGGCTTACAGAATACATTGAGACTAATAGCAGTACCATCTCGACTCAACCTACGAAAACGCCATCATCACACGTAACCCAGTCCAATACCCAGCTCACCCTCCATGAGTTCCATCACACATTCTCCATCTTATACACCTCATACGCGACCTCTTCATACGGATGAGCCTTGACCAGTGCCTCCACGGCCTGCAGCATAACCTCCCGTCCCAGACACATCACCTCCACCTTCATCTCCTCGACCGTCTCGACCGTTCCGACCTGGCCAATGGCCGGATTCGCGCCCTCCGACGGCAGAAATTGACCCAGTCCTGGCGCTTGGAAACAGGCTTTTGTGTACTTCCCCCCTGGGAAGGTTCCAGCCCCGGTCGCGAAGACAGCTTCTTTGCATGCCTCGTGGTGGGAGTGCGGGACGAAGTAGACCAGCTTGTACCGGTCGGGGATGGCGGCAGAGGACATGGTTCGGTTTGGATGACTTCGAAGAGGGGAGGGTATATATTTGGACTGAGACGTGTTGATGCTCGTAGTTGGAAAACGTGTAGATGGTAGCGACACAGCGAGCGAGAGCGGGGATCTGGATGACGATACCGTCCGGAACAATCTGTAGGAGTGGCGGTTGCGGAAAGACGGCGAGATGGCTGTGCGGGGGATACAACCGGCCAGCGTGGACATGGTTGGTGGCATTCTTATTCCAGAGTCGATAGCATGCGCTTCTATGGACTTGGCGTGTCTGGTGTGATGCGCCACGGTACGGAGTACCACGGCGTGCATCCAAGTCACGTTGACATGAACCATTATCCGGTTATCAATCAATCCTGGCTTTATATCAGACAGCACTGGATATACCAAATAAACAGTAGCCAATCTGCACATATGACACTGCACCTGAGAATATCCCCAGTAAATTCAAACATCAAACATCAAATGCAGTCATCACTCTCCAGGATATATATCTATCATCTACTCATTACATATAACATGACCCTCATCTAACTGCCGTAGTATAACCACCTCAAACCAACTCCGCAAACCCACACACATGCTCCTCAATCCGCTCCAACAACTCCAACTTCCTCTCCTCCTCAATCCAACTCTCACTCACACTATTCACCGCAATGACCCTCCACTCCGCCACACTCAACCCAAACGCCTCCTGCACCGCACAATAATTATCCAAAATATACCCCCCAAAATACGCCGGATCATCACTATTAATCGAGAACTTGACCCCAGCATCCAGGAACTTCCGAATCGGCACCTCCTTAACCTCCTTGACACACTTCAACTGGACATTCGACAACGGACACACCGTCAAGAGAATGCCCTCCCGAACCACCCTCTCCATGAGCCCCTCATCCTCCACCAACCGAATCCCATGATCAATGCGCCTCGCCCCCAACTCCAACGCCGTACTAATATACGTCGGATCACCCTCCTCACCCGCATGAGCCGTCAACCGAACCCCCCTCTCTCTCGCGGACGCATAAATCTCCCTGAACATATCCTTCGGCGGCCCCACCTCACTCGACGACCACCCCAACCCATGCACCGTGTCCGATTCAAAATGTCCATTCTCCAGAATCTTCGCATACGTCCGTTCCGCCGACTCAACCGACAAATGTCTCACAAAGCAGAGAATCAATCGCGTCGAGAGACCCAATTCGGCCTCCGCGCGCTGACACCCCGCCACGAACCCCGCGATGATCGTCTCGTACGCGATCCCCCGGTCCTGGTGCACTTGGGGGTCGAAGAACACTTCGGCGTGGTGGACGCCATCTGCGTGCGCTTTTTGGAAATAGGCCCAGGCGAGGTCGGCGAAGTCGGATTCGTGTTGTAGGACTGACATCCCGATGAAGTAGAAGTGCAGGAAGTCGTCGAGGGAGGTGAAGTGGCCGTAGCGGTGGGTCAGGGTTTCGATGGAGGTGTATTCGGGGGTTGGGGGGAGTTGGACGCTGTTTTTTGAGGCTAGGTGGAAGATTAGGTCCGGCGTGAGGCAACCTTCTAGGTGGACGTGGTGTTCGCATTTGGGGAGGCCTCGGAGGAAGTCGTGCCAGGTGGATTGGCACATTGTGGTGATTTGAAGTATCACTGATGTGTAGTGTAGAGGGTGGGAATATGATAGAGAGTGAGAAAATTCTTGAAGAAGTAAAGAATAGAACAAAAGAACAGCAGACGAAGCAGACAAATATAAAGAAACCAAGAGTCGGCGCAATACCACCGCATCCAAAAAGCGCCTCCCTCCGAGGCACGGAAGTGGAGATGACGATTGACTCAGGGCTGCAGCAGTGCAGTACTCACTGGCCAGCTGGGTTCCTGATGACCCACTCAGGCGGGTTCGTCAGGCTGCGACGATAAGCTTGTTTCTTTTCCCACGCGCCGATTCTGCGGTGGTCCCGGAAATGCGCCGAGTCGGAGACGGCCGATGTGGCGCCGGAGAACGGAGACGTGCTTGTACTTTAGAATTAGATGTACCGATAAGGGAACGATGATAGTGTCTATCGAAAGTGTAATGGAATTCTTCTAGAAAGATTTTGTGCTTGGGGTCTGGCTTTCAGACATAAAATCTATCCTCTATCGGGGTTGGGTATATCTGATGCGCATTTAAATGGAATACTCTAATTGCTGTTATTCATGCTATCATAACCGAAAATTTTATAACTTCTAGCCAACGCAAAATCCCAAGATATCTAGCCAAGATGCAATCTATAGTTTACGGTGATTATTATACCCGCAGTTCTGCTCCGGCGGCTTTGCGCAGCCGGTTCATGACCGCAGCCGCCAGATCGCCATGCTGGTCAGGCACTCCCTCGACGTAGATGACGTCTACCTCCATTTCATCCATGGCCCGTAGCGCGGAGAACAAGCCCTGCGCAATAGACTTGATATCCGTGCCCAGATGGCAGTCGAACGTTTCCTTGGTACTAGTGCGGCCGTTGACCTGGTCGCTCACCGGAACAGAGAACCCCACCAGCTCGTTCACGAGAGATGGGATGTGCTTCAAAGTCTTTTGCATTTCATCTTCCGACAGCAGCCCCATGCCTCGCTTCCAGTTTCGCGTGCGCACCACTCCGACCATATGCGCACCGACCGCCGAATCTTCCAGGTCCTTGCGGATATGCTTCGCGACGCATTGCTCATCCGAACCGGCCTCGAAAAGCACCACCCGCGCCTTGGGCGAGTAGTGTCGGTATTTCATCCCCGGTGCGCGAGGGACCTCCTTCACATCAAGCGTGCCATCATGGTATCCGATCTGCACATTCTCCCACCCAGCGCATTCCCGTAGCTCCTCAATCCCAATACCGCCCGGTCGAAGAATAGCAGGGGGGTCGGACAGTCCGTCGATGACTGTACTCTCAACTCCGACACCACAGGAACCACCGTCGAGGATGAGCTCAATGCGACCCTCCAGGTCATGGTATACGTGTTCTGCCGCCGTCGGGGAGGGCTTGGTCGAGGCGTTGGCCGAGGGAGCCGCCAGTGGCCGATCCGTCACATGGATCAACAAGCGCGCGAGCGGGGACGAGGGCATGCGCACACCAAATGTAGTGAGTTTGGAGGTGACTTCACTCGCGAGGGGGGAGCCGGAGGGGTTAGAGAGAAGGATGGTAAGAGGGCCGGGCCAGAAGCGAGAGATGACGGAGTTGTAGATGGCGGGGATGGCGTTCTTCGCGGTCGTCGTGAGGCGCGTTGGGCTCTCATGCTCGGGGTTGAGTATTCGCTCCAGCATACCAAGTGAGTCGACGTGTATGATTAACGGGTTGTCGGACGGCCTTTGCTTCGCCTTGTAGATCCCTTGCACTGCATTACTCCGCGTCGCGTCTGCGCCCAGTCCATATACTGTCTCTGTAGGAAAAGCCACCGGGATATCGCTGGTGCGTAGCAGTTGCGCCGCTTCCTCGATAGCGGCTGCTTCAGGGGTATTATTGTCGCGCTCGTTGGCCCACCACTCCGCGAGGGATCGATCTCCGGGGCCTTCTTGGTTGAGTCGGCGGACCGACACGATGCGGGTGGAAGCTTTGGACGGCATGGTGGCTGTGGTGGACGCGAACCTAGCAAAGCTGCGCGGGAGACCGCCAGCAATGAGGCGAGACAGGAGCAGAACCAGATTGACTGGTGATATTCGTTCCCCGGACAGGCAGAGGAACGATCGATCGCGGGGTGAGTCACGATTCGTATAGTAAGCGGTATAGGCAACAAATTTCGCGGTGGTGGGGGCTATCAGGTCCTGGGCGACTTGTGATTCGGGGGTCTGCGGGTGTGTCTGCTCCACTGGCGTGTCCGGCCCGAGTGATTGCTGCCAGACAATTAAGACTTCTTGGGCTTCTGGATGTCGGCGAAGATCAATTCGAAAATCTTCGCGATGACGTCGGGGGCCGTGACTAAGCCGACCAGGCCAGATGCAGCCATTTTCAGGTTTCCAACCACTTCGACATCATCCTCTACACAACACAGCCAATAGGATGAGAGAATGCAAGCGGAAAATATATGCCTGTAGACTTTGGTCTTGTTATTTCCTCTCGTCATCATCGGTGGTCTGATCGATCAGAATCAGGCACACCCAGCAGTGCAATCCTAATAATCCATAGATGTAATCATGTACATCGGCTTATATCCAATCAACCAAGCAGGCATCTATTTCTTCTTTCCCCCCTTTCCTCCCTTGTTTCCACCGCCGCCTCCCCCTTTACCCTTGCCCTTGTCGCCTCCGCTGGATGCTGACCCTGTCATGATGCGCACCTTGCCAACGGGGACGCTGTTGATGACCTCAGTGTCTTTCCAACCCTTGATCAGGTCTCCTTCCCGCGCACGCAGCTTCTCAGCTGTAGCTCGGTCGATGCCAGCGTCCTCGGCGTGTTCCTTCTTGACCTTTCCGGTCGTCGTTTCGGCTACCCACCGTCCGATGATCTCCTTGACAGCCTTACCCTTCTTCACGGTACCGGGCTGCAGCTTGGTCCGGTACTTATACCGACCCAGTGCCGCCCAGGGCGCACACACAGGAATGGCGGCGAGAATCTCATCTTCCGGATGAGGAGTGCCAATCAGTGCAGGGATCCACTCCAGGTCCGCTGCCTCTGTAGCAGCCGTTTCTTCGTCGTAGTCTTCGGCACTGCCTTCAAAGAGAGCTTGCCGTTTGCGCTCCGCTTCAGCGGCGCGTTCGTGCTGTGCCCTGCGGCGTTTCTTCGCTTCCTCTGCTTCCCTTTCACGCTTGGCCTTGGCTTCAGCTTCTGCTGCAGCCTTTTCAGCTTTGGCGCTCTTGGCACCTAGTAGGCGAAGAGCCAGTTCGCGGTCTTCTTCATCCTGATCAGCGTACTTCGCCGCAGCTTTCTTTGCCTTGGCTTTTTTACCCCGACTTGGAGCAGGAGCCTGCTTGTTATTGGCTGATTTGGCTGACGTTCCGTTGGTTGCAGTCGCTGAGTTGCCCTCTTTCCTAGCCAGCCGTTTTTCTCTTGCTGAAAGTTCCCGCATGCCCTGGTTCTGTGATGCGGGAACGCTCTCGTCTTCAGGGCTACCATCCGGCTCCCCAGCCTCTTCCTCCTTCTCTTCGTCATCTTCATTATCCGGTTGAGCGTTCTGCGGTTCATTCGATGCAGCCGATACTGTCTGAATGGGCTCGGACGACCCGCGTTGCAATGGATTCTTAGCCGGAATTGCAGTATCATCCTCTTGCTCATCTTCAGATTCGGCGCTCTGCGCCTGCTCGGTTTCCGCCGGCTCATCAGACTTAGTAACCTGCGCCTCTGGCTCGACAGGGGGTTTATCCTCTACTTCTTTTGTCTCTTCGAGATCTTCCACGGGCACATCAGTAGCCACAGGTTCATCAAATCGATGCATCTTATGGTTCCGGAGACTCTCCTTGCTGACCTGGAACAAGACCGCAAATCCCAGGACGAGCTGCGAAGGAGCCAAGAAGTTCTTCTCGCCCTTGATGAGGAACTCGCCGGTAGGGAGGAGGCCACCCACGTCAGCAGTCTTGCTGACTTGGCTAGCATTGACCCAAAATGCTGCCATAATTGCCTTGGAGTCCCAGGCGCTGGACGTAGCAACGCAGAGATTACCAGCTTGCGAGAGGGTGCTTGGGGGTATAGGTGCGTTAGGCGAGTTCGATCTGTTCTTCACGATCATCGGCGTCGCGCCTGCTAGATCGGCATGAACAAAGACATCACCTTTCTTGAGGTAACGGCGGTAGAGCATCTCACTCTGCATCGCATCGCGGCCACTGTCATCGTTAGACTAGATCATGAACTTTCAATACAAATCAGACATACCCCAAGACCAAATATCCCTCCGACGAGATGAAGAAGAGGAATTTCTCGAACCAGAAAGGCTTCCTGGCAGGCCGAAGGACTTGCTTCTCCTGCTTCAAGCTGCGTTTCAAGTCGTCGGTCACTTTCTTCTCGTGACTCTTGAGTGCCTTAGTCGACGATTGCGTTGTCCTCTGCTCCTTCACGGCAGCCATCTTCTTTTGCTCATAGTACTGTGTTGCGTTAGCCCAAGGAGAAAGCCCGAGATCAATATCGATCGTCAGCATGTTCGACTGTTGCTGGTCCTTGCTAGCTGCCTCCTGTTCATCTTCTGAGCCAGACTCATAGCCCGAAAACAGCTCCTCGCCTTCATCCTGCTCTTCGCCCGCCTCTCCTAGTAGCAAGGTAATCGTGTTCTCGTGAAGCTTCAATGGTAGTTTGATAATTCCCGCCACTGGGTTTCCTCTGCCCTGCTCCATCTCAATAAGGCGGGCGATTTCAACCCAGTCCATGCCCTGAGCAATGAGGCCATTGACCGCATCCATCGCTTCTTGGACCCGGTAGACATTGTCTTCAATTGCAGCCGCCTTGCGAATATGCAATTCCTGGACCTCCTTCAGAGCGCCAATGCGCTTGGCATGCTCCTGTCTGACGGCATCAAGCTTCTTCTTTGCGGCCTCTTCACGCTCCGTGAGCCGCGACTCTAATTTCTGCGTTTCAATCGATGAAAAGTATTCATCAACTGTAACATTGAAGGAAGGGAACTCCAAGATAGTAACACCTGGTTTCCCTTCAAATTGCCGAGGCTTGAAAGGGTGAAAGTCCTCATATAGAAGTGCCGCCTTCTTGGAGGATCCCTCATCCTGAGACGTCGATTCCGCAACTGGCCGGGTATCCTCCTTCGCAACAATATACCCCGGATGATTCTCCTCAGTAGCCAACTTAGCCGTTTCGCCTCTTGCTTCCTCCAGAACATCCATGACCTTCTGCAGAAGAGCCTCATCCTGAAGAACCTCGTCGAGCGGGGTAGCGGGGTCAACCGCCTTCACGGCGAACGCATGGTCCAGCAACAGGGGAGGGTATTCCGGAAATCCCTGGGACAAAGCCTTTCGCAACACATCCAAATTCTTCTTCTTGATCTTCTTCGGCGCACTGCCCTCTTGTGCAAACAGGGCCTTTGCCTTCTCCACAGTCTCCTTGATCCTCTCTAGCGTGATATCGGGGACACCATGATAATTCTGCTTGTTGGTGACCGTGTATTTGAGTCCGACGCGGGTCTCCTCTTGTCCATCGCCGGCTGGCACTTGCCGGAACAGCGCAAGGATATTGTATTCGCGGTCCGTGATGATGATGTTGCCGCCGGCAAAGAACTCCAGGAACATGTGGTACATGCCATCGCTGAAGGAGAAGTCGATGATTCGATCCGTGCCAATCTGCTCAATAGACGTGACTCTTCGCGATTTGAGGTACTTGCGCATGCGCGTCACGAAAGGAGTGGGCGTCGTAGCAGTCGCTCGGGAGTACTGGGTGACATGGCAGCGGAATCCGGAGTCGACAACGAGCTGTTTGCGATGGTCGGGTTTGGCGAGTTTGAAAAGGAAAATTCGCTAGATGAAGAGTATAAAGTTTAGGTGGTGTATGCGTTGTAAAAAGGTCTTCACCTACCGAGGAGAGGTCGTAGATGTTCGAAACTCGTAGGTTGACTAACTCCGATGCAAGTTCCTGGGAGATGACCTGGCATTGTGTGAGTTCTTGCGGCTGTCGGCAAAGGGAGGTTGCTCGGGTTGCAGACCTTGACATCCAAGGACGAGAATCGCTGCTTCATCTTTGAATGTCCTTTGTCCTGTTCCCCAAAGAGCGAAGCTGTTGCGCTGAGTTGATGCGGTGGTCAAGAGTTTTGCACCCGTTCGGAGTCGGCGTGACGTATGCGGGGCGCTTTTCGCCTATGGAGGCATGCTTTCCATACTGGTCTATCACCTTCAGTCTCCCACCACAAGATTTTGACGCATCTTTCTATGCATTGCGTCTTATAGCATGGCCCTGTTGATTGCGCACATGCTGTCAATCCTGCTATGACCTCACATTGTCATCTGCTTATACATACGACCCTGGGTAGCCCACAACACCAGATAAGAAGCGGTATTCTCACAGCAAAACATCAAGGAGTATCTCTATCGGTACCTCAATCCCCGCAACAAAGAAATGCGGGGGCTAATAGTGTTGTAAATGGACATGATTAAACAATGAGCAATGCGCACAATACCACGCCAGGACCAGCCGGATAAGACAGCAAAAGATATAATGGGACAGAAAGGAAAAGGCACATCAGAATGCATCAATAGAAAAGCAAGACCGTCAACGTCAATAGTTCAAGTACACCGTTTACATCTGCCGCAGTCCCTCCGCCAGACGCCGCTTTCCAAGCTCCCAGGCATTAAGCAGACCTTGTTCGGACAGGTCGATGCTCTTCAGGTTCGGCGCATCGGGGGCAGGGGCGCGGCTCACGCGCGAGGCAATTAGCACAGGGTCGGTTTCCAGAATGATTCCATCGTCGATGATTTCGTCGATGGCCAGGGCGACCAGGTCGTAGTTCTCGACGATTGTGCGCTTGTCGGTTGCGCCCCTGAAGAACAGAGAGGTTAGCCAATTGCCCAGTTTCCATCAGGATTAAGGGACCGTACTTGAAAAGGATGCCCAGAGCATCTCTCAGCGACAGGACCACATTGTAGAGCAGCACTTCGTTCTCGTCGGCGCTTCCCACCACATACAGCATAACGTCGCTCTCCATCTTGAAGACAACTATCCGGTTGTCGTAGAGAATCACATCGCTAGTCTGCTTGTTGGTCTTCTCAAGGAGCCCTTGTTCAAATGCCTTCTGCTCTTTCAGGGTAGGATAAGGGTTCGCTCCGGGGTAATCGGTCGAGTTTGGGGCAGCACCGGCCGGGGGGTGAGGAGGCGAGTAGTACTTGGCGAAGATGCGAGAGCCATCGTCGGCCGACATCAAAAGAACGGCATTGACGGCAAAGAGCGAGAGAGAACCGGGCATGGTGGGCAATGGTCTGGGGATATCAGACTAGTAACGTGGTGATAGCTCCGGGGTTGCAATCGGAGTCCAACTATTTACCGTCAAGCTGGCCGCAATCCGGACGCCGCTCGAACGTTGTTCCGGAGTATACAGGAGATCAGCCCCTCGACTCCCTGTTTCTATCACCAGTGACATCTATTAATTTGCAGTATAAGGTGCTTTGGGATGACCTTATAATTAACTACGACCCTGTGTTTGGTATATATTCATATTTACTTACTATCTCTATAATACAAGTTCTAGACAGCATCATTAACGACAAATAGCACAAAACAATTTCACTCGCACAACGGAGTATAGACCATATGTATGTTCATCAGAAAAAGGAGGGGCATCAACAAGCAAGCAGATTCGTCGCGTCCGAGAGTAGTCACTGTGGGGGATAAAAAGAGTGTCCAAGCAATACCCATGTCTGGCATCATCACACGTTTCAATGTGGTCGTCTATCACATTTCCAATATAAAATAAATAGCAATAAAGTGGACGCGAAAAAGTGCCAGCTGCTTGGAAAGGCAAACTGGGCCATAATCGGCTCAACACCTGGATGATGATCAACACCGAAGAAGAATGTTAGCGTTCAACCGTAGCGGTCAAGAACCCGCCATCAAGGCCCGAGAAGATCATGCAGATTAACGGTGAATAACACAAAGAGCAGGAGTCCCCCTAGCTGCAGGCGGGAAATCTACCCCGCACTTTCCATGAGCCTAATGCGCTCAGGTCGAAGGCTGGGTGGCGTCGCCGGTGTTGGGACGGTTGAACCACGAGATCCAGCTTCCTCGGTTAGCCTTCTTGCGTGCAGCTTCCTCTTCCTCGGCCAATTTGGTCTCGCTGACAAGTCGCAGAGGGCGCAGCTTGTTCTGGGTCATCACTGCCCCGGTATAGTTGGTCATGCCAGTGCTCGAACGCGGGGAGCTTGAGGTTGCACCTGTAGATGCCGTGTCACCAGCAGGGTCACTCGTAATACTATCCGAGCTACTTAAACGGCTGTGCTCCGGCTGGCTGGACAGAGACGGAGCACGACCACCGGCACTCATGCTCGACATGATGCTTGCCCCAGAGAATGCGCTTTGGCGAGATCCAGGACCCATGAGGGTAGGACTGATCGGACCACCCGAGTTGCGTCCCCGGTACATCTGACCAACGACAGTTGCAGCTCCGACGTCCGTCTGTTCCGACCGCGTGCGACGATGACCCCGAATCGATTGAGCACGAAGGGGAATGCTGGGAGCCGTCTCTGGGTTTTCATGAGCGGTAGGCATACTGGTCGGTGGGGGCATATAACTGGTGGGGCGTGACCGGGGCTGGGTGAGAGGCCGATTGTTCGGAGCGTGAACGGCCGACTTGGCTCTCTGGAGGAAAGACTGAGCATCATCCTTCTCAGGAGGAGTCGGCGGAAGCTCTTTGTTGCTGTGCGCAGGCATCGGCTTGGACGGGGGATCATTCTCGTTCTTGTCAAGGATGGTTTCGAAACCATCGTGCTGCAGGAGTCGGCTAATGATGCGCTCAATGTAAAGCGTGAGAGCCTTGTTCTGGTCTTTGAGTGCCTTGATCTCCGTCTCAAGCTTGCGGTTGTTATCAGTCTCTGCTCTAGCATCGACAGATTCAAGCTCATCGGCCAAGGAGCCCAAGCCGCTGCTTGGCTCCTTGACGTCTTCCGCGGTGTCTGGATGGGCTTGTTGCATGAAGTCACCCTTGGTGAAGTCACCGTTCAGGGTCCTCTCACTGAGAAGCAATTGGTAGCTTTCGTTGTCCTCCATCAAGCGGGCGTTGGCCATGCGGGCTTCCAGAAGCTCCTTCTCCAACTCCCGCTGTCTGCCACCACCCTTGTTCTCCATTTCGACGAGTTTGATCTGGGACTCGGCCAGCTCGAGTCGGAGAGATTCAATCAACTTATCCTTCTGCAGCAGAAGCTTCGAGTTATTCCGTGAAGGGCTTCGCTCGATCTGGGAAGAAGGCGCGAATTGTCCATCAACGTCCGGCGACCCTCGGTTGCGGAAACTGGCTGAAGAAATAAGTTAGCAAAAATCACCTTTGTAAAATAGAGGAGGATAAGAAGAAAGGCATCTTCTTACAAGAGCGAGACACACTTTTATCCGCGTCAGCGGCATTGGCCCGCTCCTTTTGGGCCAGCGACTCCTTCAGGCGCTGGATGGTGGCCTGCATCTCCTCTTCTCGACTAGCCTGTTGTTCCTTCTCCTGTAACATTGCATTGCGCTCCAGGTCATGTGCCTGCTCCAAGTCGCGAATCTGGCGAACATGTTCACGGATCTCGCCGTTCAGGGCCTCAATCTTGCTATCTCTCTCATGGCTCTGGTCCTCCAACTTGCCTTGCTCGCTGACCGCCTCGTCAAGCCGCATCTGAAGGACACCCAACTGCTTGCGGTATTGTTCCGAGGCCGTTTCGGCTTTCTGCAACTGCTCCTTGAGGTCATCAATGAGTGCTGCATTCTGAGCCCGGGCCTCTTCATCGGACGGGCTGGGAGTGACTTTCGGAGCACTCGAGGTGCTTAGATTGGAGCGACCAGGTTTCCGAGCCGCAGCACGCGCAGAGACCGGAGTCGAAGCACGAAGGGAGGGGGAGCGAGAGACGCCATTTGTCGATGCACTGGGGGACCGGGTGTGCGTGCGCGATGAAGTGCCGTTGACCGTATGGTTTTCTGCAGTGGAGGATCTGGTGGAATTGCCCGAAGTACTGGGCTTGCGAGGTGTCGCAGACATGTTCACCGACAATGAAGGTCACACCAGAAACGTAGGTTGATTCCAAGAGACGCAAAGCGACCCAGAAAGGGGAACGGGAAGAAAGGCCTCTGGGGTTTAAAACTGGTATGAAACCGCCGGGAAATTAAGTCGATAAATTTAAGGAACGGAGGCCGAGAGCAGTTGTAGCGGTCAAAACACAGTGGGCACTAAGGTGACTATCTCGGTGGGGGGGTGGAATCGTTCAGAATGGCTGGCCCGGCTAGCCTCCGTCGAGAAAGTCGATCTCGAAAGCAACAAGCAAGGACAGGGGGGAGATTAAATACGCAGACAAAGCCTGGCGGATGGATCGCAAGTTAGGGATGGATCCGACAAACATGAGGGAGGGAGAAAAACCTTGGGGGGGGAGAAGAGAGGAGACGATTAATGAGAATAGGTGGGCGCATTTGGTTCGATTGGGTTGATGGGCACGATGTCCGTCTGGCCTGTCGATGGGAACGGCCGTATTTGGCAGGCTGAGACCCCGGGGCTTACCATACGTGACCAGTTGGGGCCTGGTTGGCCTGGGGATTTCTCAGCCGGGGCAACTCCAGACTCCGTCGTCGGGAGGTAATATTACCAAAGTTACACAAAGCATGCCCCCTTTTCTCGAAATATCGAATTATGACCACATAGAGTGACTATGACAATTCCCTCCGTGGGATAGTTACAACTGTTATCCGAGTCCTGAACCACGGTCTTTTTTTCCTCCAGCCCAGGCAGATGCGATGGCCCTCATCCGCGGCGAGAAGGCAACATCAATACCAAACATACACCAACTCCGGGCCCTCACCTAGGCGACAACACAGCCAACACATGGCAACGATAAAGATAGCAATGCGCACCCCTCCTCCCTCCCTTGAGTTCCTTGCGGCGTACAGGGTCCAGCCATCTGTCAGTCTAAGCCGAATCCCCATCGTATTCATCATCGTAATCACCCCTGTCATCCAATCATGTATTTCCGCCCTCAGGGGGGCGAACAGAACCTACATCCTGCGCCACGTCCGCTGTGACGGTTCCCGGCCATGCATCCACACATCAGCAGGGCTGTCTTCGGACCACTTATGTAAGGCTCGCTGCAACGGCTGCACAGTTGCCAGTTACCAGGACTACGAGGTGCAGTCATCCTTGTTCATCGGAGAGATTCAGGGGTGCCAGATAGCATCCGTGTGTTGTATGTCGATTACAAACCAGGGAGGGAGTATCAGATCCTAGTAGATGATACCCGTTGGGATGGGTTTAGTAGCAGGCAGGCTTCGTGACAGCGGATAAACACATAATGATTTAATTAGAGAGGTCTCGGTGCTTGGACGGAGTATTGCTGGCAATCTCTTCTTCGAGAAATATACTCCGTCAAGTGACTGGCCTGTGTCATACTATCTATATATTGAATGGCATGTATTCCGCGGCCCCTGAAGCCTCCTATATCTAAACACATATTGCATGACCAGTTCTTTTCTGAAACAACTGCTTGGCCTACCCCTAATCCCGAGTATTTAACCTCTTCCCTACATTAAGCACCCGGAATGCACTGCAGGTGCCGGACTCCACCTCAGCCAACAACAGATATCAGGAATGACTTTAGTATCATTCCTTAGGGAGTTATTAGAAGGTATTGGAGCATCACGGAGTATATCTACTTGAATGCAACCGGGGAACCTCCCTGGTGGGCGAGGCCAAACCCTGCAGACCGGCCATTAGAACATAGAGGTATCGTTGATACTACTAGTAGTTGCCTGATGAAGAATACTTTGATAGTATCAAGCATTCCAAAGCCGCACCTGGCAGCAGCTGGGTCGCATAGATGACCAATAGCCGAACATAAGTAGAAATGCCAGCCATACTCAGGCTGCGCTCTATCAAAGCCATATCCATTCCGATCCAAACCTAAAGACAAGTACATAGGTTCCTGTCCGACTCCATACTTGCGTATCCAAGATATGCATACGGAGTAATTCGGCATCTTCTCTGCTGCCGCAAGGGTTTGCCACGGGAAGGAGAGGGTTGTTACCAGATTACCCTATGGTGTACTCCGAGTAGTAATCGACCGAAGTCAATCAGATAATTTGGTTATCGGCGGTTTCATGTTCCGAAAGTACCGCCAATGCAGGTCTCTAGGGCACATCAGGGATCGGAATTTCTAACCACCACGCGGGAATCAGTCCCCTTACTGATGTCAAGGGGGAGCCTAGCAACGCGCCCAATCCAGCACCATCGGCCAACAACCAGACACCGATCGATATATGAGAACAAGACATTCCTGCACTATGCTAGTTGAGTGGAAGCGAAGTGAGGGGCCACCTCGAGTCAGGGTGCAAATACGGAGAATGGTACGGAGTACTCCATACGGACCCAATGTTTCCGATACTCCGATCAGAGATACTTGTTCATTACACATGGATATATCACAGTTGATACTCTAAAGTCATCAACAATCAATATCATTATTCCGCATCGATGCTCACCTCTGTTGATGCTATCAAGAAGTGGCATTTGCCAGAGGCCTCTTCTCACTTTAGGCATGATGTATACTTTGCTTGGCAACCCGCTCCAAAAAGGCGAAAGTATACTCCGTAGACGCTTGGAGCTATGACATGACATAACAAGATCTAGGTATCAGAATCAACCATGAGTTCCTTGGAACCCAAATGTACTACCGCACTGTCTGCGCTATTATCCATCTAGGTGTGCAGAGAAAGCGAGAGCCACGAAACATTTAGCAACCACTTTGATGGGCCGAGTCACGTGAGGCCCGTTTCTTGGAACTAGCGATGAGTCAGCCCGGGCGGAACGGAGGAATTGCCGTCCGACATTCGTCAAACCCACAAAAAAGAGCGGGTGATAGGTTTTCTCTACTCATCCCAATCTGAAAAGACGAGGCCGGAGCGCACTTCTCTCGACAACCACATTAAACCTTTAGGTATGTGGTATTCCCCCGCAAGCTACGGCTGATTGCCCGATTTTCTTGATCATTGTCAAATTTTTGTCATGGTCGAGATAAGCGGTTGCATTTATTAGCTGGGTTTGGTATTGGAGTGAACCAATGCTGATTGAAATTGATCATGCAGAAGTTTAGTTCAACTTCAGCGTAACGATGGCCCCCAAGAGCAAGAAGACCGGTGACACCATCAACTCGCGCCTGGCGCTTGTGATGAAGTCCGGAAAGGGTATGTTCATATCAGAAATTGTAACATTCTCGACAGTCTCTAATTGTTCTTATCCAGTCACCCTCGGCTACAAGTCCACCATCAAGACCCTCCGCGTGAGTACACCAGCAGCTTTGGGTCGACCCAGACTACAATTTAGGTGAACGGCGGACTAATATTTTAAACCAACAGTCTGGCAAGGCCAAGCTGGTCATCATCGCCGCCAACACTCCCCCTCTCCGCAAGAGTGAGCTCGAGTACTACGCCATGCTTGCCAAGGCTCCCGTCCACCACTTCTCCGGAAACAACGTGAGTGCTACCCGACTATATCAGTGGAATATATGTGGAGCGGGGACTCTAGGCTTGGGTCTTGAAGAAGCTCTCCCGACATGGATATCACTATCCCTAGTGCGAACAACAGGCTAACTGGTTGGCATATAGATTGAGCTCGGTACCGCCTGCGGTAAGCTCTTCCGCACCTCCACCATGGCTATCCTCGATGCCGGTGACTCCGACATCCTCTCTAGCCAGTAGGTGTAAAGCTTTGTCAATGATTTCATGTTATGTCTGAACGGCGGAATGCCATGATGTACACCGTCACGGCACGATTTAGATAATGACAGAATGAACTTTACATCTATATTGGGCTTTTTGTTTTGACGCTGTAGATAAGACCGTAGGGAGTGACTGGACGATAGCGCGGTCGCATCGCTACGATCTGGAGATCCGGTAGATGAGCTCCACCTCGTGAGTCACATAATCCATAGTCCAGTTTGTAAGCACTAGATAAATACCAGAATCTCATCACTTGAATCCTGTTGACTCACATGTCTTGCGTTTGATATCTAAGGATGCGCAAGAATGAGTTGCCGCCCATCTGACAAATGCGTCATAGCGGCTGCGGGCGGTGATTGGTGGAGAGGGTAGGGTTTAGGGCTGTGCCACTCGGTAGCGGACGCTTGCTTGGAAATCAACGTCGAAAGTGCCTGCGCCTATAATCCCTTCCCTTTCGCCCCCCGACACCACCCTTTTCGACAACCTCACCGTTCGCAGGAAGTGCAGCCGCCCCATTTCCAGCAGTCACAATGGCCCGTCGTCCCGCGAGATGTTACCGCTACTGCAAGAACAAGGTGCGTTCGATCGCTTGATGGATTTTTGTGTGTTTGTGGATTCTCGGTCGGGATTTCGCTTGTGGGGGAGCAGAGTGTCAACCACTTGGATAAGGCGCCGCGCTACGCAGATGTGTTCTGGATGGATATCGTGCTTTTCCCGATAGGGAAGAGAGGAGAAGAAGCGTTCGAAGAAGATGATGAAGACTAACACGATGCCTGGATGATAGCCCTACCCTAAGTCCCGGTTCAACCGTGGTGTTCCCGACCCCAAGATTCGTATCTTCGATCTGGGTCGTAAGAAGGCCAACGTCGATGACTTCCCTCTCTGCGTGCACCTGGTCTCCAACGAGTACGAGCAGCTGTCCTCCGAGGCTCTCGAAGCCGCCCGTATCTGTGCCAACAAGTATGTCGACCCGCCACAACCCAACCCGCCCGACCATCCACTAACCTAGACCTTCAGGTACCTCGTCAAGATCGCCGGTAAGGAAGGTTTCCACCTTCGTGTCCGTGTGCACCCCTTCCACGTCATCCGTATCAACAAGATGTTGTCTTGCGCCGGAGCCGATCGTCTCCAGACCGGTATGCGTGGTGCCTTCGGTAAGCCCCAGGGTACCGTTGCCCGTGTGAACATCGGCCAGATCATCCTGTCCGTCCGCACCCGTGACGCCAACCGCGCTGCCGCCATCGAGGCTCTCCGCCGTTCCATGTACAAGTTCCCCGGTCGCCAAAAGATCATCGTCTCCAAGAACTGGGGTTTCACTCCCGTCCGCCGCGAGGACTACGTCCAGCTCCGCCAGGAGGGCAAGCTCAAGCAGGATGGTGCTTACGTCCAGTTCCTGCGTGGCCACGGTCTCGTTGAGGAGAACATGAAGCGTTTCCCCGACGCCTACGAGAACCTTTCTCAGGCTTAGATGGAAGTTAAATCGCTTTAGGACGAAAAAAATGAGACGTATTGAACTATTCCCAATTTTCACGTCCTGTTTTGTTATCCTTGATGTCATTTAGTGTCTCAACGTATGGGGCGGAGTTATTGAACGCGGATTTCCTCGGCTTGTTTATTGTAATGCCGTTGTAGACTGTAGGGTGCTTCACATTGTACCTGCTGTGCACGTGTTCTACTCGATCGATGGTTTCAGCCTCAAATCTGGTTATCTGCACTAGATACTGGTCTGGCCTACGGAGTATCGTTATGGGTTCCAGCCTCAGCTGGATAGGCCTATCGACTCCTGGTCTGGTGTCGATTCCAATACACTCGACTACTAGATCTTGCTATTGTGGTACGACCTATGCAGTGAACCAACCCGACCCTTCTGTACAAAGTACTCCCTTAGGGACTGTATCCTTGGCAAGGTTATCTTATTAGTACAATAACATATTCAGGTATTGTCCTGCAAGATCTATAGCGTCGAGTCTCACAGGCGAGAGAGTACACACTCAGGCCTCTCATTCACGCAGCTATACTTGACTGTATTCTCTACTCTCACGATTCGCGGTTGTGTGATAGCCGCAAGCCCAATACGAAGCAAGTATACAAACTCATTGACGTGATCTATGGCAGACGTATACGGTGTGACCCAAAGGAGGGGCTGCAGATCGGAAGACAGCCACGCCAGCTGAGAGGAAAGAGGGGAGGGAGTGGAAGACTGGACCGAGCCCCTGACGGTCAGCCTCGCTTTGGGCCATGCAGGGAAGGCGGGATATGACATGTCATTGAGATCAGAGCCGGTGGAGTGCGATGGGGTGATCAACACTGGCTGATCCCAGGATGGCTTGACCTTGGTGCAGAGCAAACTCGAATCAAGGGGGAGACCGGGGCGAGCAAGGCAGCGTAAGTACCTCAGCTCTCCGAAGCGGTGGTGAGTTGGCAGCGGCCCGGAACTCCTACGGAGTACCAGTGGTGGTGATATCGACAGATGGATTCGACAGGCAGGCGTCGATCAGCCGATCGTCGCGATGCAGTTGATCGGATTTCGATAGTGAACGCACCCCTCATCCTCAGGTGTCTTTGTTTGAGGCTGCCTGGGCCTTCATGTCACGACGCTATTGACAAGACTATTATGCTAAGCGCTTAGCAGACAAAGAACAAGAGATATATTTATCCACGTTGTTTCCAACAGTGGATATCTTTTCTCGAAGAAAATTTTAGTTTTTTTTCCTCTCATCGCGGGAACCAGTTGTTTCAAAAACAAACCATCCGCCAACCCGGTCTGGTGACTAGCATCATCCGGGTTCACTTCGTCCGGTTGACTTTTCCTTCCTGTCTGCGATCTATCGACCATCTAGGTACTGTTACTGCTCGTACGACTCGTCTGATTCCTCCGATTGAAGAGGGGTACCATTTCCTGACCACCCTCTCGACCATGGAACATTTTTCCCTGGTTTAAACTCACGTCTTATCTTGTCCCTCCCACGTCATCTCCGAATCATCAGCGAGCGCAGGCCTCGTGTCCGAACCACCGCTATCGGACCTGTCTGGTTTTGTTTTATTTTCTGTGTCGAAGTCGAGATCTTCACCCTAAGGCTGTTTCATTGCTATATATCGTGTTTGTCTCGTTCGTCGTCTACTTGTTCCTCCCCTCCATCCACGACGCGGTCACGCGGGGGAGATCCACCGCGATCGATAACTGGCCTTCTTATCTCGCTATCTTGCCCTCCCCAACGGCTACCTCAAACCCGACGACCACCGCGTTTCTTCGACTCCCCCAGTCAACCCATGGCTTTTCGTCTACCTCCCCAAGTTCCCCGCCGTCGCCCCTCTTATTCGAACTCCCTACCCCCACCAGCCCCGGACCTCTCCTCCCCGCTATCGCAACTACCGGAGAACGAAGCAACAGAATGGGTGCTCTTTTCGCCCACCCAGCAGCCCAACGTCGCCCGCACCCATACAACCTCGACTGATCGTACCCCACGGACACAAGGAGTCTCCCGTCTCAGCGATTTTGGCTCTTTCGGAACCGCGACCCGATCCGCTGTCGGCCTAGAAAGCGAGTCTGTCGATGATGCTCTCGAGGATCCTTTAGACGACGATGGGACTGAACTAGACAGCCTGGATGATGGACTCCACGCTTTTCGGGCTCCGTCTTTGGTCCAAGAGGATCAAGGGGCTCCGGCTGTTCTCCCAGCCCATGACGGGCTGGGCAGCTTCCAAGCATCTAGCCAGACCGTGCAAAACCAGCTGTGGCAGCATGAGCAGTACAACCCCCATCGGAGGCCCGGACTACAGCCCCGGCGTCGCTCAAGTGTTCAGCGCCAGTTGGATTTGATCACGAACGAGGAAGAGGCTGATGTGGAGAGAGAACGGTGGCAGCGCATTGAGAAATGGAGAATGGAACAAAGCCGGGTGCTCTTGCAGGAGATCGAGAAAGCGACGCGCAGGAGACGTGATAGTCGCGTCAGTGGCATGTCAGATCCAGTGGCGTCATACCCCGTAGTGTCGGATGTTCCAGATGGTGTCCTCGAGACACCCAAAGAGCCGGAGCCTTACCCACCGGCAGAGCAAGATGCAGAGGGAGACGAGTCTCTGTGGCAGCGCATTACGCGCAAGGTTATTCGAGATCTCATCGGAATCGACGACTCCTTACTGTCTGTTCTTTTTGGTGAGTCGCTACCATGCACCGACGATGAAGAACAACCACCATCGACGCGAGATTATACATCCAACATAGAGGCACTTCATCAAGAGCTGGGCTCCGTGCCGGAAGATCATCCTATCTGGCAGACTCGAGTGCTCCAACGCATCGCCCACGAGCTGGGAATCCTTGTTAGCCAGCTCTGCGAACACCCCGGTGCTTTCACGACGTATCTGAACATGTCCAATGAGATCCCCAACCAGTATGCTGGCATACCTCTCGATCGCGTCCCCGAAGGTGCTGCACCCTCCGCTTCGGTGGACCCTACGACTATGGAGTCGAGCATGAGTACCGAGTCAGTTCTCTCTCCCCATTTCTCTCCGACACTTGGCGATCCCAGCAGTCGAGAGCACGCAGCCCAATGGGGCATCGAGGATGACGACTATATGAGTCGTCCAGCCAACAATACAGCGGCCGAGCCGCTGGCTGAATCCGCTCGCACTCAGCAGGAGAAGGAGTACTGGGAGCGAGATCTGGATGTTAGCATGGCCTTCCGTTACTTGCGGAACCGCTTTAGCCACCGAGGCAGCAACAACGACCCTTATCACGGCTCCCCGCGCCGAGCCCCGCAAGATGCGTCTCGTCGCGCGGCAATCATCCGGCAGCACCACCCACTCGTTGCTCGAGCGCATTCGCACTCCCAAGCTCAGATTCGCCGTCAATCGCAGTACTCATCCCACCATTCGGGGCCGACCGGGGTTTCGTCGCCCATCCTGCGCCAGCAGTTCCGCCGCCCCAGCTCCAGCTGTGCCAGTCAAAGCGCGAAGATGTCTGCCATTTCCAGCCGTCGGACACTCACCGGCTCCAGTCGCAACTACTGGGACATCGGGGGAAGTGTTGACAGTGGAAGTGCTGTCGCGCCGGTTGCAGCTGGCCTGGGGGGCTGGGGCGAGGTCTGAGCAGTCTGTTCAATGAAGATCGTTGATGACCCTCTCCGCCCCGATACATATTGCATGTTGGTGATTTCCATTGTGAATAGTTCATTTGCCTTTTGGCCGGGAGTTTGGTGTTTCTGGCATTTCGCATCATATATTGAAGAATACTGAGCTATTGGTTTGGTTCCTTTGGGGCTATAAGTGGCTGAATTATGCATTTGCCACGTGTTTCTATTACGTTTCAAACATACATATTGAGAATGGTCTCTCGCCATGCTGTTAGAATTTTCTGGAGGCAACTTTGGGGCGCAGGGGATCCAATGCATTGGTTCGGGGAAAGGTGCATGCGTCGGCGTCTGTAGAGGGGCAAACCTGCATTTCACCGGGGATTTGAACTGCATATTTTTCTTTGCATTTTTTGGAGATGTACATACTACTTACATACTACATAGTAGTCACCTCAACCGACGACTAGGACGAAACTGTGCCGCCTCACCACGAGGCGACAATCCGTGCTGGGTTTAATCGATCCTTTGGGCACATCTGCCGGGCGTGCATTGCCACGGGCCACTACTGTATATTCACGCCCCCACTTGCTGCCTGCCGCCATCTGAACCTTTGAAGCTATACGGTTCCCACTTTGTCATATCAATTATGAATCACCACGACCTCGGCGGGTTCCGTAACCGCACCCCCATCTTCCCCCTGCCAGATGACATCTCATCTCTGTCGGCATCGCCTAACGAGTCAGAGCCGAGGGTACAGTTAGCTTGCAGTTAGCAGATGCGCTAATCGAAGGCTGAACGATCCACCCATCGCTCATCGGATGTATCTCTTTGACCTATACGCGGAAGAGCAGGGGTACCAGGTCCAGCAGATACGTCCATATAAGCCGGTGCCTGCCCGTCCTCTGGGAACAGCACAGAGCAAATTATTCCCATCCTCTCCCACACCATGGCCACCGAAAGTCCAATTCTCTCGACCCTCTCTTTGACGGTCAACAGTCACCCTCTCAGGCTCTCCACCCTTTACCGTCCCGGCCCGAAACCCGCCATCCTCTTCCTCCACGGCTTTGGCTCGTGCAAAGAAGACCTCCACGACCTCATCTACCTTCCTTCCTTGCGCGACCATACTGTCATCGCCTATGATGCCCCCGGCTGCGGCGCCTCGGAGCACTATGGTCCCAGCAGCGACCTGACCATCCCCTTCCTTGTGGCCACGGCCCAAGCAGTGCTCGCGCACTACCACATCACCAGCTTCTACCTTATCGGGCACTCCACCGGGGCCCTGACAGCGCTCATGCTGGCCACCATGCTCCCCCGCACGCAGCAACTCCTCGCCTTTATCAACATCGAAGGCACTCTCTCTCACGACAACTGCTTCTTCTCGCGAACCCTGTATAACGACCTCCTCAAATCCACCTCCCCCGAAGACGACCTCGAGAAACTCATTGCCTACGTCAACTCGACGCCGGGCTACTCACACTCCCTCTACGCCTCATTACTCCGCTCGCGCGTTCGTCCCGACGCCGTCAAACCCATTGTCACCTCCACCGTCCAGCTGTCCTGGAAGAACCTCCTAGGGCGCTTTGTGCGATTATCCTGCCCGCTGATGTACATGTACGGGGACCAGAACTGCGAGGCGACGTTTCTGGACCAGCTGGAGAAGAACGGGGTGGAATTAGCACGCATCCCCATGAGCGGGCACTTTCCGATGTATTCCAATTCGGCGAAGATGTTTAAGCGCATTGAGGGGTTTTTTCGAGACTGCAGTTTCGCGACTAGCAGTAACAGTAGTGCGAGTGGCGGGAGTTTCTAGCCATGGATGCTGCTAGCTAGTTAGTAATTGTTACGACACTTAATGAATAGTTCAATAGATAGACCAATGTGATTTCTTTCTTGTTCCTCTGATTGGCGTGTGTGGTCCTCCAGGGTCCGGAGAACAGTCACTCTCCGGAGTCCCGCGGACCCCCTCTAGGCTCCTCGGTAAAGTTAAAGTGCTCGGCGCGAGGTTAAGCACTTGTCGCAGCGAGTGGAGCATCTATTACTGCGGACCAACCTCCCATTCTACCTATCTCTATCATTTTGATTCTACTATCTCGTACATACTATGTAGTATCGTCAACCTCACCCTACTCAACATCACCATCTCAATCCATCCTCAACCCAGCAAACCAAGAACATACCCCCAGTCAACTGAGATCAATCTAGACCCCCATGACTGACGCGTATCTTCCCCATGGCCAGCACAAACGCACCCACCAGTGGGGCCGCAACGGCACTAACGATCTCTGCTCGTCCTCTACGAAAGTAGTAACCAGGCACGTGCTCCGCGGAATGGATGGCAGTGGCACGGCCTTGGGGACTTGCCGGAGTGGGTTAGCTGTCCATTTAGACTGTTGATTGCCTCCATCGGATGGACGATACTAGTATCCTACACTATACTAGGTCGTTTACGTCCCTCGGTACCTCTGTATTGCAAATAACAAGCGTCTGTTAGAACACTTATTCCGTACTGTGTACTCCGTACGGAGTACCAGAATACATCGGTATGTACCCACCGGTTGACGTTTCGGCGAACGGACAGGATCCCGTTATGGGGCTGCTTATTGTCTTACTCGTTTGGACTTTAGGCTATCTTGTTAGTTAGTACTATGTAGTATTCCCCTGGTCGGTTCTGGGTATGGTTGTGGGTGCCGTGACTCGTGTGGCAGTGTGTCAGTGTGCTGTGTGGTTGTGTTGGGGGCGCTTGGACCAGGCGGGTTTAGTTGAGCATTATCCCACATAGTTAATATAAATATCAATGTCAAGTAAGAATACGAATATCCTACCATCCTTGTGCCTTCATCTTGTGATCGAGAGGCCACAGAGGGTAATTCTCCCCCCCCCCCCCCGATTTCTAGATTGAGGAATGTGAGACATGAGATCGTTCTAGACATGCCTCACTATATTTCTCTTTCCTGAGTTACCTAACAAAGGATTCAATTCACATTAGCTTGTCTCATGGCCAGACCTGTAGTAGCCCAATATCCAGCCCAAGTCGATGAGATTTGTCAGTATTTTCCCTAGCGGGAGATATTCCGGCCGGGTTGGGCCGACTTTCGTCCTGTTCTAGCCTCGATGTCCGAGGAGATGTACTTATCACTATGGAGTATATGATGTGCCGTATAGTATTGGTAGTATAAAAGGGTATTATATAGATTAGGTTAATCTGCACCTCACCCTAACTAATCCCTAACGGGTGCGTGCTGCATCTCCTAAGGAAATGTACTATCTCAGTGAGGAAGGTCCTCACACACCTCCCCCATCCATCCATCTTCTGTAATATAGAACTGAAGAGGATTTAGGCAGCATTTATTATGATAGCTTAGTTTGGAATCCCACTACCCAGTAACTACATATTCCAATCCCACTAATCCAGAAAAGCTAAGGCGGAAGTCTCGATTCTAACTACTAACTGACAGTTTGTCGAGTTTTACTACTAGCTGACCTATCGGAGATGTTCCACCATTCCGAGACTACTCGTATGAGCACTAGACTAAGCATATTTCCGCTTACTCACTACTCACTCCTCACTCCTCACTACTTCCTTTGCATTTATTCAGGAGAGACATTTGGTTTTAGCATAGGGATATCTGCATGCCAAGAGAGGCCGGTATGTACCTAACCTAACCTGTCCCATCTACAGCAAATAGGTAGGTAGTAGCTACGTAGGTGAGGATCATGTTAGCTAGGATTGATTTCCACTTTACTTTACGGAGTACTAAACCCTGCGCTATCCCAAGAACGGGTAAAAAAAAGTAAGTTGATGCACGAGTCATGGCACTCGAATCATGTAGATCAGCGGGAAACCGTCACCGTTTGAATATTTACCCGGGGTTGATAGCACGGTAGGCCGTATCTATCTGCCATCATAGTACTCCGTATAATGGAGTGACACGGGTAAATAGGTGGAAGTGTGTGGAGCGGAGGGGTGGGTTTGCGGGACGCTTTGAATAAGGCTTATCTGTGTCGTGATTAGAGTCTAAAATTGTATGTTTGTTGGGATGGTTAGGTGGGATTATCTAGGTGTTGGTACTTGACCGGGGATTGGGTGAGATTGGTATGCTAATGTGTAGTAATTTGGATATTGTTACTTCATTTGGAGGGGACTCCGTGGGTGGGAAGGGTTGATAGTGGTATTTGGTAGAGGATTAGGTGGGTGTTTCTGCGCGGGTTTCACCGCGTCTACTGATTTAGGTGTAGGACCTGTCTTATCTGTCATGCACGCACGCTCTAGTATGGGTATTGGTATGGGTATAGTCTATCTGTATATCTACAACAGCGGCACGAAACGGTTCATCGATAAGTCTACCCGGCTAGTGCCTCGCCCACCCAATCCATCTGTACCGCACTCACTCCCCGGGCGTAACTGCGGTTCGTGAAGACGAATTCGTTGTACATGATGGCTTCGACCTTCTTGCCGAAGAGCACGCTCGACGGGTGGATTGCTACCGTCTGGTTGCCCACGACGGTGCGATAGCTGCCGTCCGGGACTAGGCGCGCTGTGTTGGTGGAAAATCCGCGGAGGAAACTCTTCAAGATGTGGACGGGTGATGGGTCTCGAACGGGATTTGCAGACGAGCCTCGGGTGTCGTTGGGGAGGAGCTTGGCTTGGCGGCATTGGGTCGTGAGTTGTCTGCGGACATCCTGTAGTGATTGTGGTTGGCAAAGTTCGCGATAATGAGTAGATGCGCTTACCATAACGGACTGCATGGCCCGGTGAGACACCAGGTGTCTCTCTGCCCATGCTTTCCGGTCTGTATTCTCGGCTGCGTAGGCTTGCACAGTAGAAAGCATGGTGAGGTGATCGCCCTCTCTCCGGTAGAGATCCCGTCGCGCGACTTCAGCTTCCTCCTTCTTCTCCTCCGACGTAGTGTTTAAAAAGATGTTCTCCACACTGAGACAGGAGATGATATCAATCACGTCCAACAGACAATCCGGTCCATATTCCGAAGCTGCCAGGAGCACGCGACCGAGCGTCGGCGTGAGAGGCAGCTTGGCGATGTGCATTCCGATCGCGCTGATCTTTCCCGTCTCTTCCAGAGCTTCGATGCTCAAGAGCTGGAGCAACGCCTTCTCCAATGCCTCCCGCGGAGGCCGTGTCAGGAAGGGAAAGCCCATAATGTCGTCAACACCGCGGGCCTTCATGTTGAGCAGAGCGGAACTGATATCACATCTCAGGATCTCCGGGGTATTGACCTCGTCCAAAGCCAAGTAGTCCTTCTCAGTATATAGTCGATAACACTGGCCAGGTGCTTCACGACCAGCACGACCCTTACGCTGAATCGCAGCCGATTTGGAGATGGGTTTGACCAGCAACGAATCCAGCCCGAGGCGCGAACGGAACTGCTTGATCTTGGCCTTTCCGCAGTCCACCACAAACCGCACACCCGAGACCGTCACGGAGGTTTCTGCAATGTTCGTGGCCAAGATGATTTTGCGCGTCCGCGGCGGAGCCGGGACGAACACTCGCTGCTGAGCTGCCTGAGGGAGCGCTGCAAAGAGTGGGAGCACTTGGATCTTGGGCAGCGCAGGGTCCATTCCAGTAGCATACTCGTTGACCAGATTCTCCAAGGCTTCGACGGTCTCTTGTCCGGTCAGGAAGACCAGGATATCTCCCGGGCATGGCTCCTTGTAATGGATCTGGAAAATCACCTTGAGAGCCGCATCAACAAAGTCATGCACCGGTTCTGGAGCGTAGATCGTTTTGACTGGAAACTGACGTCCCTTGATATGGCACACCGCGATATCATCCTCGCTCTTCTGGCCTGCAGAATCCCCATTTGTATCCTTGGACTCCTCCTTCACACCCGCCTTGATAGCGCGTTGACCTTGAAATCCCTCCTTGAAGAACCCCATCAGGCTCTCCATATCTGCCGTAGCACTCATGACCACAACCTTCAAGGGCACTCCACCACGTCCTTCCCGCTTCCCTGAGACCAAGTTCCTCAGGAACCCCAGCACCTGATCAACATTGACACCACGCTCGTGCACTTCATCCACCACAATCGCACTGTATTTGGTCAACCACGGATCATGCAGCATCTCCTGCAAGAGCATTCCCTCAGTCAAGAACTTGACCTGCGTACTCGGCGACGTCGACGTATCAAACCGAACCGAGTAACCAACTTTGCTCGCTGGCGAGGAATTCCCCAACGGAGTCCCCATTTCCTCCGCCACACGTCGAGCCAGAGAGATCGCCGCCACCCTTCTAGGCTGAGTGATAGCGATACACCCTCCCACCGGAATCTCCTTCTCCACCCCATCACTCCCTTGCACGACCGTCTTCACCGACCGACACCATTTCTCAGTCACCAAGAACTGTGGAATCTGCGTACTCTTTCCGCTACCCGTCTCACCCACCAACAGCATCACATCATTCTTGCGCAAATTCCCACGTATCTCATCGGCATGTGGGAAAATCGGAAGGTTCTTGCGAAGCTGGTACAACGCCTGTGCCTTTTCTCGTAAGGGGGTGAAATTCGTCTTGGCGCTCGGTTTGTCTTTTCGTTTCCCGTCCTTCGCTAGCTTGTGTTGTTGTTGCTGCTGCTGCTTCGGCTTCTTGATCGTGGGCTTGTCGTCCGAGACCTCCCCATTCTGTTCCGGAGGCACCTCCTTCTCCTCTGTCGTTGGCTTCTCAGCCTTCGTTATGCCGTTGTCGTGTTTGCGCTTCTTGTTCTTCCGCTTCTGGTCGTCCTCCTTGCCTTGGGTCTTTCGCTTTGCGGGGGCGGGATCCTCGACCTTTTCGGGTTGCGGTGCTTCGGTGACAGGGACGACGTCACCGGCGTCGTCGAAGACGGTGCGGACCCTCTCCGGCATTTTGAGTGTGTGGAGTGAATTAGGAATAGGAGATTGTGGTCGTCACGTCATGTCGCAAGTTGTGGTGCGGAGTTGGAGATCCCCGAAATTTTTTGAGATGCTTATCGATAAGACGCTTGGCGGCTGTTGGCTAGACCGTTGCCGATTGCAGTCTTCATGTGGGTTCTTTTGCATTGAGTGATTGTTCGTTGCGAGAGATTCGTACTGTAAATTAAGTGTCTTTGGATACCTTATGAAACTGTCTGTCCAAAAGTCTTACTCAATTTTAATCTATGCCTTCATTGCATGGCTCATGCCATTCTACATTTACTATAGCCCGTTTACCGATCTATGTTCAATGCATACCCCAACCACGGACTCGTCGGAAAACAAAGGCCCGATCGTTCTTGAGTCCGAATTCCGCCCAGTCGTCCGTGAGCTTGTTGTAACTCCAGTAGCCCTTCCAAGCCAATTTGGTGTTTTTGGATGGGTTGGGTGGCGTCATGTTAGAGTTAGTAGGTTTGTGTGTTGAGACGGACCGAAGGGAGAGGTGTAGGAGGTACATATACTTCGGTCCCACCCCCTCGGTTTCAATGACCAGATCACGAGGGTCAGGTTCTCCCGTCGATTGAGCCTTGACTGGCAACGAGTCGTACTCGGAGATGATATCACCCTGTGTAGCCTCTTCAGACGAATCGGAGGCGGGGGCCGGTTTGGCCAAGCGCCAGCGACCTCGGTGAGCCTGCTTCAGCGCCCCCATTGCGACAGGGGGAACGGTATCGGTAGCTGCTGAGGCGGCGTCTGGCCCTTGACGATGATGCTGTTTCTGAGAGATTGCCCGCGCAGCCTTGAGGTTTTCTTGGCTGATATAGGGGACCACCTCTAGTGGCTCCACTGTGCTAAGTAAGTAAATGACTGTCCCATCCGGATAGAAGCGTAGATAGCGATAATAGGTCACGATATGAATGGGACTGTTCCATGAGGTGTTCTGGTACACCGAGGCGGCACCTGGACGGGTGTAATTGACGGTGCTAATGTAGATACCCGTGAACCGAATTCGAGGGAACATCTGGAACACTTCACCCCACGAAGACAATGGCTCGGGAATCTGTACGGGAATCGACCGAGGAAACGGTGTGTAGCGAGGCCCCAAAGTGTATTCCGGTATGCCGTGGATATCACAGGCGAACGAATAATGCATGGCCTTGAACCCGAACTCGGAGCCCTGACAAAGGCGCTTCCAGATGTGCTGCTCGTTTGCAAAGTGATACGCCAGACGTTTGCAAACCAGTGCCGTTCGGCAGAATGCTGCCGGGTCGATCACAGCCACATGCCGTAAGATTTCGACCAGAACCTCGGACGGGACCTTCGCAATGGGACATGGGGGAGGCGGGGTATTCTCGATGACTGGTTCGGCCTGCGGGATAGGAAGATGGGCAAACGAAGCGATGAGCTCAGGCGTTGGCAGGATCGTAGGTTCATCTGTGGGTTGCTGCGTTGTCGTGGCGCTGCCGGCTGATGCGCTGGAAGCTGGGGTCTGCGCAGTCTTCTTCCATAACGAGGCGAAATGCTTGTTTCGGTATGTTTTATCGACCGCTGCATCTAGCTGCACATACACAAGTCAGTAATGACTTTCACAGCAGAATTTAGGTGCCTTACCCGGTAAGCTTTACGGTAGTGGTGTAGACTGTCTCCCAGACTTCCCTCGGCTTCCCTCTCGACCGCTCTTTCAAAGTGCTCCAAGGCCGACTTGGGCTCGCTTCGAGGTACTCGCGAGTGAAATGCATCCTCATCAGACACTCCTAGGCTCAGATGACCAACTCCATGAACGATCTCGCCGTGGTCAACCGATGTTGCGCCTCCGTCTTCCTCTTCATCTTTGCGCTCCGATGCCTCGTGGCGGGTAGGAGGGAAATGGCTCGACGGGGCCGCGGAGGATCTGGACAGCTTGGGGTGAGCTGGTTCTGGTTTCGATGGCTTTGTCCGGCGCGAAACTTCCTCGCGCCACTGGCGTCGAAAAGTCTCGAGCTCCGCGTTGTCTTCCATGGCCGCTAGGGTGTTGCAGTGGCCGCGGCGGCGATCGGGGGTTCCGATTGATAAGCAATTATCTCGGGCGGGACCTGCACCTCAGCGACCGGTCTGACAGGCGGCGAATGGCCTGGCAATAGACAGAGCCGTCAAAAAAGAAAGGGAGATCAGAAACAGAAGTACAATCTTAGTACTCCATCATAAAATTCTCCACGATTGATAAGCGATTAAACGATCACTGGGCAGACAGGGGTCAGGAAGGTGGTCGAGAGGTGAGGAATGCTTATCTCCGGGGCTTCCATCGAAGGTGCTCGGCTCCACGCGCCACCGCCAACCACCGAGTCCCGATCGTTCTTTTTCTCTGACGCATTTGCTTCCCCCCTCTGACGTCTGCTGTAGATCCCACGACTACGCAATCATCAACGGCAGGGATATCCGACACCAGCGGCACATAAGCGCTCCCCAGCATCCTCATCATCCACTCTCGTCTATCCTTCGCCGCCGAATGAATGTCCGGGATCCGCACTGATCTTGCGCCTGGGGACCGATATCGCTCCGACGGTTTGAGCAGCGCTGGACTAAAAGGGAACCTAGCAGAGTCATGGCCCTTGACTAAAGACACAACAACCATGGCAGCTACTTCTGGAACGGGCTCGATCCCAGTCCCGGGCGCCACGCAGAAAACGGAGGATGTCTCGATCGCTCAAAGGATGGTTTCAGCCACTATCGGTAGTTTCTTAACGAATATTCTAGGTAGGTGAAGCTGCGAGTATATTCCAAGCAGAAGATACTTACAGCATTGCATAGTCACTCCTCTCGATGTTGTTCGGGTTCGCCTGCAGTCCCAGTCGCTGGTCAAGAATTCCTCACCGTTTACCTCGCACACAACCCATACTTTGAAGAATACCTTGAAGAACGCTCCCCCAAACCTTGGAGTAACCGCTTGTTGTCGAGAAGTTTTCTGGATTGGTCAGAATTCCCCGGTATGCATGCTTGGACCGGATACGGGGGCCTTGGGGGCTACATCGGTGGCAGACTGTGCAGTGGAAGAAACCCAGCGCAGGACGTTCACGTCAACCTTAGATGGCTTGCGGAAGATTGCTCGAAACGAGGGCGTGCTCACACTTTGGCGCGGGCTTAGTCCTACTTTAATAATGAGCATTCCGGCGAACATCATCTATTTCTCTGGGTACGACTGGCTGCGCACCGATGACAGGAGTCTAGTGAAGAGGTTCTTCCCTGACGCCTACGCCCCGTTAGTCGCAGGTTCAGTTGCTAGAACAGCAGCGGCGTCGGTTATCAGTCCGATTGAAATGTTCCGCACGCGCCTACAAGCCACTCCTGGCACCGGTGCGGGGCATTTTAAGGCTACTTTTGAAGGCCTACACCAGATGGCTCAGACAGAAGGTTACAGTTCGCTGTGGAGAGGACTGACGCTTACTATGTGGCGCGATGTGCCTTTCTCCGCGCTTTATTGGTGGTGCTACGAAGAAATCAAGAAATATCTGATTGACAGTCGGAAGAAGTCCTACTCGCATTCTCTGCCGCCTGGGCTTTCATCTGCCAGCCAGCGACAACTACACGACCTTGACACACCGACCTTTTTGGACAGCTTCATTGCAGGCGCTAGCTCCGGATCTCTGGCAGCGTTTGTCACCACCCCGTTCGACGTGGGAAAAACTCGCCAACAGATTTTCCGACACATGGGTGATGGATCGGGTTCTTCTGCAGGCACTGCTGCGCAGGGAGCTCTTCACCCTGAACAGCTGCCCTTACCGAAATTCTTGATGCACATTTTCCGCGAGGAAGGCACGGCAGGACTTTTCCGCGGATGCGTTGCACGCTGCCTCAAGGTAGCACCAGCTTGCGCCATCATGATTTCAACCTACGAGTTCGGAAAGAAGATGGCACGAGACGTCAACGAGAGAAGTCGCTCTACAGATGAGTGAGCAGAGACGCTCTTTAGTCCGAACATAGTTCATATCTCCTTGGATATGGCTCGACACATACCGGCGTTCTTGTTTAGAGGCAGACCCGAAATACCCGAAGCTTGATCTAAGCAGCATGCATTCTCCACTTTCTTCTATTAATTATCATTGTTTGATTGCGATAAAGTCGGCGTGCAGTGCGTTTCGCCCGGCGTTTTATTGATGTATGATGATACCGCATTGTTATAGAGTTTCTCTTCTGCTCTTCTTCTTTGCTCCGTCTTACAGAGCATCTTCTTGTTTCTGCCTTTTCCTTCTATATCCAGCGTTCTGATTGTATATTGGGTCTCGCATGAGGCCAGAAGGGAGGGAGGTTTTGTTATTTTCCGGATATAAAAAGTCTTCCAAACCATGTATATCTATGATCTTCATAACCTTCTTAGAGCAAGCAAAATCTTCACTCCAGTTTATACCGACGGAGCTTTATGGTGAATACGTGCTTGATTGACTGCATCGGATTTTTGGGTGATTGGTGAGAGCTGTGATGGTTTCATATGCAGGGGGAGCCCTGTGATTGGACACGATCGATAGTATGGTTTGGTAAGCTAACAAATTGTCCGGGTCTACTCTGATCTTCATTTAAACCGAGCTAATTGAATGTGCTTTCTGTAAGGCCTGCTACCTAAATCCCGTGAGATGCTAACCCCCGCTTGGCAAGGGCTGCCAGGTAAGGCTGAAGGAGCAGGCTAAGGCTGCCATGACCTCCCAGGCAGAGTCACCTGCCGCCGTGGGTGGAGTGTGTGTCAGATGATGTGCTTCGTCTGTCCCTCGCAGTCAAAGCAATACCCCGGCCACTTTTCTCTCATCCTTCACTTTCCTCAGACACCATGTCTCCAGATTCCTGTGTTTATGGGAGGAGACGTGGAAAATGGCGGCCGACAACGAGATTAACGGCGGACAACCTCTCTGCATCGGAACCACAGTTGAGTAAGATTTCCATCATTTCCCTACGCTTCTCGTCATATAAAACCTGTTGAACTGAGAATTACAGTGTCGTGGCTGTCCCAGCGATAGGCGCAGATCCCAGGAGGACATGGCTTGACGAGAATTCCCAAACTCCGTGGCTTCTTTCCGACCTGACACGATACATCCCCAACGCCCGAGTGTTGCTTTCTGACCATGGCCACTTGGACTCTCGAGACGACTTGGAGACTTTAGCCCATAGGTTGCTAAAATGGCTTATAGAGGAAAGGCAGGCGACAGTGAGTTTTCGCCGGCTTTGCTTCGCCGATCGATGGCGTTAACATCCTGTCCAGAGCCTAAGACGCCCCATCTTCTTCATATGCCATAGTACCGGCGGCCTTGTTGCTAAAGCCGCACTTATAATAGCCAGTCAGCTGACATCCAAGCTTGGTTCAATCCTGTCGAGCTGCTACGGTGTTGCTTTCCTCGCGACTCCTCATCATGGCTCGAGTTATCTGTCGGCTCCTGAATTTACCAGGAGTATTCAGCGCTTGATGAGACTCAAACATCGCATCCCATCTGGACTTCAAGAGCTCTTCAGACCAAGACATCCCTATCTTTTACATCTCTCAAATCAATTCAGATCGATATCGGCAGATATCAAAATCTGGACCTTCTTGGAGACAGTCGATTCGACACTCAGCATCACCGACTCAGAGACCGGGGACTCTGTCGATATGCATGTCCCCATTACGTCAATTCGGTCGGGTATTCTAGACCTCGAGCATGAGAAAGAGCTTCCTTTAGCTACCGATCACCTTGGCACTGCGTGTTTCAAGGGCCAGGAGTTCACAACGAGGACGAGCTTCATAAATGAGCTTCAAGCATCGGTCTCTACGGCCATCAATCTGTCTAAAATGGCCGATGCTCCTTTGGACGTTGATTTAGAGGTTATGGTGCAGGTTAGTGGCTTTTTTGAAGACACCGCGCGAGGCATCAGTGATGAAACACCCCTGAAACTCTGGTCAACCAAAGCATCACTTAAGGAGTACTTGACAAGCGGACCTTCGTCATGTTTGGGCGAGCGGCTAAAGAGAACGGCCGGAATACCATCTAGCATCTATGATGACTCGTCCATAAGCAGCTTTGATAGCAGGCCGACGTCTGCTCAGGTTCGGTCATCGATGGATGGCATAGTTAATCCAACAGCAAAACATGCGAGTGAATCTACAAGTCCTAAAGCACTCCCCCACCGGCCCTCAATCAAGGAAAGTCGCAGTTTTCTCGGCCAAGCATCCCCTAGGATTCATATTTCTGAGCCAACCGGTCAAGGCTACTTCGACGTGCAGTCAGACTCCGCTGAAGAAGTGCAGAGGTCTGCCTCATCGCAAGAAGAAGATAAGGAAGAGGTTACAAAGAATCAAGAATCAGATGCGAGCAACTTGCTGTGAGTATTAAAGAGCTTACACTCCTCACCTTGATATAATATTGATTATGACAAATGAAGGTCGAGTTTACCACCTAGATATAGGAGCTTCCTACCAATTCCACTACCATCCAGAGACAGCGCCGATGAGCAGAGGGCAGAGATGCCTCGAAGAGCTCCACGATTTGACCAGCCAGAGCCGGGCAGCGAGAAGCTTCTTTGGATCCACGTGCCTTATACCCACACAGGATGGGTACCGCCCATACTTTCCAAAGCTTGTGAGGATCAAGAGAGACAGGCTTTGTAGGTAGTCGGCCAACTTCCATCATATCTGGTACCTTCGCTGACGAACATTCTTCATGTTAGCTTGGATAAGTTTATCAATGAGGAAAACTGGTATTCAAACCTCATCAGAGCTCGTCATCTGGAACCCCATGCGCGCTACGTACGGTCTAGTTGCATTCACTTCAAGCAAAACAAGGCTTCACATCCTGGTGTAATCGAAGGATATAAGGACCCCACGTTGGCTCTCTACGTAAGTCGGCAACTTCTTGAGGCATGCAAGATACTGATTTCCGTCATTCTTGCTAGATTCCATACGTACGTTCAGTTCAAGACTGGCATAGGTCTATAGTTGTAGTACTGACGACAGTATAGCTCCACTGGGATACTTATTGGAACCTAGTCCAGCGGCGTAAAGTTGTCGAAGAGCGATTACGACAAGGACGATTCAGACCAGTGCCAAGTGATATCTCCAAATCTAGTCTCGAGTCGAAGCTGATCTGGAAATACCTTGGCAACGAGCCCCCTATTCACATACGGAGGACGTTGGATCAGTTCGGATATCCGAACCTACGATCGACAGTCGCCAGAGATGACGATCAGATGCTCTGGAAGAGGACGAAAAAGGTGGTTAATCTGAACGATGAGATAAAGATTTCCGATCAACCCGAGGACCGACCCGAGGCAAAGAATGCATTCATGGACGGAAAGGTCCTTATGGTCGACCAGCTCTGGTTGTGGATTGTTGACGAGAGGACCGTTGTCACATTTTTCCCTAACCAGGAGGCTACCACGGCAGAGGGCAAGCTCTATGAGCAGTCTAACCTCTACAACAGCATTTATAACGAGCTGAACGGCGACCTAGCGAGACGGTTCGAAACAGCCGGCGACCTTGCTTCCCTAATAGTGTTACATGCAGTCACCGTTCTTCTCGACCGGACACTTCATCGTGACCTACAGATACTCCGGATATTCGAAGAATCCATCAGCATTCTAGTAAGACTCCTCAATTCTCTACTATATGGAAGTATTGACCCATAGCAGACCGAAATCGTGACCAAATCGTTCAAACGCTTTCGAAACCGCGGCTTCAACACTCGCCCCGCAGACTATAACAAGAACGCCGAAGGAAGACCAATGTCCGCTGCAGAACGCGATGAGAGAGATAACAAAGTAGCCAGACGAAACCGGGAAGACCTCTCTACATTGTTAGAGCTACGGGATATTGTAGACGAGCTAGGAACCATTCTTAAACTCCTAGAGCAACAAACGGCCACCGTCACAGCCATGACCAGCTACTTCGAACAGAAAGGCTGCGGGAAAGTATTCATCGAATCAGCCCTCTCTAGACTCGACGAGTATCGCAGCCAGGTCCTCGATATGCGAGAGAACGCGACTCTCGCCCAAAAAGCGGTACGTCCCTCAAGGCCTACCATACCCACAACACCAACTAACCCATGCACGCTCAACCTAGGTCGAAAACCTCCTCGATCTCAAACAAAAGCAAGCCAGCGTCGACGAATCCCGCCTCGCCCGATGGGAAGCAGAAGTGACCCAGGACCAATCGCGATCCGTCATGGTCTTCACAATCTTCACCATCATGTCAGTCCCCCTTGCCCCAAACACCCACAGACAATCCCCTCACAACGCAACAGCTTCCTCCCCCTCTCCTTCTTCACCTCCCTATTCGGCATCAACGCCCGAGAATGGAGCGGTACCCCCGAAAACCTCACCCTAGGCGAGATGCTCTATATAGCAGGTATACTCCCTCCCTCCCCCATCATCCCCGAATCCCCACCTATACACTAACACACCAACCACACCCCAGGCCCCGCCTCCTTCGCAATAATCGTAATAGCCCTCTTAATCGCCTTCAACGAACGTCTCCGCGAGACTCTCTGGCGCGCTCAAAAGCTCATCCTAGACATCCTCGCCGATTTTCTCCTCGCTCCAGTTACATTACTTTTCCAGTGGAGGAGGATGGCAGCAGCGTCGGCCAGGAAACCAGAACGCACGAAGGGCCGCTTGAATAGATATAGACGGAATCCGCTGAGAGAGTCACAGGAGGATATTTGGACAGAGCATGAGGATAAGATGGTGGTGGCGGGTCCGGGGGTGAGGGAGGGGGATGTGGAGGTGGAGCGGTATGCGGAGAAGGGGAGGGAGAGGGGAGCGTTTTAGAGGGAGATAGAGATGTGTAGATGGTGTTTCTGGATGAGTGAAGGGAGGTAGGCACGTTATCTGGACTTGATCAATTGGTTATAGATCGAAGACACTTTTTTGTTTTGGTATGGGACAAGTAGAATGTCAACAGTATAGACCCTGCATTGTACGCTGAGTTCACTTTGTTCCTCGTCTTAAGCAGGCCCGTCCATCTATCAGCAATATTCTTACAGCTACGAAGACAGCACAGTTCATGAACAATTAATATAATGAAATCGCAAACACCACAGCTGACGAACTGCCGTGGAGTACATAAAGTACATGGTATGATACACAGGACTCCCTGAGACTTTTTGTGCCCAATATAACGGAGTGGAGATGATGAGGGAGAAAACCCGACCTGATGCCGGAGAAGAGGGTGTAGAGGAATAGGAGAAGTCGGGAATGAGGTAGTTAGGTGGTCAAAGACGTGTAACACATTAAAAACAAAGGAGATATTTGGAAATCAACAGAAAACATATCAGGACATGCCCGTACTATGCAACAAGACGCTCGAAGGGAATCCTTTCAGAAACAAGGAGGGGAAGGCTATACGAGGCGGGGACTAGCTTAGAACATGCCGCCGCCCATGCCGCCCATACCACCCATGCCAGGCATGCCACCGGCAGGGGAAGGTCCCTTCTCCTCAGGGGCCTCAACGATGGCGACCTCGGTGGTACCGAGGAGGGAAGCAACACCGCTGGCATCAACCAGGGAGGTACGGACAACCTTGAGGGGGTCGACAATACCAGTAGCGATCATGTCAACGTACTCACCCTTGGAGCTGTCGAAACCGCGGTTGAAGTCCTTGGCGAACTCATCGGTGAGCTTGCCAACAATGACGCTGCCCTCAAGACCAGCGTTCTCAACAATGGTGCGGGCGGGGCGGGTGATAGCGCTCTTGATGATGCTGACACCGAGCTGCTGGTCGAAGTTGGAGACCTTGATGTTGTCAAGGCCGTTGGCGGAGGCCTTCAGGAGGGCAGTACCACCACCGGGGAGGATACCCTCCTCAACAGCAGCGCGAGTGGCGTTGAGAGCGTCGACAACACGGTCCTTCTTCTCACCAACCTCAACCTCGGAAGCACCACCAACCTTGATGACGGCAACACCGCCAGAGAGCTTGGCCAGGCGCTCCTGGAGCTTCTCCTTCTCGTACTCGGAGGTGGTGGGGTCAGCCATGACACCACGGATCTGCTCGCAGCGCTGGGCAATGCTGTCCTTGCTACCCTCACCGTTCAGGATGATGGTGTCCTCCTTGGTGATAGTGATGGCGCCGGTGGAACCGAGCATGTCGGGGGTGAGCTTCTCGAGCTTGATGTCAAGCTCATCGGTGAAGACAGTACCGTTGGTGAGAACGGCAAGGTCACCGAGGATGCTCTTGCGGTTGTCACCAAAGCCAGGGGCCTTGACAGCGGCAACCTGGAGCTGACCACGGAGCTTGTTCAGGATGCAGACAGCAAGAGCCTCACCCTCAATGTCCTCAGCAATGATGACGAGAGGACGGCGGAGAGTGGTAGAAGCCTCGAGGGCGGGGATGATGTCCTGAACGGCGGAGATCTTCTTCTCGGAAAGCAGGATCAAGGGCTTCTCGAACTCAACCTTCTGGGACTTGGCGTCGGTGATGAAGTAGGGGGAGGTGTATCCACGGTCGAAGCGCATACCCTCGGTGACCTCAAGCTCATCCTCAAGGGTCTTGCCCTCCTTGACGGTGATAACACCCTCCTTGCCGACTCTCTCCATGGCGGTGGAGATGAGCTTACCGACGTGGGTGTCGCCGTTGGCGGAGATGGTGGCAACCTGGGCAATCTCCTCACCAGTGGTGATGTCACGCTTGTTCTGCTGGAGGTAGTCGACAACAGCGTCAACGGCAGCCTGGATACCGCGACGGAGATCCATGGGGTTGCATCCAGCAGCAACGTTCTTGACGGTCTCGGAGAAGATGGCACGGGCAAGGACGGTGGCAGTGGTGGTACCATCACCGGCGAGTTCGTTGGTCTTGGAAGCGACATCCTGGAGGAGACGGGCACCGAGGTTTTCGAACTTGTCCTGGAGCTGAATGGCCTTGGCAACGCTCACACCGTCTATTGTAGTCAGTATATAGGATTCCGGAAGCTCCGCATTGAGAATAGACTGGACGAAAGCTACATACCCTTGGTGATCTTGGGGGAGCCGTAGGAGGACTCAATCAGGACATTGCGACCCTTGGGACCGAGAGTAGAGGTGACGGCCTTGGCAAGAGTGTCGACACCCTTGAGGAGCTGGGCACGAGCCTCAACACCGAACTTGAGCTCCTAGAGGGTGTAAGCAAGCTCCCCGGCTGTGTCATCGAGAGCTACGGGAAGCAGCCCAATGAGGAGCACAGGCAAGACGTACCTTGTGAGCAAAACGCTGCTGCTGCAGGCTGACGGAGGGTCTCTGGAAAGAAGCACGCTTGGAGGCGGCGGACAGGACGGAGGTCCTGGAAGAGAGAGCTCGTTGCATCTTGAAGGAGGTTTGTGAAAAAAGAGGACGAAAACGAGGGCAATAAGACACAATTAGATCGAGTAGGCCCGACCGGAACTCCCAGAGTAAGAACAGGTGCGGAGGGAGAAGAAGGAGAAGAAAAGAGGATGGAGGGAGAGATGGAGATGGGGATGGAGATGAAGCCAAAGTCTCGAAAATTTTCCAGGCGATTCTCGATCCCCGGATTGTCTTGGCGGCAGAAGCTCCTAGAAGGTCACGTGGGGCCGGGTATCCGAGGAAATGGCCTCGGGTCGTCGGAAGGGGCAACCCGCCCGCCAGAGTACACCGACTATCTACAGTCTATTGGAGAGGACCAGTTAATACCACCAAATCCTGATTGAATTTTCATTGTCAATAACATTGCCTTGCCATTCATGGGGCCGCACAATAATGCAAGCCTAAGAGCCGTCTCCTGTAATCTCCGGCCCTTTTCCTTATAGACTTTACTATAAGGCTTCAGCATGGTAGCATTCCATTATTCAATTGACTAAATTGCTTGAAAGGTAAAGACATTATTAAGATGGATAGGAGACAGTGTGCTTGAAGATAGAAGGAATGTGAGAAGAAAAAATACCCCTGGTCCTGCAGGATGTGATGATGCGAGGAATAAGCAACCGAAGCCAGAAATGCAAGATGGCAGAGATATGTCAAGAATAGCTTTCACGGCCTTGATTCGGTACAGGCCTCATCCCCTTCGGTAGCTCACTTCATGTTGTCGGAGACTTGAAAGTGGTGGATCGTTTCATCCATCTGCATAAAATTGTTCGACATGTGCTGAAAGCTTTCAGGGTCGAAGGCAGCAAGGCGGTTAAACATCTCCTGAGAGAAGTCCAATGAATCACTGGCAGCAGTGACATCAACGGTGTTGTGGTATGCCGGATACATGGTGCTTGGAAACGGATGACCAAGTCCACTCTGCCACAGATCGCCAGGAGAAACCACTCCATGCTCATGTGAGGGCACCCCCATGGACGAGCTACCTACAGGCGCAAAGACCATAGGCGAGTCTTGGTTCAACAAGTCCATGAAGTGGGCATTGCTCTCGGCAGAATAAGTATTGTCATCAGTAGGCTGTTGGTAATATTGACGATAAGGTACGTCCTCACGGACGTTAACCGGATCGACGGCCAGATCCAGAGAATGAAAAACAGCGACACCGTCATTGATTGCATGACGTCGATATCTGAGTACCACCACCTTACTTCTCTTAGATTCGGAGCCGGAGGCAGGTGGTGATGTCTCAGGCTGCCCCATGTCATTCGGGTATTCGAGGAACTTTGCACCGGGAAGTAACAGATCGCTCGAGCCATCCACACTGCTGTCCATGTCATCATCGTCACTCTCATATTTAATCTGGTCTGGAAGGCGTTTCACCGCTTGGACTGTGGATCTCTTCTTCTGTGGGAACTTCTTCCGTGTCCTAGCAGCTCTTTCCTCTACCCAGTCTACATCCGAGGACGGGTCTTGGTGTTTACTCCATGACTCGCCCCTACCGACCTTGTTCTGGGTATTGTCCCGCTTCGATCCTTCTTCTTGTGGGTTTCTTTCGGGCGATTCTGCTGTCGGTTTGCATGACACACCAACGCCACCACGTCGGAGGGGAGGAGGAACGGCTTTTTCTGCTGCAACTCGACGACTGCGGAGCTTAGCAAGGTGCTGTACAATCGCTCCCTCGGTCACGTTATGTCCCATGGTTCTAGCGACATCTGCCCAAGGAATCTTGATTGAGTTCGTATTGCAGACGGACTGAACAGTCAGCAGAAGGAGCTCGTTCAAGTTTTCTACACCAGTTAGCCATTGGTTCGAGTGTACGCCACAGTAGGATATATTAAACGGAGGTGATGAATGTACCATCCCAGCGAACCAAAGTGCGCTTCTTGGGCCTATTGGAAGTCTTCCGAGAGGGCCCCATTCTGTGCCGACTATATTCTGAGCCTCTGGTGTCCCTGGAGCAGGTACTGGTTCAAATAATTTGTCAGACTCAGATTATAGGATCATAATTGGCCCGGTGGTTTGGCTGTAAAAGAACTATGTATAAGAGTGGTCAGCCAGTGGGAAGCGTGTGAGGTAAGGATAAGGTGAAGCCTTTGGTCCTTCGCTCAGATCCGTAGCCGATCAGTGACCCCCCAAGCGGACAGTAAATAGCTTTAGGCACTGTTGCTTATGGGATGGGACCCTTCTTAACTTACTTTTGATGGCATGCAGAGATTGGCTATCAGGGGATGCAAGTAGAGACCAAGGTGAGATGAAAAGGCACGGTGAGGTGAGCGGCCAGATTCGCGCTGGGGGACAGGCTCACTTTCTTCCGGAGACATCTCAAGAATTGTCCGCCTTGGGTAGGTTTACTCGCAGGTATCAAATGGTGATGGTGATCCAAACATATCAAACATACTAGGACTCTCCATGCAAGACTCTTCTTGCGATTGCCAGGCATAGATCTTTGACCCGCTTATACACACGGGCCTGTTAGGTATACATCGTATGTTGACCAACGAGCAGACATGCTATCTTGATGCTGGAGCTAGAAAGAAGAAGGAAAAAGGCTCCTCTGACTTGTATTGCAAGGTTACTACTTAGCTTCTTACCCAATGTATGAGGAGAGGAGGGCTCTCCGGTACATTATATCGAGGAGTATCCAAGCACACTCATTGGATCACCCATTGCGCCTATCCGGGGCAACTTTGGGGAGGGGGACTCCCACGACGATACAACCTAGAAATACTAGTTAGTTACGGAAATGATGCTTTGTCATTGTCTTCCATGTCCATAACTAATTGGTCCCTCAAAAGCTTCATGATCTACAAATTTTTATGTAACATGGGCGAAACCGAACTCAAAGCTCTCTACGGAATCATTTCTGGGGAGCAGCCGGAAATATATATCCGCTTTCGAACAACATAGCTCTGCTGTTACGGCATAGATTGATTGAATTCAGTCCCTTACGGAACAACGGGCAGCACTCAGTAGATTGTTTGACTTTCAAGATGGGTTCGAAGCACGAAACAGTGGACGATTTAGTCGATAGCTAAACCTGGACTATTCATTGATCCATTCGATGGTCGTCAATTGTTTCCGATTGGTTGTGGTTGCGGCCAAGTCACGTGTATCACATGACCCGAGTTCCCGAACCTCCGAACTCGACGGTTTGCAAAGCAACCCAGCAAGTGATCTTTCCCCTGAACCCAATATCCTCATCCACATCACACCGTCAAAATGGCATTCGCCTGGAAAGCCGCTGGTCTCACGTACGATTGTCCCACGAACCTCAACGTTCCGCTTATCCTGGAACCCCGACTGACTCCACGGTTGACTTTTACAGCTACAACCGCTACCTGACCGTTGCCGCTCGCGCGGTCCGCAGGTCTCTCAAGGACGGTCCTCGTGCTGCTGCTGAGCGCCGTGGAACCATGGACTTGCGTTTCGCTAAGTGGGAGGTTCGTATCTAGGCGCCCAGCTTCTACCACCAAGTTCAATGGGTCAGGACGGTTTGGCTGACGACGAGTGTCCCGGATATAGAACGGCAAGCAGGGTGAAGTCAAGTCTCTCGCCCAGGCCAACAACGAGGCCGCTGCCGCCCAGGCCGAGTCGAAATAAGTGATTTACGCCGACTGTGAACACGAGACATAGGATGTATTCTGGGTGAAGATGTCGAAACCTCGGGTGGAAGCCTTACGCAGGAAAGGACTGGATCTCTGTAGCAATACTGGCCCTTTGATCAGGTATAAATAGAAAAGACTATTTCTTCCTGCTATTCTTCTAGCTGGCTAGTAAGCCCGCTTGTTACAATGTAGGCCTTGTCCCTCCAAGGGCGTGGGTTCCTGAGCTCGACGGCCTGCTTCACCGCGCGGCTGGTGCTCCCGCAAGTTTTGCCCTGTCCGCCCGACTCCCCGCCTCCCCTCGCCCGCTCTCTCCCTCCCTCCATACGTCTTCTCCGTCGGAGCAACACCCATTCTAGCCTGACCCCGGCAATCTGGCAGCTGGCTGCGGATGATCGAGATTTCTTATGCTGCCAAACGACGACATCCGAGTTCCAACCATGCGGGTGGTTTCGCAGTCTGTGGTCCCGCGCGACATCACCGATGAATTTACGACAGCTGCTTCAAGTGAGCGTGGTTCTCTTTGCTTCCACCCTTCTTCACTGCACACCTGTTCCGGTTGAATTGCTCGCTAATTAGCCGTGTCTTGGACCCTCAGAGTTGAGAACCGGTCAGCTTGTCAAAGATGAGTACTTTACGCTTTTCGAGGCAGTTGGTGCGCTGGAGGTCGGTTGCGACCCGATTGTTTTTGACGAGACACGCCCCGCGACCGATACTGAACCAGAAGCTGATATTCTCTGGACGGTATAGATTATGGATTCGAAAATGGACAGTGGGTACCTAGGTCCCGGTGAAAACCATGCGCAGGCATTGGAGGATGATTACGATTTGACGCGGGAGCTTGGACCGGAAGAGGTCCTTGGTATCATGGATGGATTGCTCTGTCATGAGGTGGGTGGAGATTTCCCTCCCCGGATACCTGCCGCTACATCTGAGCAATGCTTAATGATCTATCTCGTGACAGATGGCGTGGCATATGGGTCACCCTCTTTCCCAGACCCTCTTCACATCCCTCTACCTGGACAAGCTCCTATGGCCGGTGCCGAAGTCTCTTGAAGAAGCCCATTTCTTTCGTGGACACCTTGCGAACAATAACGAGGAAATAGCAATTGTACATCTTGTATTGCGTGCATATTGCCTTGCGCTGATCAAGTGTTGTGATTTCGTCCATGCGCGGGTGGCTACTGAATACTATTTTGAGGTTAGTTCCAACATACCGTCTTCTAACAATATGGCAATAACTGATAGTTTCCTTTTATCTTAGGAAGAGGACTTCGTTACCCAGCTTTATAACCGCACGCTGTTGTCACAGTTCGAACCCGAGCCATTCTACGACCTTCTCGACCGAGCGATCTCTTGGGTTGACGAACAAAAGGGCAAGTTGGATGAGAAGGTGCGAGAAGCTATATGGACCAGACTGCTCTTCCGACGCGAGTTCCTACAGGGCTTGGAGCAAGATGTCGAAGTAATCCAGACCAGATCCAAGGAGCACTTTTTGCATTGCCTGTCTCAGTTGGACAACTTGGCCCAATCGACTTCTTTTGGAACAGAAGTGCCCGATTCATTTAGTTGGAAAATTCAACGAAAGTTGGCCAGCACGGTTCCTCCACGGCCAATGGTGAAGATCAATTTTGAAGATGCGCTGGCGCATCTGAAAAGGTTATGCCAGGACGCAATTGACCTTCAAGAAATCATTGATTACCGTGGACCCTACAACTTCAAGGTACGAAGGCACATCCTTGGTTGCTGGAGCCGTATCTTACTCACCATTTCAGGTTACTATATGGACTTTGCTGTCACGGAAGCCCCAGCCATCAGTCTATATCCGGTCACTCGTTCAAACACTAATAGTCAACAACATGACGATACTTGGAGTCGTCCCCGTCAAACAATTCCTATACGATGAGCTTGCTGAGCTTGTTTTGCCATCAAGTATACTCCTGGAAGCAAATATGGATGAAATCGAGGTTCCTTCAGACCCTCGTTTTCAAATTGCCAAACAGATGGATGCTTTTGTGAAGCGTTTCTCCCAGGTATGCCTCCGGTATCTTAGTCTTTGCTCCTCGCGTACATTTCCCTTTCGAGATGTCTCCAGGCTAACTCCAGGCGCAGCCTTTCGCGGATACGTTCCGCAGCGCCTGTTTAAACCGCTGTCGCATTCGGCGCACTGTCTGCCATACTATTGTCGATTGGGACAACTTACAAATGGAGGTGAGTACTTCGCGGGTTCTAATTAGTAAGGTATGGTCTAATCTCCTCCATAGGCTGAAGAACTCGATGAGCAACTCCGCACCTTGAGCAAAGAGCCCCCACTGATGCTCGCCAACGGCGACGCTACTTATTCGTACCCTCTTAGCAGCTGGGCGTACCATCACAAACTAATCCAATTCCGTCTCATCCTTCAGCTCGGATTTGAACTTTCCATCTACTCCCCCGAAGAACTGCCTGGAATGTACTGGTACCTGTCCCACATCTGCTCTACCCACCTCGGCCACATTGATCGGATCCGCACGTTCACTGTTGCTGCAGCCAAACGGAACCTCACAGAAATGGCTGCGAAGAAACGCGATGCTCTTGAGCGGCACACTGCCCTTCAAAAGTCACTCCGACTCCTTGAACAGCTAACAACGCAAATAGTTGCCGTTGACGCATTCGCAATTTCCCTGCACGCGCTGTACGTGCTCCTTGCTCGCCATGGCGTCCTGCCAACAGCCTCTTCAGGCCAGGCATACTCCAGCGACCGATTGCGCTATGAAATTCGCATGAAACCCTTTCTTCAAATCACCTTGCCAGAACTAGTCCCGTACGATGAGTACCGCCGGGAAGCCGTGCTTGAAGGGGACAGCGACGAAATCGTCCTGGAACGTGCTACTAAAGCCATCTCCGAAGCACGAAAGGCCTGGGAAGCCACCCTCGCAAACGGTGCCTTTGTCCAGGATTCAGAGGGCGAAGAGAGCTCGACGCCGGCTATCGAAGAAGACTGGAAACGCGATGTGAAGGACACGATGCGCGCCTGCATAGGTGCAAGCATTGCGATCGAGACGGTCAAGAAAGCGCTGAAAGCCCGCGCGAACGTGGTTGGACCCAAGGAGGGTACACACACTCCGTCCGTAAATCTGCGGGTGACTATCCCGGAAACTGGCTCCAAAGCCCGTTGGCATGACTGGTGGGTTGTGCCGCAGGTCTCACCGGCCACAGTAGGCTCTAAGACATGAGTTGCTTCATCAATCTGAGGTGTTGATAAGCAGCCGACCCCTGCTCTTTCGCCGCGATCACGGGGCGGGTCGACCAAGCCGTTGCGAACCAAGGTGTCGCGTGCTTCCCGCGTTGTAGGTCGGAGCCCCGGCCACGAGGCTCGAGCCGGGTAGGTGGGAAGAGCAAGTCCGATATAGAAACTCAACGCTGAGCACCCAATGCCCACCCGAGCCGATCGTCCTACTTGTGACCCCGACGACCCGTGTGGAGTACCCGATGCATCATGAAGTCATGTATATAAGTCACGCATAATATACTCCGTACCGATCAAGCATCTGGCAAGAACCGGTGGGCGTGCTTGCCGAGGGTAGCGCATGCCCCGGAGAGCGAAAGTGGGAATGGAGACGCCAACCCGCCATGGCGCGAAGAAGACCATTAGATAGCCTGCCCACTGCACCATGCCTAGTTCCCGTCTTATGTATCTACCGCTTCACACCATTGACCATATGTGATCAAGCGGACCAAGGAACTAGGTACTAGGAACCCCATCAGCCAAGGAACCGAGCAGGGAGCCTATCCACCCCCAGCTCGCGTCGGGAGGTCAACATCAGGCCATCTCATCCAGGGCCGGTCAGCTGACCGTGCGCATCACGACTAACTCGTTGCTCCTCTCGCTTTCCTCCCCTCCTCCTAGGCTCTCTCCCACTCATTCCTAGATCGACCCGCTGGGTTCGGAACGATTCCGAAGGACACCACCGCTCTCGATCGCTGGTCTGTGGCAGCGAGACGAAGCAAATAAACCCCCGTCTTTGAGTATGCAACTGGCGGGGAAGAACAAAGGTTATGACCTCACCGGACCCGGGAGACTGGGTGGGAGGAAATGGCGGGCAGGGGATTGGATGGCCTTGCCGAGGGAGGAGCGGGAATGACATGAATAATGAAGGACAATGACACGCACGGCGGTCAACCAAACAAACAAAGGGTAAGGTATGATGGGAGCGGCATTATTGTTGCCGGGGAATTCCTGCCTACAACCTAACTAGATAACTACCAGAAACTAAAACCATCTGGCGAGGGCGCTGGCCTGAACACGCCATCTCGGGAGTTGCTGGTTCCTTTTTATCCCACGACGCGGAACCCCAGCGGCCAGGTGCCGATTACTACGCCTGACTAACACGGGAGATGGCCCTTTCCCCTCCAGTCCCAACGCTGGCGCTCCCCCGGGCAAAGATCGGCTCATGCATTGATCTGAGGATTGTCTATCCCTCCCCATCAACATCGCCCTTTCAAACCCGCCGCTCATCCAGATTTCCCTTTCCCGCTCGAGGCTCTTTCTCTACCATGGTGATGCAGCGTCCTACGTGCCGGGGCTTGACCCATTGATCGGTGTGTCTGGCCCTGCTGAATTTTGCGTGCCCTGTGCCTCTGCCCAGTCCTACCGCTATCTCCGTCGCGCTGAGTTGCTGACCTCTCCGGGCCTCGATTCAGCCTTCGCCAATAGCACGTGTCGTCTATTTGTCTACGGGTTATCCCGATGTCTCGGATCTCTACTCACACCCGCAACAATAGTAACCCGACTCGGATTTTAAGCGCGCGTGTATGATCGACCGTCCCGTTGCACAGACAGACGTTTTGCCTATCCCTTCATCCGTCACGCACGTCAACCGAACCCCAATAGCGGGGCGAGCGAACCTCTGCAAACTACCGCAATGCCTACCTATCCTATCCGCCGCAGGCCGCGGGAGTGTAAAACTTGCCTTCCATGTCGTGCCAGCAAGGTCCGCTGTGATCGCAATGTGCCGTGTGGGAACTGCGTCAAGCGCAACTTCACCTGCTCCTACGGTCGTCCTCCCCCGACGGGCCCCAGACCAGCCTCCTTCGTTCCAGATCAGTTTGCCTCTTCCGCCTCGACTCCCGCGACAACTACGCCTCAATTCCTCCCTCCGCCGTCGTATCATCCCACCAACCGGGACGCTCCCTATGGGGCCGACCCGGAATCGGCGAGCTCGGCCACCCAGGATGGCCTATCTGATATCGTGACGCTGTCGCAAGAGGAATGGGATGAGATAAACAACAAAATGCAAACAATGGAGCAGATCTTGGCGAGCTTGGGCTCTCTGTTCCACTCCTATGGTGCGCGGAAAGCCGCCGACCCTCGATCCGAACCTTCTCACACGGAGGAAGACGCTTCTCCCGCCTCCGAAGGCATCTATGGGCCAACTACGCTGAAGACGGGCTCGGTTCATATAGGTTCTAGGTCTGCCCTGGTTGATATTCTGGACAAGTCGAAGGTTTCGGAGGACACGGCGCAGGCGCTACCGAAAGAAGACCTTCTCACAGAGCTGGCTTTGGGGAACGAGTCTGCCGCCTACCCCTTTGTTGATCTTTGGTCGTCAGATCCATACACGTTCAATATCGCAGGTGTATGCAATGTGCTACCCGATGACGAGCAGTGTCGAAAGTGAGTTAACCCTGGACACGTACGCCGGCGTCTCGTTGTTTCGCGTAGCTGACGGATTTTATTCTTCCTTTTAGACTCTTAGCATTCTATCGGAATATTGGCGCAGTGCTGTATCCCGTCCTGCCAGATCTTGCTAGGCTCGAAGAGAACTTGAATAGACTGTTGGAAGGCCGCCGAGCAGCTGGTGGCGTGTATCAGCCGGATGCTAATGGCCTAGTGAAGCCGTGGGGCATGAGTGTCTCGTTCCTCAGCCTTCTATTTGCTGTTTTAGCGTCCGGTTCCCAATTATCTGATCTGTCTGGGAGAGAACGAAAGTTGACCTCATGGGTATACGGTTGGTAATCCTTCATACTAGCCTTTTGCCTACCCGACTTACCGGCCTTAGTGTCTTGTTCTTACCATTGTCTGCGCATGTTGAACTATGTATCCCAGCCAACACTGGAGGTGATCCAGACCCTGTTGATCATCGGCAGTGTCTTGTCGTATAACATGAATGCGGGCGCATCCTACACGTTGCTCGGTGAGTGCTGAACAATGCGCGTGAGTTCACGGCTGAAAGCTAATGTACGTCGGTTGCCCAAGGGATGACGGAGCGAATGTGTATGGTTCAGGGCCTTCATGTCGAGACCTCTGGGTTCTCACGAGCCGCGCAGGCGGCGCGGAGGAGAGTGTGGTAAGTGCTAATTTCTGAGACGATGCTTGCGATTTGGCCATACTGCGATGCTAAACTCACTGCTGCCAGGTGGGCGATGGCTTTTCAGAACAGCCATTTTTCCTTAGCGTATGACCGACCGTCCATTACCATGATCAATCAGCCGGAAATCCCGTATGACCCGAAATCCATGCCTGGCCACCGAGGATATTTCGAAACGCTCTGCCGCCTTATTTCCGTTATACTCGAGATGCTGCGAGGGTTGATGTTCTCGCATCATTCCCACCTGCGATACCATGAAATCCGGGACTATAAGCAGCGAATCGAGCGAATCATTGCCGAGGCTGCACCGCATTTAAAATCTCGTGACCGCTGTGTCACGCTAGCGGACCATATCGAGCGGACGGAGCTTCGGCTGCACTCCTCGTATTTCATCTCGCTGATGTGCCGAGTTTCGTTGGACCCGGATGCTCCAATGGATGAACATCGGCGCGAAGTCGTTCGGGAGGACTGCTTGGCGAATCTCATCAATACAATCGAGGCGTTCATTGAGCTGCACGCGGTTAATTCGCATGCGTCGCGTACCTGGATCAGCTTACAACGGACTATCGCGTCAGCTTTCCTATTGGTAGCGAATAACAATGATCAGTTGCACCCGCAGACGTGGGACCTGATCCAGAAATTGGAAGTGGTCTTGTCCGACCACGTGCATGCGGATAAGGAGTCGGACGGCAATAGCAAGACGGACTCGGCCAGACATCTCGCATCTTCCCTTCGCGCTCTACGCGAAGTCAGTGCCGCCTTCCGCACGCGCAAAAAGCGCAACCGGCTAGTCCCGGAGATGGCACCTACCACACCGGCCCTGTCTCCTGCAACCGCGTTCACATCGCCGGCCTCGACTGCCCTGGGGTCAACAGCAGCGGCCTACCCCTCAGGGTATAGCGTTTCGTCCGAGGAGGGGCACATTGACAACATTCTCAACCAGGTGTCGGATGTAATGCTCTTCCCGAGCATGAGTACGGGAAATGTCTGACCCCATGGCTACCCAGGCATGATAGTTAGTGACTTCGTGCGACAGTTTGACCAATGCGAGTGCACTGGCTCGCTTGCGCCGTCCCTTCTGCCGGCCGTTGTTTAGGCATCTGAAGATCCCCGACCCGTAGAGATGTAGACATACAGGGGTCACATCAGCAGATTGCGCGATCCGGTAAATGTGTCAATCATGCCGCCCATGATACCGTGTGTGCCCTCTGGGCGTCAAGGGATGATATGTGGTGAGCACCTCCCTCTGGAAACCAGCGGTGTGGGTGGGGAAGAATCGAGCTTGACGCTGGCTCTTCGGTGAGACAAAGGAGAGGGGTCCCAAACCCGGGGAGGGGGAGGTCTTGGATACCCGGGGGGAGAGGCGAGGTCTGGCCGTGGGCGGGTATTTGTAACGGGGGGTTCTGGCCAGGGCGGGTGCCCCTCGCCGTGGCGTGGATGGATGGGGATGGTTCTTTGGTTGACGGCGTCGAGAAAGGGTCAGACAGCCTCTGCCCGGCCGAAGAATGACCGCTTCGGCCGAAGATTGATCGCCCGAAGTTTGCTCCCAAAAAGGGCCAGTCAGTCGACACTCGGTTGCGGACAGTCCAGTTCGGTTCAGAATCCTGTAATAATAATAGTAACTAGCGAGCCAGAAGAGACGCTACCTTAGTTTGATTAGAAGATGTTGTCGTTCTCGGCCTCTCGGGCACCCTCTGGTCATACTTTTTCCTCTGTTCTCTTCTCCCTTCTGCCGGTCGCTGTACGGCACACGGCGTCCCGGATATGATCTCCTTCCGCACGTTGGCTCTCTTCATAGGGCCGCTGCAGCCAGACGCCCCCATGCCAGCCTGAGGCTATCCATCCAGACTCTGCCCTCGGGGCAGGATCGACGGGCGATCGACGCCGCAGAGGCAAGGTGGCCGCACCCTCCCAGGATGCAAGGGAGGAAAAGTTTTTATGAAGAAGCAGACAAGGCTGCGATGCTAAGGACAGCCTGTCTGGAATCCACCTCGTTTCATGTGCCCTGTCGGCCGGATAGGACCGATCCATGAGCCGAACGGAGAGACCCGGAAACTCCGAGCAAAGGAAAGGGGCGAGGAAAAGACCGCGGCGGGATTGTGGGCGCCCAAGACCACGCACACCACTGCTCAGTTATGTGTCACTAACTAGCCACTAGGTCCAGTGATCGCTCGTGACGACTTATGCGGGGTCAACCGGTTGATCGTTGAGCCTAGTATTTCTTCGGTCGAACCACTCTTCGGCTCCGAGGGTTCAGTTCGAATTCAATCCTGGGCCTGGCCGGACTGACGTGACTGCTCAGCGACACTGCGGACCCGATCGACATGTTCCTGTATTTCTGCTGTGCCTGGCCGAGGCCATGCGTTCTGTGGCACTAGGACGAATGCAAGGAAACTATTTACACCGGGAATGACGATCGCTGGTGGATGCTGGTGTCCGGGCTTTAGGCTGCACTCCTGCCTTTGTTTGGGCGGAACTCCGTCCCATCCGCACCCCGATGTACATAGTCCCAGCAATTGGCGCATGAGGTGTCACTTCATCATCCGGGATGGGGAGACAATGAAAGATCATACAATCCAGGACAGGGGTTCGAATCCAGAGCGGCCGGAGCTATGCTCAGGAAGGCTATGTTGGTCTTGGGATTGGTTTGGGAGGGTTGTGGCTGCCAGAGCGGAAGAGTAGGGACGTGCACGGATGCCAGAATGGTAGCGGCCATCCTGACCTCCTTAGTGGTGCAATGCGGTGCCGTACAGCCAGGGTCTGGCAGCCTGGCACACCGTATGATGTCTCCTGGAGGATCCGGCCGAGTTGGTTCCAACCTCCAGTTCCATCCCACACGTGGCCGGAGACTCTCGGGGGTTATACCAAAGGAGTCATGATGCTTGATTGGTTTGTGCTTGTATCCCCATCCCCATCATCTGCCCCTTCCCTCTGCCCATCATATTCAACAGTTCGATATGCGGGTGGAGGTTGAACCCGGGTTCAACGGCTTGGTCGTTGTGACGTATGTGCCAAGAGCCAACGGAGTAGACAGCACGGAAAAGACCTCATCCTGCAAGGCAGACACTTTCGACGCTTATCGCTGTGATACCATTCATGAGGATGATAGGAGGAGAGGATTGGGTCGGACTTGCCTGGTCGTCGAGGATCTTCGGATATAGCGTATCGCCTGGACCTCTTTCTGTTCGGGTCCGAGGTCAAGAACTGCAGTGACCAGTCCGTAGTACTGAACGTAAGCCTGAGCCGTAGAGGAAGTTCGAGGGAAGATCAACGGTCCTCGTGTTGTCGTCCAGCCCGGGCGTAACCTCAGGCACCCTGACAGTCTCGTGATCAGGCCAACGGGTTACACCTACCTTTCATCCAGCCTTCCCCTCGGCAGGAATCACTCGCCTTTCCCCTCCTTAATGGAAGGCCTGTCGTGGTCTGTTCACCCCCTTTGCCGTTATCATCTATGGACGATGGGCTCTTAATGAAGGAGGAATTAGGAGCATATCTCCTTGACAGCCGCATGACTGAGCAACTTCTTCAGTTCGAGTCATGGGTAAATCATTCAGGTGCATCAAAAGACCAAAAGACCCCCTTGAATAGGCGACTGGCGACCAAAGCCACAATGATGATTGAAGTGTGTCTTGGTGCTGCCCATTTCTGCTTCCTGTATAATCTAAGCCTAGCCATCTCCGTTTGTCTCGCTATGAAACCTAGATACAAGGGAGACTAATTGTGAGGAGACCACAGGATAGCCCTGAATTGACTAACTTTACAATGGACAGTCACTACTGGCTCCTGCTTAGTCTTGTCCGAGGGCAGAATACTTATGATGCTAACTCCCCACGGAACGGATGTCTCGCACAAACTAACAAACGACCGAGGCACCATCAATATCCCGCGGACAATTATGGACAAACGCTAAACTCGCAAGTTCGCTTTTGTGGATGCGGGTCTGCCAAGGTCGGAACTCCGGATTATGGTTCTTCTGGGAAATATTTCCATGATCCTGCGATCTCGATCGCGAACGTTGTTGTGATGAAGTTGGACCCGTCATCAAGTCTCGATCGATCTCTTCCTGGAACGGCAGTACCGTGGTTTGGCAAACTCTTAGAGAAGGATGAACCCAATCTGGCTCAACTGTGGGAAGCTAAGACGGGATCCGCATGAGCGATCCTTGGTTACGGTGAGACTCATTGTGCCGATATGAGAATCTGGACTAGGCCAATCGCTTCGGCCGCGGAATTCTCGAATCCCACTCGTTGCAGCATCGCTTAGTTCACTCCCGGAATTGGTCTCAGCATTATGCTAAGGGTTTGGTAGAGCAAAAAATATACCGCTTGAGCAGCAGGTTGATTAATCCAGAGGTTTCATCCTGAAGAGGTTTTGTTCTGTCATGGCAACCATCGTGTAAATGACCACCTAGCCGGTCTCGTGTCTAGTTTGCTGTGCAAATGGGCCAATGAACATACTTGAACCCACCTGTCCCTATTGGCGCGTCATCATCCGGCTGAACGTCGAATGAAACACAGGACTGCGCATCTATTTCGCGTTCTCCCCTGCCAGCGGTACGAGTGCGTTCTCTACCATCCCCTCTGGCCAAGTCGATTGCTGATCACGTTTGGAATAGTAAATTGACTCACTGATCCCGTCTATAATTAGTCTGAGTACCGCTCAGCACCTCCGTGTGACCTACAGGCTGCACGACTACCGAATATCCGCAAGCCGATCACCTCGAACGAAGGGAACTGTTATAAGCACCCGAAGGATATAAACCGCATGGACCAAAGAGCTTCTTTGTCTTCATGCGATGAATATCAGCTATACATGCTAGATCTCGCAATTCGATGGTGTGTTGAAGCGCGGCCAGAATAAGGATGGATAGTGGTTGCACAAGCACTAGCTCTTGAGCCAGCGAGGTCGACATCAGAAACTCGGGGCAGTGATATGAACAGAGTAATGCACGCGCAGCCTTGGTTGCTAGCGGGATACCTACACTGATTGAGAGTGCTTCCTGAATGCTTTAAAATGACAAACAGGATCTATACGAGACATCAACACGACCGTGATGCCGCAAACCTAATTGAGCAAAGTTACAAAAGCACTAACGTGCATACGATGCACAATATCTGGGAACAGGACAAACAGCACTGCAGAAGGGTTTGCAGGGATCCTTGTTTGAGACCGGATTCTATAAGATGAATTCCGGAGCCGGAAAACCAATCCCAGGATGCTGTACCGGCAAGGGTATGCTGACAACTAGTTGAGTCGTTTGCTCTACACGTCGTGCATGATGCATGACCCCTCAATTCGGGGCGGCCTTTGAAATAATACAAAAGCAATATATCCTCTACTCTCATGACTCTCGTCAACTCTACCCTTATCCTTCTTAACCACTCTGAACCAGAAAACTTCACCATGTCTTCCGCCACTACCTCTCATGCCGGGAGAACCTATATTCTGACTGGCGGCTGTTCAGGCATCGGCCTGGCCATCCTTCATTTTCTTCTGTCGCAGTCCGCTACCGTCCACGTTCTCGACATCTCCTCCACCCCACCGCAGATCCCCACACATCTCCCCCAGAAAAACCTCCACTTCTATCCAAACACCGACGTCACCTCCCGCCCGTCCGTTCACAATGCCTTCACGCAAATCATTACCACCAACCCCACCATCCACGGCCTCATCAACAATGCTGGCATCGCTAACCCCCTCTCCAAATCGGGTATCGAATCCGATGAGACCTTCGACCGAATCATGGCCGTCAATGTCCGTGGCGTGTGGAACATGGGTACCGAATATCTCTCCCACATCGTGTCGACCGCAGACCCAGGCAACAAAGGACCGAGCGAGGGAAAAGGTGTCATTGTGAACATGGCTTCTACGGCATCATTTCACCCTTCCGTTGGCTTAGCAGCATATACGGTGAGTAAGCATGCTGTGTTGGGGATGACGAGGGCGTGGGCGGTGGATTTTGTCCAGCACGGGGTACGAGTCAATTGCGTGGCCCCGGGGGGTACGGACACGCCGTTGGTGGACGGTATGTTGGATGAGGGGGAAAAGAACCACTATATCAGTCAGGTGCCGATGGGGCGATGGGCGAGACCGGGAGAGATTGCGCATGCGGTGGGGTTTTTGTTGAGTAGCGATTCCAGCTTTATGACGGGTCAGGTGATGGTGGTGGACGGGGGGAAGTATATCTGATGCTGCTATACATCCCCGACTGATCAAGCAAAGAGATTACTATATATTGAAAATGGAACTTGCGGGCAACTGACCGATCCACTGGGCCTAGGGATCTCATTCGCATGCAATTACTATGGATTTCAACTGATAGCCAGAGCTCAAGCATTAATGCCACACTCCATAATGCAGGTACTTGTCCTGTGAAGTGTGAAATGGACTAGGTCGTGACCTGTGGCCATGACCTGTGGTCTCGCGCACAGCTCAAAGGCATTCTAAAAATGTCTCACTAAGCATCTTACAAGGCGCTTTTTAGTGCATCTAGTCAAACACCTTCTAAGAGATCAACAGGGCTTCCAAAGGGCCCTGTCAAGCACTTCCAAAGCGCTCCATTAAGCATCTAACAACATAATACTTGATTTAGACCTACGGCGTGAGTCTACGTTGAGATATGGTTCAGATGTACAGTCTGAATATGCGTTCTGGGGAAGTCCTTGCTCTCCCAACCCCCCTTCCCCTCTGGAGGCAATGGGGAGAGCCACTCAGAAGGCTAAATACATGATACTCATAGACCCCTGAGAAACCGTGGAGCTGTGAACTTCCCATACCCAGGAGCTGGCCTAGTGTTTCTCAGCGCTAGCGCTTCGGAAAACCAAGGTGCGCTTCAATTGTTACCCGGTAGCTCAGCCACAAGAGGCGCGTGACTTTAAGTGAGGCTGAGCTGAATGTCACGTGCAAGGCATCTCCTAAGTGCTTCGTACGATGTTCTCAGGGAGACAGCTTCATCACTGGCCTCCGTCGAGGCCGTCCGTATACGGTCCTCTCGATCAATGTTATGGGCTGTTTGCAGATACCAATTCCATGATGTCTCACGCGCAGAACTGCGACATTCAATCCTCGAGTCCGATCAATGACAGCACCTTCAACCGGCACTTGACGCTTTGGGTGATTGCAATCCTTCGAAGGATCCGACCCCTCAGGGGGACAGTCCTGATGTTGACCGATCGACTTTGCGTCAAGTACGGCGAACACATCGACCTCACCGAGGCAGCCACCATGCGTTTCATCGCACAGAATACATCCATCCCCGTGCCCAAAGTCCATTGCGCGTTCACCCATAGAGGCTGTTCGTACATCGTGATGGAACGGATCCAAGGGGACATGATTGGCGTCGGCTGGGTCTATCGCAGCGAAGAATCTAAGACCAAGCTTCTGACCCAGCTGAAGAAGATGGTGCAGGAGATACGGGAACTCCGGCCTCCTGAAGGCGTAGGGGTCTCATCTGTTAATGGAGGCTCGCTGTTCGATTGTCGCCTGCCGCGCGGTTGTCTACGGTTTGGGCCCTTTCTTAGTATTCAACACTTCCATCGATATTTACGAGAAGACATGGAGCTCGACCCGGGACTGGACAGCGACCTTCAGAACATGATGAAACAACATGATCGGAATTGGCCTATCGTGTTCACTCATGGCGACCTCAGCAGCTTGAATATCCTCGTCCGCGGGGAGGATATTGTTGCCATCATTGACTGGGAAACTGCCGGTTGGTACCCTTCATATTGGGAATATACGACGGCTTGTCAAGTCAATCCCCAGAATTCTTTCTGGATCAACGAAATTGATAAATTTCTCACGCCCATGCCAGACGAACTAGAGATGGAACGAACTCGTCAAAAATATTTTGGAATTTTTTAAAAGAACCAACATAACACTCATATTTCATATAATGGTCTCCTTGCGCTCGATCAAGTCATATGTCGGGGCTTTGGCCATATCAAAATTTCCTTGCCCATCAAAGCGATGCTGGTCTTTCTTTCTTTGACAGTAAGCCATCGATGCATTGCGGACCGTTTCCCAGTCGATAACGCTCGTGCCCAAGGCTGTATTATCTGCTTTGAGCCTCTCCAAAGCTTCCCGTATCCAAACAACGCAGTTCCACCCCACTTGGTCTTGCCTGATGGGGGTTGTGCGCAGGATTTGCACAAGACGGTTCCCATCCTCCACCTTCCCTACCATAACCCGAACAAGCAACATGCTCGTAGCGGTGAGTTGGCATTCGAACTCCTCGAAAAGCCATGTGCTCCCCCCTCCCGCTTTTGGCTTTTCCTTCGCGTGGTACCGAACACCCCTTTTGCCTTCTGTCTCGATCTTCGGGCCAACAATAAACGACCAGTGGTACCTAAATCAAACTCATTAAACGTATTCGCAAGGATAGAAGTTGGGTCTCCTAGACTCACGTATCTTCCTTCCCAGGCATGGTGGGGGCTCCTCCGCGCGCGTAGAGGACAACATATAGACGGTCTTTATTAGACGGCATTTCGGGGTCTCCTGGAGGCAAGAAAAGGCAAAATCCGACTTCATAGAGTACTGTAGTATACGGCTCACACTTCACGAGTCAATTCTTTCACAATTGATGAGCCAGAATTCTGAGGAGGTCTTTATATCCCAATCACTTATCATTGTTCTGAACCTCCTCCCGCTGAGATGTTTCGAATAGCCGCCTTCCTAATGCAGTATGACCAAAAACGCCCAATCGAAATCTACATTAGTCCAACAATGTAGCGCTTCTCGCAGCCAATAATCATGTCCAGATGGGAAGACTACGAAGTCAACAGTCCCGGTAACAGTTGAGGGTGAGTTTCTATTTGATAGACCCATCTATTTGGATCTTTCAGGGTGATAGTATGAGGCTGAAGACAAATGTCAAGGGGAATGTCGCTTCCTGAGGGAGACGACCCCCACTGAATGATTCAGCACCACGGAACGAAGCGTCTATTATATACTCTCGGTCCATTTTTTTTTTCGACAATATCCTACTTATGGAACCCTACACTTATCTCAATTTCATGTTCTTGTTTGACTGTTTCTAGCTTTCGGAAGTTGTAAATGATGGTCCGGGTTGTAGACATTATTCTGGGAAGACTTATTATAGGCACAGGTATCATGGCTGTAATTAGAAAAAGTAACAATCACCCCTTGGACTATGTATATTGATCAGCGTGGCAAAGTGCAGGCAGATGGGCTACGCTTCTTAGACCATTATTATTAGAATAAAGCAAAGTACTCATATATTCTACTTGTCTAGGAAAAATGTTCTAATAACAAGAATATGGGACAAAACTTTAGATTGTAGTTTTTGTAAAGGAGAACAGAACATTTCTTATTTCGTTTAAATGCTTATGACAACTAGCTAGATACTTCATCAACTAGGTATTGATGTTGCTAACGCAAAGGCGCCGAATAGCTGCACGAGACTGTTGATTAGATTTCTTCTGGAAGTGGTGGTCTGTGTGAAGCTGCAAACGATGCTGACAGTTCTACAACCGCGGATAGATTGTGAATATAAGACGAAAGATCGAATAATCAGAAAAGGTGAGTCGGTTCGTGTAACGCTTTCTGTATACCACGTCATATGCGAGCATGAGAGGTGTGCTTGGGTCATGGCAGAGTCGGGAGTGAAATCTCGGGCAAGACACCGGCGGATAATATCCGGTCGACCGTGTCAGGCTGATCTGCTGAGGATCGGGGTGTCCGAAACACGAGCGGGGTAACGTCTCTCAACCCGAGGTTCAGTTCGATTATGGGCCGAGATGGCTTGAGACGGGTTTAGTTTCCGGGGACGATTACAAAGATAGAAAACTGCGATGAACTATCCTAACCAAGAGAGGAAAGAAGCATGGCCAGCTCATCCCATCGGCGGGTCCAGGCGTCCATCGGATTGGCCGATCCCTGTAGGTGGCTGTTACCCAGAGCTGGCGATGCTGGATCGGCGATGGATGGACATGTCGAATTGTACCCTCCTGCGTGACAGGCTATACGGATTATGCTGCATGAAACTCGCCACCGCCAAGATAAGGCCGCCTGGGGTGCAGTAAGATGGATGCTTGCGGAAAGAGGGGTGGCCATGGTAAGCAGAGCGGCAGATTATAAGCAGGCATCCCCCAAGCACCTTGGGGGAATTGCATGATTGACATCATCATATTCCGATCAGGAAAGATGCCTCAGGAACACCATCTCGATACCCTCGTTGTGGGTACTGGCTTCTCGGGCATTTATGCCCTCTACCACCTTCTCAAAGATGGGCTGAATGTCGAGGCTATCGAAAAGGAAAGCGAGGTGGGCGGGGCCTGGTGGGTGAATCAATATCCAGGTGCCCTCAGCGACACTTGGAGTCATGTGTATCGGTACTCCTTCGACAAGGACTTGCTGCAGACTTACCCAGCTGCGAGAACATACTCGTCCCAACCGGAGATTCTGGCCTACCTCAAGCATGTTGTGGAGAAACATGATCTCCGCCGATACATGCATTTCAACACGAAGATGGTCGCCGCCAAGTGGGACGATGAAGCTAAGAAGTGGACCGTTCAATGTCAGACCGGCGACGTCTATCGGGTGAAATACCTAATCACAGCTCTGGGCCCCCTCGTCAAACCCAGCTTGCCCGATATCCGCGGACTTGATACCTTTAAGGGTCAGATAGTGCATACATCTACCTGGGACCCGAGTATCCGAGTGGAAGGCAAACGCGTGGGTGTAATAGGCGTTGGTTCAAGCGGAGTGCAGACGGTGACGGCCATTGCAAGCAAGGTCAAATCGCTCCATGTATTCATCCGCACTCCGCAGTACAGTGTCCCCGCGAACAACAGGCCGATGACCCCCGAGGAGCGCCAGTCGATCAATGAGAGGTACTCGCAGATTTGGTCAGGTGTGATGTCGTCCGCTTTTGGGATGGATTTCCACGAGCCCACAAGAACACTCATGTCTGTGTCGCCGCAAGAGCGCGAAGAGATCCTAGAGAAGATCTGGCAGGCTGGTAACGGCATCCAACTGATGTTTGGGGCCTTCTCAGATGTTGTCTCCGATGAAGCCGCGAATGAGGAAGTGTGCCGTTTCATCCGCAAGAAGATTGCTGGGATTGTGAAAGATCCCCAGAAGCGGGCCGTGTTGACTCCCCGGGAGCCCTGGAATCGACGGCCACTGTCGGATGCTGGGTACTATGAGCAGTTCAACCGGGAGAATGTCTATGCAATCGATATCAAGAAGTATCCCATCACGGAGGCCACCCCCGATGGCTTGCGCACCGCGGACGGAAGGCTCCACGAGCTAGATATCATCATTAATGCCACCGGCTTCGACGCGTTGGACGGAGCCTACGCGGGGATTGACATTCGGGGGCGCAACAAGGGCGAAGGTTTGCGCGACCGTTGGAAGCGTGCCGGCCCTGATTGCTATTTTGGATGCGCCGTTGCGGGATATCCAAACCTGTTGATGATGGTTGGTCCCCGGACTGTCTTTGGCAACATCCCTCCGGTCGTGGAGATCCAAGGTACCTTCTTGAGAAAGCTGATCCGACGGGCGGAGGAGATCTCCGCGCAGACCGGGCGGCAATGTGAGATCGAAGCCACCGAGCATGCGGTGCAGGATTGGACGGAGATCTGTAATCAGACGGCACAAAAGATTGCGATTGGCAAAGGCAACTCTTGGATGATGGGGCGGAACGTGCCAGGCAAAGTAGTCACGAGTCTAATGTTCCTTGGGGGGCTGAATGCGTTCAGAGGCAAGATAGAAGATGCCCAAGCAAAAGGGTTTGTCGGGTTCCAAAGTCCATTGGGGCCAGCCGAAGGAACTGCACGGCTGTAGCTGGCGACTGGGGCGAGTTCTTGCTTTATGAGGCGTTGGTTGCGATCTTGTCATAGCCTTGTCGCCAAATATGATGGAGTTGGTTGAGTGAAGAAGAAGAAGAGAGGTGCCATAGAGATCAACCCAAGTCGTTGACTAGCCTGAGGCACTGTTTGAGCGGAGACCCGGTTAGGCAGGACCCCCCCCCCCTGCTCGGTCGTCGCGTCCCATCTGTTTTCTGGCGCGTCCCCATTGGCTGTAGAGTCAAAGTGGATTTTCGCGATTGTCTCGACATCTCGCTCAATGGTGGGCGTCGATTGGTCGGGGCGAGGCTGTTATGATCGACCCCTTCGTCGGAAGAGTGGCCCGTGATAGCGTCATGATCAAGCCAGCATGTGCATGAACCTTACGATGCAAATACTCACATTGAGTAATCTGCTAAAGTCTTGTTCATACGGCTGAGGACAGCGTTGACAACAGGTAGACTTAGTTCTACGCTACATAGTATACAGTCGAGTATATAAAAGATTGATCGATTGACTTTGATACGAAAAGCGTCATCAGATAACCCATTACACAGTTTCCATTCCACTGCAACAGGCCTAGAGTTTCTATTCGCCGCGAAGGGATATCTTGCACCGTAGCAGGACACACTCCCGGCTCGTCCCACCAATATAATGTAGAGTTGTAGGATCTGTATAGATATCGCACCGGGGACCGTGCAACGGGAATGCTAGTCATCGTACAGGTAACGATGTAACAGGGGGGAAACCTGTATCTTCTCAAGGACAATTGGTGTAGTCTTCCCCTTCCGCGTCCAAGCCGATAAGCCGTGGAAAACAATTCCAAAGATATCCTCCCCGGGGAAGCTTGTCCATAGCACAGCTTATTCATCATAACGATAGGCCTGAGTTTAACCATCTCTCGCAGTGTCGGTGATCCCCGGGGTGGACACTCCCTGATCTTGAAGGTACTTCTTTCTATAACCAGAGCACGTCATAAATTTATAATGTGTTAATAAATAAGGTCTCCGTCTATGGCGTCCATAACTATGGTGTAGTCGGATATGAAGACAGTAGATACCGAGACATATGCTCCGATAAGATATTGGCGGGATCATAAATATCGTGGCATTTTCATTCATTTCGAGAAGAGGTTGATAGATGCTGGAACACGGTATATCTATACCATCGCTGTAAGGATCATGAGCTGCATGACGATAAAAGAGCACCTGGCCGTATTCTTCGAATACGTATCGGATCTCTGTCGGTTTATTGGGGTCCAGCATACGCTGTCAGTGTCAGGTCGCCACACTTTCTTCAAGAGAATGACAAAGCAAAGAAGGAAAAGATAATGGCTGGGGGTTTGTATTGGCTGTAATACAGCTCTCAGGCGTTGTAGTAATATTATACACTATGGGGACTTGGATGGGTCTGCAGGAAAGCGTGGGCTGGAAAATGCAGGGGCAGTCGGTTTAAATCGGATATCCTAAACCTCGAGTAGTGATAGACTGGAGTTAATTTTAGGCTCTATTCATACCTATCTTTCACGGGTTCTTACCTCCGAGCTTGAATTCAAGCCTATTGCTGAATAGAATTGCAAGTCCGTGAATAACACCAGGAAATATGCTGTAGAGGACTATCGCTTTGACTAGTGAAATGTACTCTATGGATTCCGTACTATCCAGACAATCCGAATATGCCTTCAAGCAACCAAGAAATGCCTAATGCTTAACGCTTCTAGCCTTTTGGCTGAATCCGGGTATTTAACCCCGGGGTGATTCTGAAACCGTCAGGGCTCTAACGAGATCTGTTACGGAGCTCGGTCCGCCGACGATCTTTGGCCTTCCACCCGTGCTATTTACCCCAAACCTTTCGTGCCGGAGCTGTTACAGCCATGCGGACTTCCGTTGCAGAAAGCAATCAGACCCTGGTCCTGCCCCATATTGTCAGGCAGAAGACGTCCCAGATATAGCTCCTTTCTTAAGTTGCATCAGCATGGTTCAATTTACCCGCTGCCACACGGCATATAAAGCCGCTTTCTCCAATACAGGAACCCACAACAACAACTCACATCATTCAACTTTTACTGAGCCGAGGCCATATGCAAAATGATCCTAACGCTCTTCCTCACATACCTCCTCGCCACCCTCACCAGCGCCCATGCCATCCTCCCTCGCGCTGGGTCCCTCACCCAAGTCACCGACTTCGGTGACAACCCTACTGATGTAGGGATGTACATTTACGTGCCGACGAATCTGGCCAGTAACCCAGGCATCGTGGTTGCCATTCACTGGTGTACGCATCCACCCCCTAGTCCCGCTTCATATACCAAATACTAACGTAAGAAATGAGATAGGCACCGGCACCGGACCCAGCTACTACAGCTCCACGCCCTACGCGACCCTCTCCGAAACCTACGGGTTCATCGTCATCTACCCATCCAGCCCCTACAGCGGAACCTGCTGGGACGTGAGTTCGCAAGCAAGCTTGACCCACAATGGCGGGGGGAACAGCAACTCGATTGCCAACATGGTGACCTGGACGATTAGCAAGTACGGGGCGGATAGTTCCAAGGTGTTTGTGACGGGAAGTAGTTCGGGGGGGATGATGACCGTACGTATTCCTCATCCTTCCTCTTCTTAACGAGTGAAATGCTCACGAGAATGGTCTAGAATGTCATGGCAGCCACCTACCCCGAACTCTTCGCCGCCGCAACCGTCTACTCCGGCGTCTCCGCCGGATGTTTCTACTCGTCCACAGACCAAGTCGACGCCTGGAACAGCACCTGCGCGGAAGGCGAGGTCATCACGACCCCCGAACACTGGGCGAGTATCGCGGAGGCGATGTACTCGGGCTACACCGGGTCCAGACCCAAGATGCAGATCTACCACGGCAGTGTAGATACCACCCTCTATCCGCAGAACTACTACGAGACGTGCAAGCAGTGGTCGGGCGTGTTTGGGTATGATTATAGTGATCCGGCGGAGACGGAAGCTAATACGCCGGAGACGAACTATGAGACCACGATCTGGGGGGATAATTTGCAGGGGATTTTTGCGACGGGCGTGGGGCATACGGTGCCGATTTTGGGGGATCGGGATATGGAGTGGTTTGGGTTTGCGTAGTTCATATGTCGTGGAGATATTTGCCATAGGGCTCAATATGGGCGGGGAATTGTGAAGGGACTGATAACATATGAAGAAATATCATACAGGATTTCTGAGAAGAGGACATGCATTAGCAGTCAGAGAGAAAATCCGACAGCACTAAGCGATAGACTCCAACCACTTGACGGTCCATCCCCCTCCGCACCACCAACTCAGCCCATCCCACTCGAACTCCTTAATCAACGATAAATCACGCGATAGAGCTACACTTCCATACTGTGTCCAAAGTCAATCGAAGAGGGTCTAATCCCCAACAACTGGAACCCATACAACCGGTGCCGCCAATGCACACAAGCAATCCAAGCCCGGCTCACCCCCATCTTCCCAAAACGAAAGCCTTGATGGCATCGAGAACAAGCAAGATATAACCCATCCCTCCTAACGAGCTTGAATAATCACACCACGGTACTGCGCATAAATCGCCAACAAGTGCCACCGCCTCGTGATAAATTCTCCAAGCCCATATGATCAATCTCCCGGATTATCTCGAAGCAAATCAGGGGAAGTTGCCCTCCCTCCTTGTCAAACTTGCTAGTGATGGTAATATGGCAGAAGCTGCAATGGGTGTTATATGAGGATGGGCCGAGGGTGATATCCGCTACGGAGATATGGGGATAGAGGTAGATGGAGATGTTCTCGAGCACGTCAGGCTCGATTGCGTCCGGCGAGTACTCCTAAGAGCGATTGCCCAGACGCGGAGAAAGCAGAGGGTTTCGATGGAGTCTTCGTCTTCTTCGATCTGCACGAACCGTGGTATTTCAGCGACGGTTTTGGATGGGATGGACGGCAGCGATCGTCACCTGTCTGTCAGCGTTATTCATCACTGGAATCTAGATCAACACAATCCCGAGCCAATCGACTTCAGCGTGAAAATATTCAGAGTACACTGGATAAAGTTCGTATTCAGTATTAATCCAGTCATGAGCGTGCCTTTCAGCATCGCATCGTCTTATTGACACATATTAGTCGTATTCGACAAGTACAATTGGTAACGGCCGTTGCCTTTTCTTGGTCACACCCCATCGTCTTCGCTATCGTATCCCCCATCCCGCATCTTACATATCCTTATTGACCATCACATGAACATCGCTTAGTGGTAAGACGAGTGGCAGATCTGAGGAGCGGTTAGTGATGGAGTGGATTGTTGGTGGAAACATCGACTTACATGGTCACTTCCACAGACGAGGGGAGGGCAGCAGCCTCTTCCACTGGTGAGATTGGTGACGCACGTTTCGTTGGTCAGCTGGGGATGTTAGAACTGCTGCTATCGAACACGAGGTGGTGGCACACTCACTCCAATACAGGAAAGTTCTGTTTTCAGGATGCCGTTCTCAGCGGGTCTGGCGACCGCGAGAGAGGCGAGAAGAGCGACGACGGCGAAGAAACGCATTTTGAGTGTGGCTGGCCAGTTTCGAGAGGTGAGAGAACTGGGACGAGGTGGGGTGACGGAGGTGCGTATTCTGGAGGTTCAAGATCAGGACGGTTAGTGATGTGATGGCAGACTGACGTTGAAAAGACATGACACATACCAGGGCTGCACGAGGAAGAAGTAGAATGGAGGGAGGAACGTGGAGGAAGGAGAAATGGGAGGGAGAAGCGAAGGTAGAAAAAGACCGGCCAGGCAGGGATGACGAAGAGGGCGGTGCCGGTTTTCTTAGGCAGGCTTAGGCGGTTTTCAACAGGTTCAGGCAGGGAGGATGCGGCGGCGATCGATGCTGCTTCCGACCGGGCGTCATAATCAAACTGAGGGCAGGTGAATGCACGATGCAGGCACGAAACAGCCATCGAAGGGATCGGCGCGGGACCCTGGGGTCGAGATCGCCAGGCCCCTCGCAGCTGGACGAGTGACAGCAGACAACCAGCTCCAGCGCCCCGCCATCCACCGGCGCGATCGGCAGCCCCGGTGGCCAATAGTCGCCTCCGCCGCCCGTTGGCGCCAGGGCGACCCCTTGGCGGTGATAATAATGGAGACACGTATGGATACATCGCACCACGTTGGTGGCCCTCGGTGAATTGATGCCGCCAGTGACTCGTCCATTGATAGCGTGATAGCAGAAGATGGCCGCCCTCGGCAAAATGGGGAACGGCTAAGTACGATTCCAGGAGTACGACGAGGTACGATTAGGCTTATCACCCCTCGATAAGATAACCCCTTTATCATCCCCGACCCAATCTTGAGACATTCCGTCCTGGTCGATTAAAACGGAGGATCCTGTCGACCCCTGGGAATGCCCCGGGGATTATGTTAGTCAGCTATATCCCATGCTGTAACTACGCTTGGCCTGCAGTGTGACCCATCCACCATCGAGACAAGCGACAGGGCCCAGGTTGAAACACCAAGCATAACACACGTGAAGCACACGTTGCAGTCGCTCTTCCCGATCCTCCAGACACGTCGGCACCCTTGCCGAGGTGAAAGAGATGTCTCAAAATTGTATGAAGGGCTCTCGGGGATTTCTTGTAACAAGAACCCTTCCTGCAGTTTCCTTGCTCCATATGACTTCGTATATTCTTCCAACACTCACCGGAGCCTGACGTCATTGCTCTGCCTGATATGTCTGATGCAACACCGAATCGGCCTGATAGTATTGATATAGCTGATATTTGTAGTCTGGGCTTGGCATTCGCAGATCGATATCTACATTGGTAGCACTTTTCATCTCATTGTGGGTTTGAGCTATTGTGCCAGTGACAGTCAGCAGAATGAGCAACGGAGCGGCCAAGAGGCCCGGACTCCAACGTGGCATGAACCAATGGGAGCCGCTGTCTGGGAAAGTGCCGAGACCGCTCCGACGTCCGCGCGCACCAATCACCGGCCATTCCGTCGGGGCTCCGATTTTTCCGCTGTGAAGGGTCTTTTGATGCTCTGGCCGCACTAGTGGCTGACTGAGTTCAATGCCTAAAGACTAACTATGATAGAGGTGAGCTTTGACCGCGGTCACGTCATCTAGGGGTATAATGGTCTGGATTCAACCATGTCTGTTCGGGTTGTGGATACGGTGTGGCGGTATTGGATGATATGAGGACATGCTGAGCTGGGTAGAGAAACACTATAATACTCTCTAGGTATCTGATACCAGGTGGGAATGTGAGGAGGAGCCCTTGTTTGTATAATGAAGCATAAGAGGTCGGGGAAGAAAACTGCACAAGGCATACGCCTACGTTTTATTAAGGTGCAGGTGGCTGTCATCAATCAACCATCTGCCTTAGTTACCCGGCGTATCTGACAGAACACAATGCTCGGACCAGCCACGTCCACTGACAGTCTGCTGTCTGACAGATATAGAGGGGTAGCGTTGATTAGCCTGGAGTGAACCAGCCACCTCCAGACTAAGACAGTACTAACCGAACTGAAGGAACGAGTCTTATACCCTGCATACAGACACAAATCCTCTGAGCCCATGGATAGGGCGATGGCGCAGGATTCTGACATCTGGCTGATGGGCAACAGACAGGTCACTGGAGTCGATTCAATGGGGTTGCCTTGAAGGGTGGTTGTCGCTGGCTTGGCGGGCGAGTGAGTGGCCTCGCGGGTGAGACACGCATCGTACCGACCCCGTCAGCAGCAGCACCCAGGCTATTTTTGGCGCCCCGTCCCTTGATCAGGCTAGTCGGCCCGAGAATGGGCGGGTGCCTTTTTTGGCCCCGTGACGGATGAACTGCTGAGTGACCTGATGGTGACCAGATAGGAACCTAATGGTGACTCCTCGAGGGGCAACTACCGCCAGTAGGGCCTCGGTAGTCCCAAGGTCGCGAGGGCGGGAGGGGCAGTACCGTTACTAGTGCCATACCCGGGGGCACCGCTAGCCGCAATTGACTTCCTGGCGCAACTCTGGTCCCGAGCAGCTCCTCGTCTTCCTCCCCCCCATCCGTTTGCCAATCCCACTTTCTGGCTTTTCTCTCTTTCATCCATCTCTCGCTTTCTGGTCAGCGCCCCAATACACCTTCGTTTGCCCCCTTCGCTGCGACGGTGCCCTGCGTCATGGAACCCGCCCGCTACATTCTCCTAGGACCCATCGTTTAGCGTTTCTGCAAGGTAGGCATCGACCTGCCTCCGGTGGATCCGATTTTCCCTGTGCTGACCCATCATCCTTCTCCAGCTTCTCCACATTCCTCAGTCCCTTGTCCCGATCAACCCTCGTTGCCTTGCGCCCACCGTTCGTTTGCAGCATCGCGGTCTATCTTACCTCCGGCTTCAGGTCCAATGCATAGCCCTCAACTGATCGGATAACCTCGGGCTGGTCACCTTTTCGCTCTCAGTTTTGCATACTGGTCCATCACGAAGTGAAGGTATATAACGGAGATTTTACTCAAATCTCCAATCCGGGTTTGATCATGGCGCAGTCGGTAGCTGGCGGTTATCCCCAGCCACCCTCTTCCCCTCCTCCGGTGTATCTCCGTTCTTCCCCTCCCATCCCCCCCGTGCATCGTGAAATGGCCCGACGCGACAGCTCCAATCACCTATCGAGCACAAACCCTCGCCGGAAGTCGCTGCCGGTCCCCTCATTAACGGCGCAAAATGAGAGACAAAGTCAACCATACTCGGTTCCACGAGTGAGAATTCAAGGCGAGAGTGACCAGCCCGTGGTGCACGTTCACGATGATGAGACGGACCTGCCTACGGATTCGTTTGCTAATTTATCCGTCTCGGAGGAGCCTCAGGCGCATGAAAAGAGCATCAACGGGTCATCCCCCCACCAGGCGGATATGCATGGAGCCCCGCGGCCACCAGAACATGCGACATACGGGCACACACCCACCAGCAGCGCCTCGTGGTCGGTGGTAGATCCCCAGGCTCAAGACGATAGTCTGGCAAATACCAGCACATCATCCTTGGACCAAGGTGCCGCCAAGGACAGTGAAACCAGTTCCCCGCGGGACAGTCTCGACAGCGCAGGACAAACATCGGAATTCTGCGAGCCACTGCACTACCACCATCGCCCTTATGAAGCTCCTCAGCCCACCAATCCGTCATCATCCAGTGGCTCGACCGAAAATCTTCCCAAAGCGAACAGTCGGCCAGGTGCCAAGCATCGCTCGCAATCGACGTACTCGATCGGTTCGGACCTGGGTGACAGGCGGAGGTCTTCCCAGCCCTCCCCATACCTCCTCGCCAATGGAGCATCCAGGGACTCTAGCGTATCTCCGGACGTCCGGCCCGTGTCATTTGTCGAACAGCTTAACAGTTGTTATCCTCAACCCGGCCCTGCGCCTGTACAATTCGGCAATTCCCATCTGCAATCCGCCGTCGGTAATAATGCCTCCTTGCTCAGTCACAAACAAACTTTTGATATGTATCTGGCCAACGTCAAGAAAACTGATGACCCGGCGATTCAATATGAGTTTGCGATTTTCATGGTCAATGCGATGCTAGAAATGCCTCCTGACGGGGTGCAAGGCCAAACGGCCGTGGAAATCACTCGCGCAAGCCTGTTGCGAGAGTCCAAGTCAATCCTCCAGCGTCTGTCAGACCGCAGCTATCCCTTTGCCCAGTACTATCTGGCTGACGGGTACGCCTCGGGGTTGTTCAACAAAGGAAATGAGGATTACGATCGGGCATTCCCATTGTTCCTGGCGGCAAGCAAACATGGACATGTTGAAGCATGTTATCGGACGGCGCTGTGCTACGAGTTCGGATGGGGTACCCGAGTTGAAGCCACCCGAGCGCAGCAGTTCTACCGCCAAGCCGCATCCCGAAACCATCCGGGTGCCATGTTACGGATGGCCAAAGCCTGTCTGGCCGGTGACATGGGGCTGGGAAAGCGGTATCGGGAAGGAATCAAGTGGATGAAGCGTGCCACGGACTCCTCCGATGTGCAGTACAATTCCGCTCCTTATGAGTTGGGACTCTTACACGAATCGGGCTATGGCGATGACGTATTTCCCGATCCTTCCTATGCAGCCCAGCTGTTTACCCAATCGGCGGATTTGGGCCATGTGGAGGCCAGCTATCGCTTGGGTGATGCGTATGAGCATGGCAAACTCAACTGCCCTCGGGACCCGGCTTTGTCAATTCATTTCTATACGAATGCTGCGCAGGGCGGACATCCTCTGGCCATGATGGCACTATGTGCCTGGTACCTCATTGGCGCAGAGCCTATCCTCGACAAGGATGAGGATGAAGCATATGAATGGGCCAAGCGTGCGGCGGAGACCGGTAAGGCGATGCCAAAAATGTACAGCCGGAATGCTAACACTGATGTTACAGGCCTTACGAAGGCGCAATATGCAGTGGGGTACTTTACGGAGACCGGTATCGGCTGTCGGCGAGATCACCTGGCCGCCAACGCTTGGTATGTAAAGGCAGCCGAACAAGGCGACGTGCGGGCCAAGCACCGCATTGCTGCCATTCGAGCCGCTGCCGACGGGATCAAGCCTGAAAAGGCCATATCGGATGCTGCAAACCAGGAAAAGAAGACAGGTAATTATGATGCCTTAGTTATACCCATCTAACTTTATACCCATCTAACTTTATGGCAGAAGGAAAGACGAAGCGATTTCGTATATTCTAAGTGATCTACTACTACCTTGAGGGCACACATGCATCTCAATACATCTTACCTAAACCATCTGTTGGACAAGGCATCTACACAGTCATTGGGCGCACATACTGGCATTTCTTCTTTTTGATTTAGTCAAGCGACTGTTTCGAGTCAAGCGATTTTATTGCAGCATCATTGGGGTTGACATGTACAAACTCTGTATTTGAAGAATGTGCTTACACATAATGGATCTACATCATATCTGGATTGGTTGGCTAATTCTTCAGCCATGCACAGGCGGTATATCCAAGTGGGCCAGGGTATGCTCAACATATGGCAGGTGGCTGATAGAGAGGAATCAAGCACCGGCGTAGTTACTATTCTTAGCCCGGGGAAGAATCGGGTTGGTGATGATGATTGTATTCAAAACAATACACTGGACGACCACAGGCGTGGGTGGTAAACAAGAGGAGAGTCAACACTGCACAAACAACTAGTGAGAGGTAATCACATGACCAGCACCATGCCGGATGCTGTCAACACGTGACTCTAGCCCTTGCCCTCTCCGTCTGCATGGGAGAGAATTCCAATCATCCTGCTGGTAACACAGATGGACTCCATGTGGAGGACCCTGTGGGCTGTGCGGCAAGATAGGCCACCGATGGACCAATCAGGCCCGAGGGAGAGATAGTTATCTGGGGAAACCGGAGCGATATCAGATAAGACCCCATATCAATAGCCGATCGAGGGTTGATAAGGGCGGCCTCGCCGACTGTTTTCTCCTCGACCTCCGCCTCTCTGAGCCATGAACAGCACCCGTGCCACCTCGGACACGATAATTAGCCTCAGCGTGCCGTGCAGCCGACCATTACCGGTCAGGATCGACTGGAGACATTGCGGGGGTGGGGTAGCCAAGCATGCCCCCCGGATTTGCTCCGCCTGGCCGCCTTTCTTCCTCCTCTTCCACCTCAGTTTCCTTCCTGACCGAAGCTCATATCCTCCCAGCCATGCCATCCTATCAGCCATTCCAGTGCGGAATCTGTCTCCGCCGCTTTACCCGACATGAGAACCTCAAACGACATTCGGCGCTTCATTCCCGTTCTCGAAATGACGTGTCTCTGCCGTGTGAGTTGTGCCAGGCAACCTTCTCACGACCGGATCTACGACATCGCCATATGAAGAGGAAGCACTCGGAGGATGCGCAGAGGCGGACTAAGAGACCCAGACGGGACGAGTTTTCCGTACGGTCTACAGATAGTGGCAGTTTGCCGCTTGAGGATCTCGCGGACAGCGAGACGGAGATGGATAACCAGCTGCAAATGCCGCCCCAACCAAACCAGAAACACCACACAAGTGCCGACATATCTAGATCAGCCACAATGGAGAAGGGCGATCAGACTCAGCTCGACACACCCACTCTGACGCAGCTGGCGTCCATTATGCCAGATGCGACAGACATGGAACAGGTGCTGCTCGCGACATTTCTCAAGCCAGCCGACCAGTGTCCCCAGTCGCCTGCCATGACGGTTTTGCGGTCTCCGTCTCTGGACATTGACCTCAGTGACTTTGACTTTGCTCATGACATTCCTGGTAGCCCGATGAAAGACGGCTTCCCCCAGCTTCAGAACGATTGGACCCCATCGGCCCTGCAGATCACACACGGCTGCGGCCTGTTCTTTCATCATGTCGCCCACTTTGTCCCCTTTCTGCACCAACCAACATTCGACTCCACCACACTGCCATCTTACCTGCTCCTCGCCATACTCTCTCTCGCCTATCAATATGGCGATGACCCCGACTGCGAGGCTGGGGCAGACACCGGTGCAAGCCTGTCGGCCCGGTGTTTCCTCCAAGGGTGCACCCTTCTCCCCTCTATCAACGCCGTCTCCAACCCGACCGATCAGCTCGCCCTCATCCAATCTCTCCTGCTCCTTCAAATCTGCACCATGCTGTACCGCTGCGAAAACTCCGCCCATGGCTTCCAACTACATGCAACCATGATCGGCCTCGCGCGCTCCTCCGGACTCATGCAGTCGACCCCCACGGAATCTGGCCAGACATCGTCGCTCGACTCGCTGTGGCAGGAATTCATCAAAGCCGAGTCCCACAAACGAACCCTCTTTGCGGTGCACCAGATGGACGCTCTCTGGTATCAACTGTTCTCCATCCCGCGGGCTATCTCCCACCTCGAAATCAAACATGACCTCCCCTGTCCCGAAGACCACTGGTCGGCCTCCTCCGCTGCTGACTGGGCCCATCGCCGACTCCTCGCCCCTCAACATCCGGCCAACATGCAGTATGCCGACGCCGTCCGCCACTTCCTCTCGACCGCCACCCTCACCACCCTCCCTAGCATCCCCCCATTTGATCCCTACGGCGCCATCAGCATCGCGCACTTTCTCATGTCCAGCGCGCGTGAACTCTCGGGTTGGTCTACTATGACTGGCATGCTCAGCATAGAGCGTTTCAGCGCATTACGCTCTTCTCTTGTCGCCCTGGGCGCCTTTCTCCGTCCTGCGAACCCCAGCACCACCACTGTCACCGCCACCGCCCCAGCGACGTGGGAAACCGCCATGCTCGAACTTCAGGTGTGGTCCCCGTATCACACGGGGGGCATCATCAAATCCAGCATTGATACCATGCTCCAGCAAGCCACGGATCTGGCTCCGTCGGCAGGGGGGGTTCTCTGTGAGGCCGAGACGGCCAAGGCCTTCCAGCCACATGTGGATTGGTTCCTGCGGTATCTGGATACCACGGTGGAGGTGGCAGGAGAGGCGCCGTGGGTAGCATTGTACGCGTACCGGGCGTTTCTGGTGGCGTGGCAGTTGGTTCGAGGAGGCGTGCCGGGGGCGATGGGGGTGGTGGGGGTGGGGGATGGGGATGTGCATGGGGCGGTGGAATGGGCGCGGAAGGTGTTTCGACGGAGGGAGAGATGGGGAGTGGGCCGGATCATCGGGGGGTGTTTGGAGAGGTTGATCTGATACTCTGATGTCTCATCTCTCTCCAATACCATATCACATCACGATCAACCCTCTAATCGCCCCACATCCCAAGAATCAATCAACTTAAAAGATACCTCATGAGGGTCTATAATTCATAGTATCATTACATCCTCACGACCTCGCCGTCTCAAACTCCGCAATATACCAATTCTGAATCGCCTTCGTATCCCCCGTAATCGCCACCGTATCATACGTGGGCCTCGCCTCCTTGGCCAAACTCCCATTATTGACCATCCTCCCCGCCCACTTCCCATGCCTCCTCGCCGCCGCGACAATCTTCTCCACGGCCGCCACAAACTCCGGCTCATCCCCCCTGGCCGGCACATACCCCAACAACGACTGCGCCAAATCATTCGGTCCAATAAACACCAAATCCACGCCCGGCACGGCACAGATCGCCTCGACATTCTCCACCCCCGCGCGGGTCTCAATCTGCACCATCGTCACGATGGTCTCGTTCGCCGCGAGCATATACTCGGGCGTGGTTAGGGCATGGCCGATGGCCGGGAACGCCGATCCTTGTCCGCGCACGCCTTGCGGGGGGAACTTGGAGGAGGCCACGACTTGGGCGGCTTCCTCGGCGGTGTTGATCTGCGGGACCATGATGCCGTGGGCGCCCGTGTCGAGGGCGCATTTGATGATGTCGTGGCTGGGGCCGCGGATGCGGATGATCGGGGAGACGCCGAGGGAGGAGATGGCCGCGACGGAGTTGTGCATTGCGTCGTCGCTGATGTGGCCGTGTTCGCAGTCGATGATGATTCCGTCGACGCCCGTCAGGGCGATGATTTGCGCCATGCGGACCGAGGGCAGCGCCATGAAGGTCATGAGGGGGTAGGTCCCGGCTCGGAGCTTGTTGAGGAGCCGGAGCCGGGGGTTGGTGATTTCGGTGGTGTGTGCGGTGGGGTAGGTCATTGTGATCGTGCTTAGGTTGGTGGTGTGGATTGGTGGTGATGGATGGTTAATTGGTGTGTTAAGTATGTCAAGTTGGGGTGTAGCGGAGGTTAGGGCCGGGAGGAGCTCCGCCCTGATTCTCCTCCTTGAATCTCTTCCACTTCTCCTTCTCCTCTCACTCTCCACTTCTCCTCCTCCTCTCACTCTCCACTCCTCCACTTCGATCTGACTGCCAGCTGAAGCTACAGATAACGCTAGTGCCTCCTCCCGTCTTATCTTCAGCAGCAACCAATGACTCACCGTGGTTTGTCACCGACCGCCTCAATAGCCGGTCGGCATTCAATGATCGATACGAAGCTGCCGCCACGATAATGACCTTTGACGTCCTTAATATCAAGTCTCCGGAACCCTCAGTACAGTCACTCGAATCCATCACGTCACTATGGAACTGGACAAGAAGCGCCCTTCGTCCCTCAAGTCGGAGGGCAATGTCTCTGCCGCAGAGGGACAAGTTGATGACATTATTGCAGCATACCAACGGATGCCAGAGTCTCTCCGCAGCATCAGCCAAGATGAACTCGATCGTCTCAACCGGAAGATTGTCCGCAAGGTCGACCTCATGGTGCTTCCCACCATTGGCATCCTATACATCCTGAACTACATCGACCGCCAGAACCTCGCCGCCGCCAAACTACAAGGCATCACCGAAGACCTCCATATGACGACCGACCAATTCGCCACGGCCGTGTCCATCCTGTTTGTCGGCTACCTCCCCTTTCAAATCCCCAGCAACCTCCTCATCACCAAAATCGCCCGCCCCGGCATGTACATCTGCCTGGCCGTCTCCATCTGGGGCTGCATCTCCGCCGCCACCGCCGCCGTGCACAACTACAGCCAATTGCTCGCCGTCCGGGCCATCCTCGGCATCGCCGAAGCCGTCTTCTTCCCAGGAGCCATCTACTACCTCTCGGCCTGGTACACCAAAGCCGAGCTCGGCAAACGCATCGCCGGTCTCTACATCGCCCAACAAGTCGGCAACGCCTTCGGGGGCCTCTTCGCCGCCGCCATCCTCCAACTCGACGGCATCCACCACATCGCCGGCTGGCAATGGCTCTTCATCATCGAAGGTTCCGCCACCGTCGGCATCGGCATCCTCTGCGCCTGCATCATGCCCGAATTCCCGCACAACAGCCGCATGCTCTCCCCTCTGGAGCGAGACCTCGCCGTCTGGCGCATCGAATCCGAAGCCGGCGCCGCGGAATCCAACGATTCCTCCCCGGCGGTCCTGCGTGGCTTCCTCGCCGCCCTGTCGGACCCGAAACTCCTCCTCCTCATCTTCGCCAACATGCTCTCCCAAGTCCAAGGCTCCATCGCCAATTACTTTCCCACCCTCGTCGACTCCCTCCACTTCTCCTCCACCATCAGCCTCCTCCTCACCGCCCCGCCTTACATCCTCGCCGGCATCGTCTACTACGCTCTCATGTACTACTCGGACCGCCACAATACCATCTACCCCATCATTCTCCTCCTCCTCGCCATCTCCATCGCCATGTACATCATCCTGCTCAGTACCGTGAACATCGGCGCCCGCTACTTCGCCATGATGATCCTGCCGTTTGCGTCCGTGGGTCCGCAACTCCTCCTCTACAAAACGATTAATCTGCATCTCGCGCGACCGGTCTCGAAACGCGCCGCGGCCTCGGCGCTGGTAAATGCCATCGGCGGAACGAGTAATATCTGGGCGTCGTATTTGTATTATTCCAGTCCGCGGTTTGATGCGGCGTTTGGCACGCTGCTCGGGGCGGGGGTGTTGTTAGCGGGGACCGTGACGGTGTATCGGTGGTGGGTGTTGCGGGAGAATCGGTGGTTGGATTCGGGGGAGCCGGAGTTGGTGGCGCGCGTGGTGAGGGGAGGGGTGACGGAGGAGATGGTACAGATGGGGTGGCGGTATGAGATGTATTGACATTTGCCCGGGAGAAGTAATTTGTGTGGGGTCATAGCTAGACAGCTGGATATGAAGATCTTGTCTCATCACAGCAGATGATATGGGTTGTTAGGAAAGGAGGGAGTATACCCTCGTAACTAGTAACTGTGGATTCAGTCGGACTGGTTAGGGCTGTGACTACTCAGGCCATTCCCATACCCTTACCCAATCTACAGTCCTACACCACCACCACCATCCACATCATAACAAAACACATATCCTCATCCATAAATTCCATCTAATCTAATAAATCAAGGGTATTAAACCTGCGCAATACACTCCACCTCAATCACCGTCCCCTCCCCCGGCGGCAACGCCTGCAAACACGACCTGGAAGGCATCGGCTTCGGCAAAAACTCCACGTAGACTTCATTCATCGCCGCGAAATCTTTCATATCTGCCAGATAGACATTGTATTTGACGACTTGTTCGAGGGATGAGTCGGAGAGTTCGAGGACTTCTTTTAGGTTTTGGAGGACGGTTCTCTATCTCCCGTGTAGGTATTAGTTGGTGGATTGATGGGGGGGATGGGGGGAGGAGGGAGGGGTACAGTGGCTTGTTTGATTTCTCCGGTGGCGGTTTGGCCGGCGAGGAAGACGAGGCCGGGGATTTTGACGGCGGGGGCTGTATTTATTAGATGGGTTGGATTGGATATACGGGGGAGAAAGAATGCCCAGGGTGTGTTTGGGGGGTGTAGACGCACAGTTATGAGGTTTGGGAGGGAACTTTTCGCTGGAGATGAGTTGGCGGGACATGATGAACGATAGTCAATTGAGTGAGTTTGGTTGTGAGAGGATGAAGTGTGGATTATGGAAGTTTAAATGCATGGTGTGAGGAATACTGGGGGGCGTGCCAAGCGGAGGAGCTCCTCCCATCTTATCGGATCTGCGTTATCGATCGGATAACTAGGTAACACCGCTATGCCAAGCCCTCGATAAGGAGAATGACTGTGGAGAGGAAAGACGATAAGCATTTGGTGATGGTATTCTACGTGAATGGAGGCATATTCTGGGCTCCTATGAGGAGCTCCCATCATATGTTCACGGTATCAGGATAGATGTAGGGTAGTCGCAATCTTGGATATAAGTATCGCTGGATAACGAACACACGAGGAACAAGATATCAAGATACCACCATCCAAAGTACTCAATTAAATCACATCATGGCACCCACTCCTCCATTCAACCCTCCCTCCGCTGACCTCCCCGGAAAGCCTTTCGTGCCCGAATGGATTCCCCCGGCCGTGACCAAGGAGAAGCACAACTTTGCGCAGCTCAAGTCGATTGATCTGTCACTGCTGGATTCCGAGGATCCAGCGGTCGTGGACAATCTGATTCAACAGGTCAAGGTGGCTATTCGCGATGATGGCTTCCTCTTCCTGGAAAACTACGGAGTCTCATTGGAACAGGTAAGATTCCCCCTGACCTTGAAAGCACCGGCAGACTAACATGGTTCAGCTGCACCGCCAATTCGCCCTCGCTCAATACCTCTACAACAACATCAGCGAGGAAGACAAAGAGCGACTTCTTTTCGACCCCGACACGGGCGTCTGGTCGGGATATAAGCATCCTTATGGATTCAAGGTGCCCCCATGCCCCCCCCAACACAGCCCTAATTACCATCATCTAACCCATGCAACAGCGCCACCGCGGCCCCCCCGACGGCATCGAGCAATTCAACTGGTACAAGCCCGACTGGGCATCCCCCCAAACGCGGGTCCCTTCCTGTCTGCACCCCTTCATGGACGAAATCGAATCCTTCGCCACCTACCTCACCCAATCCGTGAACCGCCGCCTCCTGACCCTCTTCTCCCGCGTCCTCGAACTCCCCGACGACTACCTCTGGCACCACGTGCAATCCCACGGCAGCCCCACCGGCGAAGGCTACTTCCGACACGCGCTCTTCCGCCCCGTGCCAAAACAAACCGAAGAAGCGTCCAAGGGACTCCGCATGCACGGGCACACGGACTTTGGTCTCACGACGCTGCTGTTCTCCGTGCCCATCAGTTGTCTCCAGATCTGGGGCCGCGATGAACAGTGGTATTATGTGCCGTATAAGCCGGGGGCGTTGGTGATTAATATTGGGGATACCTTGGAGATTGTCTCGGGGGGACATTTTAAGGCGACGAGGCATCGGGTGTTTCGGCCGCCGGTGGATCAGAGACACGAGGAGAGGTTGAGTTTGGTGTTGTTTAATAGTTCGGTGGGGGGGTTGAGGATGCAGCCGGCTTATGGTGAGTACATACCCCCCTTTTTTTTTATCGCTTGAGATGTGTGGGAGTGGAGAGGTGCTGATGGGGGTAGAATCCCCGCTTATTCAACGGGAAGGCTGTGTCGAGGAACAGGGGGTGTATAAGGAGTTTCGGAACCTCACGGCGCAGGGCAAGTTGGTCCCGACGAATAAACAGTGGCGAGAGATTCAGATCGCGACGGTCACGGATCCCACGGATACAGTGCGGAATCGGGTCGGGGCGGATCAGGTGTTGATTGATGGGAAGGTCATGCATCAGAGGGAGTATATGGGGGTCAAGGTGGTGTTGCCAGTGTAATTGCGGGTCTGGTCTGGGAGATGGGTCTGTGAATGGAATGAATGTTGGTGCATTCGATGTGATTTCGTTGTTGGTTAGTTGCATTACGAAGATGAAAACGGATAGCCGGCTTCTAGTCCATATAGTTCTTTTATGGGCATGTGCCCGGTCAGCATTCGAGGTAACTAGTCGTAACTACCGAACAGCAGCCTAATACAATAGAACTCATTTTTCAGTAGCATCCAATACATACGACCATAGGGTGTGGAGAACAGGGCTTCCCGTCCGCTCAGCCGTACTTAAGCCACACGCCGGGAGGTTAGTAGTTGGGTGGGTGACCACCAGCGAATCCCTTCTGTTGTATGTATCCCTTTTTCATTTTTTTTTCGTAAAAAAAGGGGGTTGAGAATTCTGGCTGGTACGTGCTGTAGGACGCGATGCTACCTTTATATAGACGCATATGAAAATTACACGTGGTGTACATTCCAACTGGCATTGCTGTCAACTACGTATTAGATAGTATTATTGATAGTAGAATCAATCCTTCCCAGTTCCATCCCCGTATCCACCTCCAGCACCCAAATCCGTTCACCGTCGGCAGCGACACCAGGGTGAAAATGATACTGCTGGTCCCCGTCACCCTCCAGAGTCAGCCCTGTTCCCCCCACCCACGGCACCAACGACCCAATCGCTTTCGGAATCCGAGGCGCATCGTACCGGTTATAGTAGCACCAGAACACGGCGACGAGGCCAAGGATATCCACCGAAACCACCGCGATGATGATCACAATGGCGGTAGTAGAGGGACCGAGCCCCCACATGGTATACACGGTGGTACCGGGAATGGGCACGGGAGGGCCTTCGGGGAAGAGTTGGGGGCGGTGGAGGGTGAGGTAATTGGCGAAGGTTCTTTGGTAGAGGGATTGGGTGGCGTGGGTGAGGTCTTGGACGGTGCTGTTGGTGTGGCCCTGGCGCGCTGTCTGGTAGAGGGTGGTGGTTTGGTCGTTGGGGAAGGAGGAGAGGTAGTACGGCAGGGGGTGGGGATGGACGGTGAGGTTGTGGATGAAGGTGCCGAGGTTCTGGTTGAAGGTTTCGAGGGCCGTGGAGAGGTTTTGGTACAAGGAGTCGGTGGTGACCGGGAAATCGGAGGGAATGGAGGTGTGTTTTAGGATTTGGCCGGTTGGGGAGACTGGACCTCGGAGGATTCGATGGTGAGGTGCGGGCTGCAGGAGAGAGCTGTGGAGGTGTTGTCGGGGGAGAGTGAGGCGGAAACCAAGAAGCTGAGTCTCTGGCAGTCGGAGGTGTCGGGCCAGGCGTATTGGATTCGGGGTTGGTCGGCATCGGTGAGGGGTTGGGAGACGTGGCAGTGGCGACGGCGATGGCTGGACAGGGTGTAGGACCAATGGACTGTTCTGGTGTCATCGTCGATGATTGCATTGGTAGGTGGGACTGTCTCACACACAAGGTAGGTGCCAAACCCTCGCGTGGTGGCGGTCGATTGTACCCCAATGGAGCCCTCGAGGACGCCGGTCGTGAATGGGAGGAATGACATGTTGCTCGTGGTCCATGGCAACTCGGACTGGCTCATCGTCCCGGGATAGATTGTGCGGTCATAGCTCTGGAAATCGGGGCGCAAAGCTTGGTCGAGGAAGATGGAAGTATGATATACAGTGTTGAGGTTGGCCGGGGAGGCGAAATACGTGAGGAGCTGTGGCTCGAACAATCCACCACTCACGACAAGTAGGCTCAGATTGAGCAGGCAAAGCACTGACAGACCCAAGACAGCAATGGAAGGTCGGGGCCCTTCTCGCAACCACATACACAGTGCAGTCATAGGGGCATGGCTCGGCACCGATAGTCGCTTCGACGAGATCGGCCCTTGCCGCAGCCAAATCCAGGGTTCAGTGACACTGAAATGCCGGTGGAGCGAGTTGGAGAGGGAGCAGACCATGGAAGCAAGCATGGTCGGCCCATAAATCAAGCATATCACCGATATTTGAAACCGGGTCGAGGTGACGGACTCGAGGGTATGTATTTTGATCCATCTGGATGCCAATCCCAATGCTGTGACCGAGCCCGAGAGCACGACACATTCTATCATAAACCACGGCAGGGTTAGGAAGTGCGGCATGCGGTCATGGCGTCTCGATGCCGCTGGAAGGGGACACATTTTTGCGGGATACCCGTCCATCGAGCATAATTCAAGGCGTCGATCGCCAGTGACTGTGGTCCACTTGCACCATAGACCCTTGGCCCACTTTCGCAGCGCCCTCGTTTTGGCCACATGGTAGCTGGGGTGGGACAAGGTATGAAGGGTTTCCGGACCGATTAGACGAGCGACCAGACCGCACTGTGCAGCAATTGAGCTAGGGTCCCCCTGGAGGAAACTTGGACGACGAGGGTAGATGTAGCCCAGGGCCAGGAGCAGACCGAACCCCAACACCATGATTACTTCAACCATAACCGCCGTCTGATGGATCACCGCGATGGCCAAGGCGTATGTGAAGTGATTAGCGTCCACCCGGACGGCGTCGGCGTGCTGATCGAAAAACATGTTGATCGCGTCCAGAAACTCGTTATTCCAAAGATCGGCGATCTGTTTCTGGTATTGCGTCAGAGTGAGACTCTCCGTATCGCCAGCCACAGCCACGGGGGAAGACACCAGGGGCCGGCTGAGATTGGTGAGACTGTGGTCCATGAGGAGCCCTGCCGCGGCACGCTCCGAGTACATCAGGTTCTGGAATCCGTGGATGCTAAACTCGGTGTCTGTCAGGTCGCGTACAGTGGAAGGAAGGATGTCAACGGTAGTGAGGGTAGACTTGGAGTCCAGTGAGATGTTAGCGATGGCCTGTCTATACACCGGCTGGCATGCAAGCGCGATCACACTCGATTTCAGCAACGTTTCAGACTTTATTGTCAGGTCTATCATTACACCTAGTAGCCCAGTTGAAGGGCATTCGGTAACATTCTAGGCGGATGAAGAAGACGAATCCCGCCTGGAGTGAAAAGGCTCCCAATAACGTGCCTGAAAGCTGCCGTCCTCGAACGGAATGAGAGTGTCTAGAGCGATGCTGATGTTACAGCTGGACTTTGACTTTGTCCCAGCTAATGCGAGGCCGGAGAGATTCCACGAAAGTCCGCGTGCTCTGGTCGGGTCTTCAGTGGTAGTGACATCGAACAAGGTACTCGATGCTGCTGCTGTCACGGTGGCATTCCTGCAGGTCATGTCCGACCAATACACCGGTTGGTCCAAGGCCAAGCTTGACAGCCCATCGCTATCATCCGCTAGGATTGCGACAGGAGCAGTAGCATAGGTTGAGTTCCCATGCCCCCGAGGAAGATTGCCACGAGGATTCTGTGACGTGCTCCGGTACGCGGCTTCGATTGCCAACCAGTTTTCCTGGACGTCCAGATCCACCAGCTGCGGCCATGTATCCACTTGTCTCCTTTCCAGCACCTGAATCGATACCAGGCCAACGAGCCCTGACAGTAACGACGGGGCTAGGTCCTGTATAAGCAGAGACATCACCGAGACCCCTAGCACGAGCCAATGACGGTTTCGCGCGGCGCGAATCGGCCGGAGGAACCCAGCGTCGAAATTGTAATCGAGGAATAGCACACTGGCAGGCGCTCCCTTGGGATTGGCTAGCTGGAAGTAGGGTTCCAGACGAAAAGCTTCTTGGGCGAAGCCTTGCCAAGGAATCAAGGCGACCAGGGCAACGATGGTGGGGGCATTTCCCCAGGCTTGCCATGCAGATGACGATAAATCTTCCACCTTTTGGTATTGCACGAGACCATTATGGCGATTGGACAACTGACGGAGGATCTCGACGGCAAGGGCGATCAAGAGCAGGAGAGCCGACAGGGCAAGCAGGTAGGGTCTGCGGAGAGAGGGTGGGAGCCAGCCCTTCTTCGCGTCAGCTGCCGACCATCCACGGCAAACGCACAGCATGTAGGGCCTAGAAACGGGTTGTCATGGCAGTGGTTTGTCATGCCATAGGATCCAAGACCAAACGGAATAGCCTCTGCAGGTATCGAACATTGGGCGGTAAGGAGAAAAAGTTCTGAAGACAAAGTTGATGCCCAGACCCACTAGTGGGGGCAGGGTCCTGATAACGTTTTCTTCCGCCCGGATACGCCGGAGCTGCTTGGTGGCAATTCAGAGAAGTAGGAGAGGGTGGTCAATATACACAAAGACATTGAGACGAGACAGGGGTGGGTAGAAAATAATACCGTAGCACAGTGCCATTCCAGCAGCAATCATGTAGACTGGAACACAATATACCAGGGTCATACCTAGAAGACAACCATATCCAGACGGTACAATCGTGATCAAAAATAAAAAGCATGAAAAAAAAAGAATCAGAACATACAACAGAAGGGATTCGCTGGTGGTTATCCACCCAACTACTAACCTCCCGGCGTGTGGCTTAAACACGGCTAATATCCGGGTGGGTGCTATTTGCATGAGCCAAGGATAAGCACTACTTTACTGTCACGCGACTGGGGTGAGCTTAGGGTGAATATACAATAGTTAGAGTGAGTATACTCACTCCGCTCATACTTACTAATATAACTAGTAGATTTTAATATCCACAGAATCTGTACAAGGTCAACTGTTGGATACAATACTGCTGCCTGTAGCACTGCCCTTCTTGGCTGCATGCACAGCCGGCGGACTGACATGAAATTGGCAGGTATACTGAGACAAGAATCTGGAAACAGATAGACTAAGTTATCTTGTCTACAAAGAGTGAGCAAAAGCTCCCAAAATCCTATTTCGCTGCTCATTTGCGTCTTCAGATTGGTCGGATTGGCTCACTGTTTGCGGGTAGATTCTGCCGCTTTGCTCCATCACTTTTGACTTGCCAACCCGTGTCCGTTGTGTGCCGCCCTTTTGGCCTTTTGGCTGTCTCACTGCCTAGGTCGTTGGCACATCTGCCTTGGTGCCTTGTGCCTCGCTCATTTACTTCTTATCGCGTCTTATCATAATCTTATCCTTATCATGTGTCTACATCTCCTTGGGTCCTTCCTTGCCTTTCTATTGCCTTTCTGGGTTTAATATTCAATATGGCTTGTTCCATTCCTTTTACTAATTGTCTTCGTCATCTTTGGTCTTTGACTGACGCGTGTGACTTACCCTAATAACTATATTTATCCTAGTACTTCAATATCGCCCTCTATACTTGCTCTGTCTTGATCCTCCTGCTTAATAACTTTATTTTGTGATTGACCCTCTCTAATCACTTCACTGCGCTTCATCCTTGGTCTATGTAAACTTCCTCTTGTTCCCCCGTATTTCTTTATATTCTCAACATCATCTTCCTTCTTCTAGGACCTCCGTGGCTCTGTCCTAAATACTTATTTGTATGACTAGGACATTCGTGTCCCTGTCTTATACTGCGGGTGTTGTCCTTTGTTGTCCTTTATTATGCTTTAAAGGTACGCTGTTATGTGCTACACTCTTTAGAGAAACATTCAATTTGCGAAGAAGTGGACTATATAAGCATCAAAAATAGCAAAAGAGAAGGGGAAAAAAAAAAAAGAGATCCCTATTCCGCACCTGCCTCCTGCTATGTTGAATAACAGATAGGCTTCTTAACCGGGAACTCTTAAGAAGGCTTGTATCCAGGTAGGTAAGGCTTCACTTAGTCAAGACCCTGCTTCCCAAAGTGGGGCGTTTCTCCGGCGTGTCAATGACGGTCCATTTGTGCCATAGATGCAAGAGGCGGATAGTCAGGCTTAAGGCGGCTGTCTTCGTTGGCCATACGGGCAATGCAGTATAGAGCTAGTTTGATAGTCATCTTTCCGACCCCATGTGCGCCCCAAGGTATAAATGCGTACTGCAGGAGGCGAATCGAAGGGGGGCCTAAATCAGCAGTGTTCACGGAGCCATCATCCGATGTGCCAGCCATAGACGCCTGGTTTATTGAAGACGAGATAACTCGCTGGTTTGATAGTTGTCGAACACCCCGCCGCGGTCTTGGGGACCTTTGGATATCAATATCCTGGAATGCTTGCAATACTAGCAATCCCTCTTCAGTGATTAAGAACCCGAAACGGCATCTGTACATAGCACAATAATACTGAATTTGCTTTAATGGAGAAATTTGACGCGGCCCATCAAATTCGTAACCATTGCGAATAGAATTTCGGACTTTTGTAATAGCATCTCTGTGTGACCATTGGTTTTTGGTGTCTCCGAGAATGATGGCCTTGGGACGATCCTTTGCTGGACCATGTCCTTGCAGATAGAGTTTGTTTCCCCCTGACCAATCAGGTCTACATTTGTTGGTTTCCCATGTTATCGCACCGGATGACAAGAACAAATCCTCTGGAAGGGCACAGGACACGGGGATCATGATTGACGCTGCAACAACGTGCCCCAATGCCTCTTCATCGTGAAGTTGACTGAACATAGACGCTTCGCATTGAGGAGTAGGATCAGCCAAGTCCACCTGGCGGCTCAAATCAGGACTGAAGAGCGACATCAGATTCTGGTAATTAAATTCGGTCCATGGCTCCACATTCTCGACGGGGAACCATAGGGTGTTAAACGTGAACTTGACTGGTCCACGCGCTATACATGAGATGCGAGGATTGGGCCGCGTCAAGTATGATAGGAGTGTTTCTGGCATTGCGATGAATGAGACAAGATGGAGTCTTAAGAATGAATAGTGAGGAGTAGAGAATTAGACACTGAGAAATGGATACTGAGAAATGGATACTGAGAAATGGATACTGAGAAATAGATACTGAGAAATGGATATTGAGATGTGAATGTTCTAAAAAGGCTGGGGAGCCTTTTATATGATTGCCATTAAACCTCCATAGGCGTGATTGAAGAGACAATCCTAGGGCTTTGAGTTGTATGCCTGCATTAGCACCAAACCGGTCGGCACCAGTAGGATCATTGCACACTGAGGAGAATCACATCTTAGAGCTTTGAGCGAATCAAGATAGAAAGGTATAGCCCCAGACACACAGCACCGGTTGCCTACAGAACACCAGTTTTGGATACAATACTAATTTCCTATGCACAGTACTAATTTCCCATGCACAGCACCGGTTTCTATGCACAGCACCGGTTTCCCATGCACAGCACCGGTTTCTATGCACAGCACCGGTTTCCCATGCACAGCACCGGTTTCCTATGCACGGCACCGGCTTCCTATGCACAGCACTGGAATGAGTAAAGTTCACCTGCATTAGTGCCGTCCAATTTGCGCTAAAATAGGTTGTTCTCGAATTAGTGTTCCTTGATGCCGAGAAATGTTACTGTTCTCATGAACAGCCATTACTAAGCCGCATCTGGTCATATGACTATGTAACGTAATCAACTACAACCCCAGAATCTTCGACACTCATATAAAGCAGTCTCTTCCGTGCCCCCTCTACTAAGCTGAGTATATCACGTGCCTACATTCGGCTTCCTGCGCTGGCTAATTCCGAACTCTTGAAGGCCTCCCCTAACCAACAACGGGGCGGTATGAGTGACAAGTCGTGGACCGAGCAATTCTTCTCTCAATGGCCATGGCCGGATCGGATAAAAGCAGTACGTACGAACAATCGGGATTTCAGACCTTTTCTTCCGCAACGAAGATGGAAGTTGGGAAGAGCAGTGGGTACCAATCTGCGCTCCAGCGAGGATCAGAATCAAGTTCTATGGCTTTTCATTCAGGACCGAGAGACGTATGTACCCAAGTATGTCGCTAAAGTAGTAAGTATATGAGGATTTAAGTTTCTTTCAGGGGATGGCTGACTTCCTAAGTTCTCTGAATATACTGAAAGGGACGCACTATTTCAGCTCCGGCGCTTTCCACCCCGCATACCTAAGAATGTTAAGGAGGCACAAGATGAACTTGACCCATATACTAACGAAGCTCGAGCATACCACTGCATCGAGATGTCGTGCACAAGCTCAGAAAGGATATATTATCCAGAGTTTCACGGTGTTATCACTGATATTGGAATATCAAGGCTCACTTATGGCTTTATCAATCCTCGGGCCATTGTTCTTGAATCCATCAGGCCAAAGCTTGCATCACGACGAATTTTAGCGGCCCACGGAGAAGATAACAGTGAGATTCAGAATCAGCTCAAGCAATTAGGGCTCAGTGATTTGGAATTGGAATACTATCATAGTCTATTCCACGACCGTATCCGCCGTCTTCTAGTGTTACACAAACTCGGAATCACACATGGTGATGTACGAGATGATCATTTCAGACTGCCAGGGGATTTCTATGATACAGTCTTATATGACTTTTCTCATTCTTATACCTTCTCTTCAGTCATGCCTTACTTGGTCAATTTTCGTCCACCATGTTCTTTGAAGAAGATTTCAGACTACGAACAGACCATGGTCAAGCAACAGATCTATGAACGGTAGGCAACACAAGTCAATATTATCAGCAGGAAGCTAAATTTCAACTAGGGCAAAAAACTTAGACTTCCGTAATTACCTTGAAAAGTCTAGTGGACTTACTCAAGCAATGCTCATGGATACACTCTTCCAACCACTCAAAGAAGAACCATTAGAACTGATAATTTTGCGAGTGAATTTTCGTCCTGACGGTTAGTTTACCTCTGTCCCATTATTTATGAACATATCTAGTACCTCATAGCCTTCTCCATGCCATCGGTGAATTCGGTTTTCCCTTTTCTTGAAGATATCAGTCCAAAGGATGATACCACATGGCATATCCGTAGAGGTCGGCTGTTGGAATCCTATGAATCTGTTTGGATAAGCTCTACAACGAATGATTCAGGCCACACTTCCACGAGCATCGTGTCTGACCTTGACTTTACCGAAAATATTGCGGGCGCAAATCGCAGATACTTCCTCTGCTTAGTACCGAAGGTATGGGGAGTTGCAGATGTCCGCAGTCCACTTTTGAATATCTGTTCGTCCTTGCCGCGTGGTGCTCGCGGCTGCATCAAGACCAGTATCGATCTAGCACTATAACTAATCAGAAACCATGTGTCCTTGACAAACAAGCCCGATACACTGTACCAGAATGCGTCTCTGCAATAGTTACATAGAATAAATGAAGCTTCTCGGCACGGCCATGTCGATTCCCGGACATCCTAGACGGGTGGTTGGTTTGGAGTAATAACGAGCAATATTCCGGCATTTCCTGCTGGTGAATGGAACTGATTCTTATACACTATACTTTATCAGATCACAACTTGGATATTTTCTTGACTTATGCAAATTTGGATTCATGTCTATAACCTCCATATGCCTTGCTCTCCTGGCCTGCTCTCCTGGCCTGCTCTTCTTGGGCTGCCTTCTTCTCTGCCTTCCGTAATCAGCGTGGCTTTCCTTGGAATCACTGGCTGCTTACTTCCCTGTGTCTACCTTCTCCGGTGTCATCTTCTTTGGTATTATCATGATGAACTGTATATGTACGACTATCGTTTCTATCGTGGCATTGGTAATCAAAGCCCGGCCTATGTCTAATTTTGGAGGCTACCTAGGAGGAAAAGAATTGCACATGCTCCAAATATGGTCGCAACACAGCCTGCCTGATGGATGTCCTGCCCGCCTTTGGATACATCACACAAGGGTTGAGTAAACGATTCTATTACTATCATCATTGGCTTTAATCACCGCTAACATACATGGGTTTTCTACTTAAATTCCATTTCCCGCTCACGGTTTCTGACTTTACTTATCTCAGGAGCCTTACCATCAGCAATAATCCTTGAGAACGTTTAGAGGCAGGAAAACTACACTACAGGATATAATGGGTGCTATTGGAATAGCTGCTTCAGTCCTTTGATGCAATATCTTCAGGTTAACCTGAAAAACGTGAAACCTCTTTGAAAATCTTACTCTGAATTAGCAAACAGGAAGCCAGTCGATAAGATTTAAGAGTCGGTATAGAAAGAAACTGAACGGATACAGGATATACCACAACCCACAGGGTAATGAGTCTCTTATGTAGCATTTAAGAGATCAATGCCAGCGACCATCATAAGAAAAGCCAGACTGAAGTAATGGGGGCCATAGTTCAGCGTATCCTTGTCACCAATATCATAACCAGGACCAGGTAGAACCGCTCTGCATGTGCGGCGTACGCCTCACGGGGGCCGGGGAGCTGGAAAGTTCTGCTGGCTTAATGAGGCTAAAGAGGACAGAGAAGGTTTCCCGAGCCGTGACTTGGTAAGACTATTATCTGACTGCATCCCAAAGGTCATCAGCATACGCGTTGAAAAAGATACACGCTTGATACTCACAGCTGGTGTGGGTATCATAGCGATATTAGATGAGTCAGGGACAGTTTGAAATAAAGTTAAATCTTCTTCACTGAACCTTGAGCACGGGAGTAGCCTCGGGAAACACAGAAGCCCTTGAACAACGGTCTTGCACTAATGACGGCACTGAACCAATGCATGGCTGAAATGCTGCGAGAAAACTAGTCTATGTCAGACTGGGGTGTGCATCTTGGGACAAGCCTGATAGTTTTAAAGACATGGCGAGTGTGTTTGATATGTCTCAGCAGCTGAACTGAAAGATCTATCTCCAGATCTACTCGATTCGGAATATTACTGCAGTTGACGCAGGTGTGCTGTGATTGGTTGTCTCATGCAAATCAATCCAGTGTCTTGCGCTTGCTCCGGGAGGGTGGTGTTCTTTGTTATCGAGCGTAACGATTGGTCCCATCGTCAGCTTACCTACCAGTTCTGGACACAGCACCGGTTTCCTATGCACGGCACTGGCCCTAAAGTGTGGAGGAAGCCTGGCTGGTGTAGTGGCAGCGTTTCCCAATATTTATCTAACTGCTGAGAAGATAAACAGAGCTTAACCCCTATCCTCGTTGGCTATTGTATGGCTTTTAGCTTTACTCGGGAAGATTCAAATAACCAGTTGGACTATTCACATAAGTCCTCGACAGGTCAAACGACTTTGCCAGAACTCTTGGACCCGAGAAGTCCGGGAGACGCTACCGCGACGCCCCCTGCCTACCCTCCGCCTACCATAAAAGATAAGGCTTGTTTTTAGTACACATAGAGCATCTACCGCCTTCCCAAAGAATCTTTTTATTGTCTGAGGCTTTAATATAGTACCTGAGGCCGGTATTTAGCACCTCAGGCAGCAGCATACATAGAATGACAGGCGGTAGTGTCCCTGCAGGATTTGTAGGCGAGTCTTACCTACTGGTTTTAGACAGCCGGCCATTTCTCCTCCATTTGTATCTGGAGGATCATAGTGGTCTCCAAGTTTTCCTATCTATGGGAGTGCTTCTCTATTCACCCGATATCACCCCGCACCCCTGTCAAGGTGTGGTTCATTAAACTGGTAGGGCACTACCTGAGTCACGTGCTTCTGACCCCGCATTGGCATCAGCTGACAGCTTTCTGCGACGACACCCAATATACTGCTTGATAACTTTGGGGGGAAAGAAGTTTTCAAAATTGCTAAAGTTCCTAAATACCTGCGGTAGCTCCTCTTCCTTCATGTCTTTAAAGTGTCCAGTATCAAATGGCGCACGGTAATACAATGGAGCTTGTTCCATGGATTCCCTTTGTGACCATTTGAGGGATTACAGATCCAAATGCCGGAAACATCAGACCCAACTTCCCCAAACCCAACTTTTTCAAACCCAGCTTTTCTAAACCTTAACACGCATCCCTCTCGTCGTGGTTTTCCCCTACTTGGCTCATCACTATGATATTTGATATTGACGTGTACACTCACCCAGAAACCTCAGCCTCTTTGAAGGACGAATTATCTCTACTCAACGAACAGATAAGAATTGTTGAAGGGCTTGAGCATGCCAGAGCCCGTCTTCTGGCCAACTCTAAGTTGGAGTCCAATACTATTGAAGTGCGATGTGTTCATACGCCATGCCAATGAAAGTACCCCTGGCAGTAACTTCGACCTTGAAATCTGTAAGCTAAGCCTGGACGAGCTGGCTTTCTGCTCTATTAGTTTCGAAGATAGGCGCCTCAAACATGTGGTTCACCATTTCAAAACAGCGAATATCTAGAAGTATATGACGACAATACACGTCTCATGCCTTGAACGGCAGAAAATTTTCAGACGACTAAACCGTTTATACGCTGAATCTGAGGGGAAACCATTTAAAAAGATTTACTCGGCTGCCTATATAGTATACAACAATTTTTTGGCTGAGGACTCTATGGAATCGAATAAAACGGATGCTGGTACGGTTGCAATTAATCGTGTAATATCTACTCTTACTGATTACATTCCAGAGACTCCACTAGATCCTGTACCTAACACGATAGCTACACAGCCTAGCTCCTTTAAGTTTCCCACAGCGCGATGGAGGAACATTGACAAAGTATTTCCTACATAAACTACAAACGCCATCCGCCACGCACCGCAACGTATAGTAGATCCAGAAATAACAGATTGTGTGTGATCTAGATTCCCTAGGGATCAGAGTGAAGGCGATGTGATTATTTAGTTGGACATCGGGTCCAACGGGGCACTGCCATTCCTACCTATATATAAGTCAGGTATCGAAATGGAGCAAGTTCATGCCGTATTTGGGGATACTATCTATAATGCTGTTGATAAAAGTAACCTGCGAAAGTGGGAAAAAAGAAATGGACATTTAAGTACAACAGAATATATGAAGATGAAGATATTTTGTTATATGGAGCTTCGAATAGGATACGACACAACTATAGCAAAGAATTTGTTCAATTGATGGAATAATAGTCTTTATATATTGTCACAGATATGCCCGCAGGAAGTCTCATGATGCCATGACTCTACTTAGTATTCTATACTTCGTGATCCGCTTTAAAGAAAATTACTTCTTCGCAAACTCTACAAAGGAGTAGCTATTCAATGGTTGCTTTTTTAATCCATTCAAGTAATACATATTCGGTGAGCTTTTTTAATCGATCATCGTCTGCAGGGAGCGTTTCCCACTATGATTCCTACCAGTATCACATCAGTACTGTATATTATTCTCTTATAGGAGCCATACCAAATCGTCTTTTCTGGTTGTCATAACAATCTGAGAAGGTACTCTGAGAGTATAAAACCTGCTGTAGTTGAATATCAGTCTTAATCTCCATCAAGAGAGACTTCTTATGGCTTTACCTCCGAAGCAAATGGATAATATGCTGAGAAGTCACGTTTTACAATCTTTTAGAGCAGCGCTTTATTGCATCGCATGGAGACAACTACACCAAGAGAATTATCTGATGATTTGAAACTTATGAGCGAGCGACAGCCAGAGAATTTTAAGGTGGGGGTTAATAAACCAGGAGGGGCATGTAGGTTAGTCTTCCGTGGTCAATACCCAAAGCAGGACAGCCGGCAGCGGAGCATCTTCAGCATCTATGATATTATCACGTGATGTAAAGTTCCCACTCACTCATCTCTCAGTAATGCTCGCCCCTAAATGTCTTTTCACGCAGATCAGTGACGTAACTCTATAGATCTATGAATAAAACATATTTCGCATATCCTATATGAGACATTATTACTGATTAGCTATCTCCATGCAGTTCATTTTGGCTTAACATATTATGAGGCTTAGTAGCTTCTTTTATTAGTTCAGTGGACCAGGAAGACGCTGCAGCCACACTGGCCATGGCCGCACCTATTCTATCAGGTAGAGCCTGCTTTTCAATCAAGCAGAAGCCCCACCGCCTTCTGGGTAATATCCGCTATCTTTATCGTTTGCGTGAGATTTCAAATCGCAGCCTAAGGCAGACTTTTTGACTTCAGGGGCGAATTGATTCAGGTGCCTAGCATAGAATATCACCAACAATTTCATACGTAATCTCAGAGTAACTTATTAAGCTGTTTACATAGCTTCTATATAAAAGATTCTTGTTGTGTCTTATGGAATTCCCATATAGTAGTCAGTGAAAGGCTGTAGCGGACGCTGATGTGATGTAGCATGGCCGGTGTAGCACTTCTCTGCATTTCCCTTCTCTTATAAGGGATGATAAATGGAGTACATTTTATAAGCTTCTTTCCTTTGCTACCTTCTATACTCGGGCCTATTTTCTATTACTTTATGTAGCTCGACACCAGACTGAGGTGTAGCAGGGTACAGTATCGCTTCAAGGAAACTCCCTGGTTTGGATTGGGAGAGGTCTGATTCACTGTGGGACGTCCTAGCGTTTGCCTACCTTGCCCTGGATGAATGTAATATCTAGAAACTCATGACAATACTTGACATGTATATTCATGTTGCCTCAATTCACAACTCAATCCAGTCATTGCCACAGTCTTTCGCAATATCCTTCAAGTTCATACCCACTCTCTCGTTCCACCTCTCAGTAGTTCCAGATTCAACAAGCTCCTCCACTTCAAGAGAAGCCAATACATCAATTGTCCAATCCTGGCATCTCCTTTTATCACCCCTAGGAGCGGGCTCGTTTGAGATGATCTCAACGACCTTTGAACGTAGTTCAGCGTTCAGACGCGCGATTTTGCACATTCCGATAGCGTGCCGAGTTTTAATGGTAGTAGCTTCACGGACAGCAAACTGATACCAAAGTGTCGATTCGTCGATCAGTTGCACATGGTAGAGGTCACCGAAGTCTTCTTCCGGCTTCGCCAAAAGGAAGCCCCAGTGGGATCGTTGGTTGGGATCATCTCCATTTTTAAACACTTCTATGTGTAACTCCAACGTCATTTCGCTGGAACAAGTCTGAGAGTATTCTCATTAGCTACATGATCCAGCAGGTTATGCTTGCATACCTTGCTTTTGATTTCTTGCGAGTATCAGGTCGCCAAAAACAAGTATAGAATGCGCATATCTGGCATGCGGCATCTAAAGAACTTTATATCTTTTCATGTACATTTAGGGTCATACTATTCGAAATTACTATATTAGTGCTCCTCGGCATGGTAGAATAAGTGTAGGTATGATTGGTTTCGAAATGCGTATGGCCCATCCTTCCTGGCAAATCACACCTCATGCACATGTAGTGATCTGGGTGGCATAGCAGACCCCCGCTTAGATGATGACCTGGAAGCTAAATTGTATTGTGTCCCATGCACAGCAGTGATTAAGGAAAGTGTTATAAAACACTTGATTGCATAAAATACAAGGCAAGTGCTCTAGGTTGAGAAATTAAGGTTTGCAGTAGTTGGGTTTACGGGAGTTGGGTTTACGGGAGTTGGGTTTACGGGAGTTGGGTTTACAGGAGTTGGGTTCACGGGAGTTGCATTTGCGGGAGTTTCTTTTGTGGGGTCCATTTGATGTGATCTGTCTTAAAATAATACACACCGTGCCTTGGACCGTCCGCCTTCTAACTTATGCAAATCTAACTCCCATAAACCCAACTCCTACAAACCCAACTTCTGGAAATCCAACTTCTGCAAACCTAACTTCCGCAAACCCAACTTCCACGAAATTTTCTAGTCCGTATAATTCCTTATACACATACACCTGGGATCAATCAATGATCTGCAAGGCTTCATCAATCAACTCTGATACGTCGCAGCTCATAGCTCAGGCTCATGAAAACTTACAGAAGCTTTGATATTTTCTAGGAATTTATCTTATAGTACTGGATATTTTAAGCCTTTGCTCATAGTTGGGCGCTATAGAAGCAATGCTGAGATTAGTTGGGATTCCCATCTGCCTTTTTTGAAAAGTAACCATTCACTATTTACAGTTAGAATAGGATGCGCTCTGAACATGCATTGATTACTTGCATAGCACGGCACGATGCCAAAGCAACATTCCTGGACAGTGAAGGGGAACATTCGGCTAAGGTAATGAATGGGGCCATGTTACGAGCCTGCTGCAATATGGAGGCCTTTGCTGCCTCGGCACTACATGCACAAATTCATCCTCGAAAAATATATGGGTCAAACTTCTTTCCTCTTTAATACATCTTTTTTCGTAAATTATAAGGCGGATTACAATACAGCTACGTCAATGTATGATTACCCCCTATATCTGGCCTAGGATGTATATTTCTAGTTCTTAACGACATGCGTAGTGTCTCTTTTCTGCTTGTCCTATATTTTTTACATAGAATCGCAAGCTTATCAACTTCGGGCCGTTTTTTGACAGACAATTGAGATGACTCCAGTATGTTTTCTACAAATGACCACAATTTCAAACACTCATAACAAGCAGGACACCAGGAAGAGGAACAATACAGGTGCAGGGAGGGAGACTCTCACTTCAAGAAAGAAGGAGTGTGTCAATGATAAAGAACAGGAGGTAATAAGTAGTAGACGCTTACTGAGGACCCACAGACTAATATATACAGGATTACTCTTCCAGTTTGGGACAGTTCAGAAAGGCTGGAGACATACGCAAGGAACACTAGATACCAAAGCCACCTCGTTTCCGTGTTAGGTTATTCTGTTGCCGATGTGATAAAGAAGTAGGGGTTAAGGGTATCTTTTGTGGCTTTTGTTACCATGAGAGATGTCCGGAGTGCTTCGTCTTGGGCCGTGACAGGAGTGTACCCATGCACTTTGCTTAGGGCAAACCCAAAGCTAGAGCTGCGAAGACCCATAAGTGGAATTGATGTCCGATTGTCTACTGAGTCCTTGCGCCGCGGCCACGGTCTGTAGTCAGAAGGCTACAACATACATAGCCTAATCACTGTGGATTGACTGTTGTATAAGGTTGCCACTTCCCAACCATACGAAACTAAATATGTTATTTGGAATTCAATCAAATGATTACGTCTATATTATTCTATATGCTTACGTTGCTTGGTATTTGTTTGTTATCCTCGTCCTTTGCTGTTCTTATTTGTGTGGCAAATATCAGCAAAAGCTGCACCGAATAAAGCGCCGCTCACGGAACAAGTCAAAAAGGAGAATAAGAAGAAGACAAAGCAAGGCTCGGAGGAAGCGAAGAAGCTATAGATGATAGAGGTATATCTTAAAACCGGCTGGTCTTAGGATAAGTCGCATGATGTCGTTTCAGGAGCACTGGACATTTTGCTCAAAGTGAATACATCTGAATAGTTTGAGACCTGGTTCATAATCGCCAATGTGAAGGAATGCCGGGACGGATGGTAATCTCCCTGAACACCGTACTAGGTTGGCGCTAACCAATCCACTTAGGTTGGGTACATTTCGATGCTTCACTAGGACGATCAATCGTTTTGATTTGTTCTATGGACGAAATCCTTCTCTGTACAGTCTTAACTAGCGCTTCTGAGGTGAGCCACGGAAGCAGTATGTCGGTGTGGAGATGAATATTCGGGCGAGCTCACCATATTATACGGATTAAGTATGAGGCTATGCTGTGATTCTAGCGAATTGATGTGAAAAAACTAAAGTATCTTTTTAAGTAGCAAATATTTGTTGGTGTTTTAGTTGTGCTTCCATGCTGCATGGGTCTCTTGTTATCCTCCTATCTTTTGAAGGCACCCCATGGAGCTCACTGGTATTAATTCCAGTGAGTTTGAGGAGGTTGTCATAATCGCAGATAAATTAGGCTTTAGATTAAACAATCCCTTTTTTATCTTTCCCCCTTTATCCGGGAAATGTTGGGAGGTAATGTTAATTTGCTTCTTTCGGTGCTCCCTCCGCATGGGCCTCTAGCGTTGAAGTAACATATAAGGGCTTTACTTGGAACTATTTAGTCGGCCTGAGAAGACAGCGGACTGGATGCCCCCGATTCGTGCTCTGGTTTCCCGGGCCCTAGCATATCATTCAATAACTTACAGTATAACCGAATGAATATCTTAATTTGAAGTATGCTATAATAGGTGTGGTGTTAAGAGGATGGAGGAGTATATATACTAAGCCTGAGGACTCGGACTCCGAAAGCTCCCACTCAAACTCTCATGCGTGATCAGGGGCGGATATTATAGCTAACCCAGCATTGATCTTATCCTTTTAGCCCGCCCTACCTGTACCCACCGCACCAAATGTTCCAAACAGATAGGCAGTCAAACTATATCGTAAACAAGGGTTAAGGTGGTATAACATAATAAGATGACTTAGGAGCTTAAATACACGATACACCCAAGCAATGGACCAAAGAAATTTGAATCCAACAGCGAATCTTTGGATGGAGGTTAAGAAACCTGCCGGTCGGGTTAGGGTAGTTCAGGTAGCCTGAGCCGAGATTGAATAACTTTATACGGAACATGCACAACCACTTTCCAGACTTTGATGTTCACGTGGGTAAAGGAGATAATAACACATCCGTTGCTCCTTACTGGCATATGTCCAATGACTCTGAAATCGCAACTTTCAAGATGGACAGTATGTGTAAACGGAATCGGCAGACGAGACGCGTCTACTAGGACTGTGTCACTCTCTGGGTCATATTCACCGACAATTGCATTACGGACAAGATTGCCTGCAACGACTGCCCAAAGAGTAGTATCGAGTTCCATCTACATGCCTGTCATAAGTGCATGTTCGAAAAAGTACGCAAATCTTACTTACAGGCAGTGGAGGTAATTGGATGATATCAGATGAGCTGGAGAGGTCCTCCATTGAAGTGAGCTCATCTCTCGCGCTGTCAGCACCGTAGGCACCCAGACATGGGAGAAGCCTGTGACCTTGCCGTCTCGCGATATTCCAAGATTTAGTGAACCAATGCATTGCTAAACAATGACTTGATAGATGGAAGTGAGTAAAGACAAGCCTGTTAGCCTCTTGCTATATATACCCATTCCCCCTTGTTCCAGTCAGTGCTAATCTTTAGTCTGTCCTACTGGGTCTCGATAGCTAACCCAAGAGAACCCGCGTATATGCGTAGACATGTCTTTCTGACTGGTTCAAATGAAGCGTGAAAGTGGCAGGGATCAGATTAGAGATCTACACAACTTTCCTAACCCCAACTCCCGCAAACCCAATGTATTCTGTAACGAAGCATTCTGAATCGAATTCCTTGATCGTTTCTGTCCATGGGACGCAACGCAGCCACAAAGATCTGGGCTTTGCAATTAGTCTTCCAGTAGCTTCTAACATTTTTGTTGACATCAATCAAAGTATCCGAAAGCTAAGTCCAACGGGCTAGAGGTAAAGCAAGTTGCTTATTATCAGCACCCTGCTATGGTACTAGCACGATATGCGTATTTGTCATTGATAGCAAGAAACTATAATCATAAAAAGGGCAACGTGCATATAATCATCCATAACACATTTGTATAGTTACAGGCATCACCTAATTCGCATCCAATTGCGTGCGTTAGACGAAACGTATGACACACCTTCATATGCTGTAAGGATAATTGCTCCAATACTGATGTGATATGCGCAAGGACAATGACCATACGAGACCTAGTGCATAACTAATGAAATAATAGGATTAGTAAACCTCAAGAATAATTATAATTATTAAATATATAATAAGAATTACTATATGAAGAGATTCTTTAGAAGATACTATATATTTAAAATAATTAAAAAAAAATACTTAAAATAATAAAAATAATATAAAAATTAATATTAAAATATATAAAACTAAATTTATAACTTGTTATAAGCTACAGCTTAAAGAATTCAATTAATTATATTTATTATCTAGGTTATAACTGGAAAGAAGAAGAAGAATATCTTAATAATAGTAGCCAATATGATTAGAACATGTGATCCTCACCTACCAGCCAACCAGACACCTCAACATATCTCATACCTCCTCGAGATGAAGTCGCCATGGAAAGCACTGCTCCTCGTAGCTGCGGGCCTCCCATCCGGCCATGCGGTCAGTCTGGCCACCACTGGCGCCGCAGTCTCCGAGATCACCGTCACCTCCACCATGGCCGAGGCTGTCACCAACACGTATAGCAGTACAGTGCCGGTGATGACGACGGTAACAAGCTGTACGCCAGCCAGTTATGCGGTGGCTATGAATTCTTGCCACGGCACAGTTTGGTCCGCAAATAACGCGTATTGGCGGGAGCTATGCGCAGCCTCTCTTACAGGGGGAAGCTCCGGGTTCACAAGGGCTGGTGATCCTGCAACCGCGTCGATTTATTTTGAATTCACCGGCTGTACGGCGGTGGAAATCAATTCCCATTCCAACGAATACTATCTGTTCTCTGGCGAATATACGATCTTCTCGCATTCCAGCGATTGGGTTCTGGAACGGTACACCACCGATCCTTGTGTGGTCACAGAAGCCGCTTCGATTCTCACAGACACCTGGTATGCAACTTCGACGATTGAGTCGACCATTACGTATACCTCGACTATTAGCCTTGCAGAGAGTTCGACTGCCGTGCCAAGTACGGTATCATCTAGTGTGGCTATCCCTTCGTCGACGCCAATTTTCTGTTGCACCAAGCGCTGCGCCTGCCCTAGCTGCCGCGTCGAGTAATCGCGCAAGCTCTTTCATCTGGATCCCAACCGCGAGATCTACTTTCGCTCCAAGTCCAAGTTCCAGCGCTGTGCCATCATCCTCTGTGGAACGTCTTTCTTTCTCGTCATCTGCTCCCAGTCAATTGCCACATCCCTCATCGGCCGTGTCCTCCCAGTCGTTGTCGAGTCAACCACCACGGCCATCGTCACTCCTTTCATCCAGCTATTCCATCCCGAGAAACTCAACGCGGCTACTCCAGTCGTCTCGATCAACAGTTGCATCCTCAAGTCCCTCCCAGATTGGATCCTCATCCGGGTTATTCACTCGCTCCTCCTATTCCCAGGTGTCACACACCGTCCCTAGCGCTCCTTTCCCCACTACTCTGTCTACAAGGTCCCACTATTCTGACTACATCCACCTACTCAGTGACAGCCTGTCCGGGAATATCCAACTGTCCTGCCAGTGACCGAACAACATTTCTTACCACAGAGACCGTTGTTGTCGGTACAACAGTCTGTCCTGTTACTGCGCCTGTCCCTGCCCCAACAACCATCCGCACAGACACACCTAGACTTTCATCCGTCCCCAGTGGCTCAGATGGAAATTCCGTGACTACTGAGATCTTCTATATATTCCGTCTTCCACTCCCGGAATCACTCATGCCTCGACTCAACCAACCGAGAAGTGAAGACAATCTGTGAAACCAGGGACAGGGTTCTTCCCCGTGAGAAGTCACATTGCCTAGGACAGGCTTTCTTGGTTCTCTGCCCCTCTTTGCTTCCACCTCGAGGATACCTTCTCCATTGGACCTCAAAGTATTCTAGAGCCACCGAAGCTATAACCGGTCATCTAACCGTGGGTCAAACATCAGTCCAGCTCGACACCCTCGGTACAGACACGACAGATCATGATCCCCGGCAGCAATCCATCGCAGTGATGGATTAGGGTTCTGCGAGGGGATATTGCATTGTTTGGCTGCCTGCAGTTGATGATTGGAAGTTCGTCGCATTTCGGACATTCCAAAAACGTTCCCCAAGGCACTCAGCAACCTTAGTCTACCGATTCAATAAATCGTCTCTTAGACTTCGACATACATCAGACTAACTTACTACCGAGTGTACTTGGGCGTGTACGTAGAGTCGTACTGGCGATCCGATGAATCGGCTTTGCCGCATCCGGGTTAGCGGGAGGAGCTCATCTCGGCTTCGCCCCGGAGATCGGAGGAGCTCCGTGTCTACCCCACTGCAGTACTCGGTACATCTTGGGATTCATCCAGTGTTTCCTCAAATTGACTACCTCTCGCTACCTCATCTTAGGTTCATTTCTATCCCACCAAAAGTCCACTCAGCATGTCCCTCAACGACATCCACGGCCGCCTAGCCCTAATCACCGGTGCCTCGGGAGGGTCCGTCTCCCCTCCCAAATCCAAACACCCCTAACTAATAACCAGCATCGGCGCCGCCTGCACCCACCAACTCGCCCAACACGGCGTCCACCTGGCCCTGACCTACTCGACCAACTTGGCCTCTATCGAATCTCTCCGCACAGATGTGCACACGCAGCACCCCACCCTCCGCATCTCCATCCACAAAGTCGACCTCAGCTCCGCCCCACAAATCAACACCCTATTCGAAGAAATCGACGCCCAGCACGGCCAACGCCCGGATATTCTCATCTCCAACGCGGGCTACGGCAAACGCATCCCGAATATCTGGGATATCTCCCTCGAGGATTTTGACGAAATGATCACGATTAATCTCCGCGCGTCGTTTATCCTAGTCAAGGGGGTAGTCGAACATATGAAAGATCAGCGATGGGGACGGATTGTCTTCATGTCCTCCATTGCAGCCCAGGGAGGTGGGATTAATGGGTGTCGTACGTTCTCTTCCGTCCCCGTTTGTCTTGTGCAGGGTGGAATAAGACTAGAAACTATGCTAACGGTGGTATAGACTACGCAGCCTCCAAAGGCGGCCTGACCGGGATGATGAAGAATCTGTCGACCCGACTCGCCCCCTACAACATCAGCGTGAATGATGTCGCGCCTGCGATGATCGGGGATACGGGGATGATTCCAGGTGCCGCGGCGATCCCGGAAGTCATGGCGGGGATCCCGTTGCAGCGGTTGGGAACGCCCGAGGAGACGGCCAATGTGGTGACTATGTTGGTGAAGACGGGGTATATGACGGGGCAGAGTTTGTTGTTGGCGGGGGGGTTGAAGTAATACCTTGTTTTATACCATGCGATTTGGGGTCGCTGCAGTGGGCTAGAGAAGATTATCTAGAGCTAAGAGAAAAAGTCCATCAGGAATATACATCCAGCTAAGCTTCATCCTGCTACACCAGCCACAAGAGAAATAACTCGAGACCAATTCAGATCATCACTGACTTCCCCGCCAGCACCACTAATTGCCTGGCCACCGTCCTCAGCGTGTCCGCGATGGATTGCAGCTGACTGGGGCCCGAACAAGATTCCTCTTCCACCGTTTCCAGCACTCTCGCCAACCCCTCTTTCACTTCGGTCAACCGACCCAAGTCTGTCTCCACCGTCTGCACCGCCTCTTCATAGGAATCATACCGCGTCGCCGTCCCCAGTGTCCGCTCTGGCGCCACCAGCCCAGCGACATCCGCCCGAGCAGCACGCACATCCACCGTCCCCAACTTTCCCAGCCTCTCCAGCAGCACATCCAGCAACACCGCCATCCCCGGTACATGTTCATCCTGCAACCGATTCTTCGCATCCAGCAAATGCCGGGCCTTCTTCGCCGTCAGCACCCCCGGCTCATCCAACCCAGTCAGTTTCCCATCCAACACCTGGTAATTCCGCCGATACACATTCTCCATCTCCGCCGCCTTCTGTCCTAGATCCACCGCCGCCAGATACACCTCCTTGACCTGCGACGACGCCCATGGCGGACTCCCCAACGTCCCAATGCGATACATCTCCAACTGCTTCCGGGTCGACGGATGCGTCAAATGGCCCACGGCCCTCAAACTCTCCGTGACATCCTGCCCACTGCACAACGCCATGACCGTATCGCCCCCCGGGTGCTTCCGCATGAATCCGGTGCCATCATAGACCCCTCCCTGCGCGGCCAACCAATACCCCATCTCCTCCGAATTATGTCGCACCAACTCGGACATCATCACCATTCTGCCCCCACCCCTCTGCTGCTCATCGGTTCCCCCCTCCCCCCCCTCCCCCCTCTCCAACCGAGCCAGCTCACGCCCGATCGCCGCGCCCCGACGGCTCGGCCCTCCTTTTCCGCCGGAACCCATTAATCGTCGTACAAGGAGCAATCCGAAACGACACGGGCAAAAACCCAAACACCTTCCTCAATTGCACCCCCAACAACCCCTGATCCCCCTGATACGCCTCCAGGAAGCGCTTCCACAACCCTGCCAACTCCTCATCCCCCACCTCCCCGACCCACCC